TACCAAACAGGGTAAATTGGTAATATGTGCCACCCTGTATAAATATCAGAAATAAATAAATAAATAAATTAAGTGCTATATAAATCCAGATTATATATTATCATTATACATCTACTCGCTCTTTCAGCAACAGAGAGCATCATAATTCACTTCACTCCTCATCAGGTCCTTCCTGTCACATTCTGAAAACAGGATGACTTCAAATCGGGTCAAGCTCGCCATTCATAAGGACCGCTATTCATAAGGACCGCTATTCAAAAGGACGGTTATTGGTAAGGACCGTTATCCCTAAGGACCGCTATTCATAAGGACCGCTATTCATAATGACCGCTATTCATAAGGACCGCTATCCATAAGGACCGCTATTCATAAGGACCGCTATCCATAAGGACAGCTATCCATAAGGACCGCTATCCGTAAGGACCGCTATTCATAAGGATGAAGGATTTTTAAAACTGGAAATATTGTTAAACAATGCCTTTAACTAAAACGAAAAAAAAAGAAGGATGAAATTAAATATTATGCTATGAATTGGGAAAGATTCATTTTAAATGATATAATGTAAGGCATATATGTAAATCAACTGATGTAGTAGTGTACGACAGGTTGAAAGAAAGTGTTTTATAGGGAAATTTGGGGGAAATCCCCAGCAAATCTTCACAGCAAGGAGCTAAATCCCAAACCAGTATATAAATATGCCAGCCATATCTACAAACTATATGTTTTTAACATATTAAGGGGGGGGGGGGAACCAATGGTAGGCATGCACGGACGAGCATAACACCGTCAGAGGATACCTGCAGTTGTGATTAAGGAGCTATTGAATTGCTCATCAATTTAATGTCATGTCATTGTGTTGTGTTCAATAGACATTACCCGGGGAAATTACCATATAATAAGCTGATCGTTTACGTGGGACAGCGCAGATAGACGACATTCAGCAAACTGCAAATTCTAAGAGTTTCCACTCAAGTATTAGGGACTTTTAAATTTGCACGTCGATATAGTGGACTGCTACGTATGACGTCCTTAGCAGTCCACAATTTCGACGTGCACATCTAAAAGTCCCCATTATAAGCATGCGAGCGTTTGTCACATCGTGTAAGTCACGTGACCAATACACCAAACACTATCCTTGTAACGAGAGCAGATTTGTTCGCACATCCGGGTATTGAATTCTCTATTTGGAGCGATCAGAATATCACACAATTTCATTATTTGGCTTCTAGTCTCGTTTTTCTTTGTGAGATAGGGCTGAGAGCTACACTTGTCTATAACATGAAGATAGCCATAGAGAGCATTTAATAGCTTAGAAGAAGCCAATTCATTTGCATAGCGAGGGTAGTGTGCGTGTGTGTGTGTGTGCGTGTGTGTGTGTGTGTGTGTATTACGGATGCGTGCGTTGGGCCCATTGCTCCCTCCTTATCACACCAATAATAATTTGAAATAATTTTACATTAAATTTGTTTATTCATATTTTGATAATATTTGACACATAAACGCATCTTGGTTACAATTGTATGATAATTATTAAAAAAATAACCTTAATATATATAACAGTAACATAGGAAACATATCTGTGTTCACTTTAGGTACAGCTTAAATGTCATCAATTTTAATGTGAACATATTCAACTGAAATGCTGATAAAACAATTTGAAATTTGAGTCCACCATCCCAGTTTAAATTGGTGGAACATTCGATTTCTCTGCCACAAAGCCAAGCTGAGACAAAATAACCTTGAAATATTATCCTACTAAGAAATGAAGAAAAAAAATCGATGAGAGTAAGGCTTTTAGCTGAAGATATGAATATTTGATACATATCTTCTAGCAAGCTCATTTTGCATTTTGGGGGAATAACAAAATCAATAACGTCAATCCACAGCAGGTGAAAATAGGCGTAGCATAGTCCAAGAGATTATGACTTCAGGTCAGTTGGCATATTTGAAACCAAAATCTGTCTCATGAGGTTTTCATTTCATGAATCTTACCCTTAGCATGCTAACAGGACTATCAAAGGGCGAAATTCAAATTATATACTCTTCCTCCTAACTGGATGCTGAATTTTTCTTTTTAAAGTTTTAATTTCCCTTAAAGATAAAGTTAAGTTGTGGTTATGCGAGTGCAATGTGACAGAAACGATGTGGGGTCAATCAGAAAGAGTTGATCATGTAGCATATAAATATTGTTGTGTACTGCAAGGTTCTGGAGTCACCAAAATGATAAGAACTTTGGCCCAGTCTTGGTAAAGTCACCAACACTGTACACAGAAAGATGTATGTGGGACTACACAAACATGTGGCATAAAAATCGGGCCTCATGTTTAAGCTGTTTCTTGTCATATTTAGAATATGGAGGCATTTGAAGAGCCATGCTTTTCAGGGAACATTTTTTTCTCTGATGTTCTTCCACATTTGCATAATAACAATGATAATGCTCACAAATTATCTTTTACCTCTCCCCAGAACTCAACCTTCTCTTTAAGTACTATTACCTGTATACCAGATCCAAAATCATACTCCATACTCTGGGTCAGTTTGTTAATATCTTAATTAGATTTGAAAATAAGATTTATATATGACATATCGTCCGTTGGGAGTTGGGAGGGTGTTGTTTGAGTATATGTAATGAATACCGAGTTCAAGACCTTCGTGTCTCAACAGACGATACACAGTACTATCCACCAATTGAAAGTCAATTATATGAATCTATGTAATGCTTGTGACCTGTGTGTTCTGACCCATTACGCCTCCGGTTGTATATAATCATCTTATAATGATCTAATAATAAGAGCCTCTCCCCTCCAGCAATACTTGTGATTATGTTATTTTATTTATCTATTTAAATCACATATAGGCATACCGCATAGAGTAGCCTATTCAACTAGCCAAAAAAAGACGTTAAAAAAGACATGTAGTACATGAACAATGATTTAAAATCAAAGTAAATGTACGAAACATTATTAAAAAAGATGGTCTTCCACAGGGCTCTGTTAACATCATTAAAAGGAGGGAAAATACAATAAAAATAACAAACAAATCTTAAAGTCATGATAGGCAAAGGATAAGAATGATAAACATATGGTGGTTAACTGAAGGAGACTGAAATCGAATTGGAAGAGTGTTACATATGGTGTGACGGATTAGATATTTTTGTCTCAGATTCTGAAACAAAATCCTGGATTTAGCTCATGCTGCAATAGTAATTATAATCCTTTAGGTCAGTCAGGAACTCCATGACATTAACAAGCCGATTGCCTGGCTGATTATCAAGATATTTATGATTGGAAATCGAAATTTTAAATTTGTTTTCCTAACGGTTTTTATAACACTACGGTCTACTGGGGAAAATGAGTATGTTAAAACCGGTCACTCAAAGATTTTTACTTTTTGAGGCACTTCATGATCATTTTGAAGCAGATTTTTTAGATCTTCAATATTACACCAAATCACAGACACTGATAACACGTAGAGTCTTTACGTTAGCCATGAAACGCATATATTCGGATAGCTGATTCCTGTTATTTGGACCTGCACATAAAATATGAATCACTTTTGATGAAATGTATTTCAAAATTTTGATACCCTGAGTCTCATCTTATTTGTGTTACATCCTCAATTTATCACATATTACTTTAGGAGCTCACAATTTATATTCTAACTGGTTGCTTTAATGGCCATCGAAATATGTAATGATAACAAGATTAACTTGAACATGTTAAAATTAGCCGATTACCCTGAGCCAAAATACTCCATTGCATGTATAGTAGAGATAATCAATATTATGTTGTTCGGGCTTGAACATGCGTAACGATAATTCAATTGTTTCTTTGCTTCGGACCCTATATTTGACTTCAACTTCAGAGACTAAGCTAACATCGTCATTTATTTGGTTTAAACAATTACGATGGCTTTTGACATTTCCGAAATGTAGATGTAAGTGTTTGCATTAAACAAATTTAATAGGCTTTTGAGGGGTTTCGCCTGTGTACGAATGTCCTTCAGTTATTTCATCGCAATAGGAACCTTAATATCATGTTAATGAAAATGATGAACTGGGCACAGGAATTCAGGCTACTTTACTGGTAGATCTATTACATTTCATTAATCTGTTTTTAAATCCACGCTGATTAACTAAGAATGTGTGTGCCCATAGCCTTGGACAAACAAAAAACCATTAGCACTTTAGATCCGCATTTTAAAAGCCTTAAAATGAGTTGTAATAAAGACCGACGGTCTAAATTGGGAGGGATGGCGATGTGAGGGGGGGGGGGGGGGCGTCGAAGAGCAGTGGAGTATATTTTTGTCATCATTCAAATTGTTTAAATCTTCAGGCAATAATATAATTGTATTCTCGTTGCATAATAGTTTAATGACCTGTCTTTGTTTAACTTTGAATTTTATCCTGGCACTTCAAGAATAGGCATATATTATTATACAACATGTTTTATTTTGGGTGTATGATCGTGTGTGCTTGCGTACTTGCGTGTGTGGATTGGTTGGTGTGCACGTGTGCGAGCGGGGATTTGTGGATAGAGATAGAGTAGAAAGAGAGAGAGAGAGAGAAATAAAGAGAGAGAGAGAGGGAGAGAGAAAGAGAAGAGATGGGGCAAGAAGAAGTAAATACAGAGAGAAAGGGGAGTAGATGATCGTGTATGTGTGTGTGTATGTGATAGAGAGAGAGAGAGAGAGGGAGCGAGCAAGAGAAAGAGAGAGAGACACACACAGAGAGGCACAGAGAGACAGAGAGACATACATACAAAGATAGGGAGGGAATATATAGGAGAGATGATTCATAATTGATCACGAATACAAGGTAGTCAAGGCGTTTGGTATTAAACGCTGGACGTATTGTTATTTAAGAGATTTGTATTTTCGGTAAAAGGCGACTTCAAAATTAATACAAGGTTAGCATAGTTAATGTTGAATAACCAGTAAACCTCACTAGGCTCAGTATATTTGTTGGTCTTGCATTACGTTTCTTATTGTGTTTGCATCAGTAGGACCAGTAGAGCAGGCCCAATATCAGGCAGCATATAGGCTAGTCCACGACTAGCCCGACTAGCCCGACAGCCAAGATGGGGGACGACGACTCCGACGTGAGTTTGACGCCGCAGGAACAGTTCTTCCTCGCCGCGTCGAAGGGCGACGTAGCTGTCATCAAAGCCCTGCTCGATGGCCGCCCCGAGAACGGTGTGGATATGGACGCCAAGGATGAGAGTGGTCTGAGTGCATTGAATCTGGCAATAACCGAGGGATATCTAGGTGAGAAAGAATGTTTAAATTCACAGGAAATGTCAAAGAAAGAAACTTAAAAATCGAAAACAAATTATATTCTGCGGTGAAGATCTAAGGTGACGTAATCACATAATTCCTTACATTCCTTAAATTAATACGTTCGACATTTATATGATTTTTGTTTCATGCAAACCGTTTAATCTCTGAAAACAATGAAATCTCCATGTTACTGACCACTGAGAAATGAAAGAAGAAGGAGAACAGAAACTACGATTAGGCTTGCCATCTGTCCACTGAAAAAAAAAAACTATTTCCGAACTTATTTGATTGGAAGACCCCATGACTTTTATATGTTATACCGAAACGCCATAAAAATGCCATTAATTATCCTCATCGTATTCATCATAAATGTCGTCTTCCTCCTTCTCCTTCTCCTCCTCATCTACAACACTAATTAATATGTCTTTAATAATGATTGATAATAATAATTTATAATGATTTATATATTTTAAACCGAAACGCCATAAAAATTATATTAATTATCATCATCTCATAGATCATTGATATCATCTCCCTCTTCCTTCCTCCTCATCATCATCATCATCTACAACACTAATTAAATTGTTGTTAATAATGATACTAATGATAATAATGGTTACTGTCCTTTGTTCTTTTGCTCGTTCTTATCTGCTAGGGGTGATGTACCCTCTACTAGAGGGTAACGCCCATATTGGTGACGCCATGTTAAGAGCCGTCGACGCTGACTTCCACGAGGCTGTACGAACCCTGCTCCAATTTGCTGAAGAAAGGGTAAGAAGCTTTTTTCTTCTTCTTCTTCTTCTCTGTTTCCTCTGTTTCTGAAACCATTTCCCCTTCCGTCTTCTTCCATCCCTTTCCCTCTATTTTTATCTTATTCCCTTTCACACTCTCCCCATCTTTCCCGCTCTTTCCCCTCTCCCCGTCTATTTCTAGCATTTCCTCCTTTTCTCCTTCTCTATCGTCGATCTCCCTATCCCTCTCTCTCTCTCTATCTATCACTCTTATTTAATTTCTCTTTACTCTTTCCTTGGTATCTCCCTTTCTCTCCCTCATTTTATACCATTTCTCCCCGTTTGGTTCTTTTCTCCGCACAAATTTTCTGTCATATCTTGTGAGCGCAAAAGACGATGTACACGACAAACGGGAGAACTGTCCGTGACTACGTCACAATCCACTGACAAATTGCCAATTTAAAATTCGCATGGGTATAGCGATCTCGTATTTCAAACATTGATAACTTTTGTTATTTTGGTTCTATTTATTTCAAACTTTCACCATTCCGTTTCTCCTATCTTCTACTTTCATAAAAATGAACAAATATATCTTGAAATACGACCCCATCAATCCGCCACTGTATGTTAAGCCCGTCTGCACTAGTTTGGCCAGGAGGGATTAGATCTCCTAGAGTGGTCATTGACAGGTGGTTATCTCATCAACTCAGCTCTCAATTAACATAAGGAAAAGAGGATCATGGAGGACCAACGGGCACCGCTTAGGCATTGTGTTCTATATAGAGGGAGCAAGTAGCTTCAAGTAGTGCAGTGGGGCTTTAACGAATTATTACCAGTATACATAATGCTTAAACGTGTTTTTTTTCCATTTTCATTTGGCGTAAGGACGAGAGTGGTCGAATGGCGATCATCAACTGCAGATGCGAATCGAGCGACATTCATCCGGACATCACCCCTATGATCAGGGCGGCACAGCTCAACAGCTTTGCCATAGTGAAGGTAAAGGATGATGATGACGAGGATGATGATGGTGATGAAGAGGAACAGGAGGAAGATGAGGAGGAGGAGGAAGAGGAGGAGTAGGATTGTGGTGGTGACGATGACGCGGATGAGGATGAGGATGATGGTGGTTGTGATGGTGATGGTGATGATGATGAGGAAGAGATGGAAGAAGAGTAGGAAGAGCAGGAGTAGAATGATGGTGGTGATGATGACGAGGATGAGGATGATGGTGGCGGTGATGGTGATGATGATAAGAAGGAGGAACAAGAGGAAGAAGAGGAAGAGGAGGAGGAGGATGGTGGTGATGATGATGATGACGAGGATGAGTATGATGGTAGCGGTGATGGTGATGATGATGAGGAGGAGGAGGAGGGGGAGGGGAGGAGGAGGAGAAGGAGGAGGAGGAAGAAGAGGAAGAAGAGGAAGAGGAGGAGGAGGAGGAGGATGGTGATGATGATGACGATGACGATATTAATGATGTTGATGATAAATGTGTTGATGATGACACAAACAAATCAGCAGAGGTGTCGTGGTCGAGTGGATACGTCACCGGATTGTCGATCACAAGGTCCGCGCTTCGAGTCCCGCCGCCGATTTAATGACCTTTGGCAAAACATTGATCTACTTTTGCCACACTCAACCCAGGTGATGTAAATGGGTACCTGACAGGAATTAATTCCTTGAAATCAGTGCTAGAGCGCTGTAATGGCCGCCTTGCTAAAGCCAGGGTTATAACCCGGGCAGCGCCAGGAACGTCACGATGTGACGGACATGTGCGCTATATAAGAAGCCACTATTATTATCATTATTATAATTCTTTTTTTTAGATGCTTCTGGAGGCAGACCTGTTGATCCCTGAGCTGAACACGGATGCCTTCCAGGATGAGGCTGCAGATGATCTTCAACGGTCCGTAGGGACCCTTGAGATCTATGGTGGACTGGCCAGCGAGGCCTATGTATGTCTAGCAAGCACCGACCCAATCGACCGGGCTTTCACACTGTGTGGGATTATGAAACGGATAGCTATCCTGGAGGTAGGTAATGCCGGGGAAGGGTGATGACGACGACGACGACGATGATGATGAGGATGGTGATGTTGAAGTTGATAATTAATCTGATGTTAACGATCCTGTTGATGGGGATGACTGCAAGAAAGTAACGAGCATCGTGTTGTCTATGATAGTGGTGGTAGTGATGATCATGATGATGAGGATGGTGATGTTGATGTTGATAATTAATCTGATGTTAACGATCCTGTTGATGAGGATGACTGCAAGAAGGTAACAAACATCGTGTTGTCTATGTTAGTGGTAGTGATGCCAATGATGTGAACGCTTCTTGCTTCTGTTATCGATGGCTACGATGACACCAAGTGATGATGGTGATGTTGATGTCGATAATTACGTTGATGTTAATGATCCTGTTGATGACTATGATTGCAAGAGGGTAAAAAGAATCATGGTGTTTACGACTACGACGTTGATGATGATGATTATAATTTTGTTAATCATGATGAGGCTAGCTTGCTCGGTTTAGCTGCTGGAGATGACGATGTGGACGAAGAATAATGACGACGATGATGATGATGATGATGATGATGATGATAATGATGATGATAAGGAGATTAAGCAGTTGGATTTAATTAGTCTGAACATTAATGCAAAAGTTGCTTGTCCTAAATTCGCATGATTCTCTATGAAACGATATCCTGGATGGGTTATTCCATTCTTTTAACAGGTGGAGTTTAAAGTGCGGTATCTCGAGCTCGTCCTCAACTATTATGTTTCTTTATGAAAGTTTATCGTAGATGGGCTCTTCCATTCTTTTCACAGGTGGAGTTTAAAGTGCGATATCTCGAGCTAGCGGATAAAATGGAGAGGTTGGCCGCCGAACTTGTATCATACGCACGCGATTCCGAGGAGGTTAGTTATGATTTGATCCAATTCTAGTTGATAAACTTAATTTTATATATTTGTATTTTTACTTGTATCGGTAATTTATGTGGTTTTAATGAGTGAATAAATTGAATCGAATTTTAATTGAATTGAAAGCCAAAGCGAAAGAAGGAAAAAGGGAGGAAGTGCTTCGCAATAAGTATGTGGGAGGGGTAGATTGGTGCGTTGAAAGGGGGTGGGGAGACGGACTGAAGGAGGCGGGCAGAAGAAGAAGGGGACGAAGAGTGAATAGGGGTTAATTTTTCAGGAGCAATTGTTAGTTACAAAGTCAATGTACATCTAATATTCATCGCTTTGCACAGATCAATACAGTGCTCACGTTCCAGGAGACTAACGCACTGAATGGGGGCGCCCAGAATCAGCGCCATGTTGGAAACATTCCCAAAGTGACACAAGCTATCCAGTATGAACAACGACAGGTGAGCCATCTAGGGTACAAGTTCAGTGGTTGATAGATCAATCTATAGACACATGGGTTGACTCTTTGTTAAACTGATATGCCTCACAGTTTGTTTGATTTAAAGCCCCACTGCACTACTTAAAGCTACTTGCGCCCTCTATATAGCACACAATGCCTAATCGGTGACCATTGATCCCCATGCCCCCCCCCCCTTTCTTATATTAAATGAGAGCTGATTTGATGAGATAACCAGCTGTCAGTGACCATGCAGGGAGGTTTAATCCCTCATTGCCATACTACTGCAGATAGGCTTTAAACAAAATATATATACAATAGGTCTACATGTTATAATAATAAGAAACTAACAATGCTACTGCTACTACTCAGGCGCTTACACAGGGGGGGGGGGGGGGAGTTCGAACTCCCTCCCCCCTCAAACAAAAATTGTGTGTGCTTTGCAAGAAAACTCCCTCCTCATTTTTTTTTTAAATTACAAAAAAAGAAAAAAGAAAGAAAAAAGAATTTTGCTAATGGGTGACCAAAAAAGGTGACCTCCCCCCCCCCCCCCTTCCGCTGAATTTTCGGCGGGATTTTAAAATATTAACCCCCCCCCCCTCGAAAAAATCCTGCGTACGCGCCTGCTACTACTACGTACTACTACTACTACTACTACTACTACTACTACTACTACTACTACTACTACTACTACTACTATTACTACTACTACTACTACCACCACTACTACAACAACTACTACTTCTACTACTACCAATGATGATAATGAGAATAATATAATCTCATGTATCGCATATTTTAGAATGAAATGTTTGATGGTTTCAAAGGGTGAAGGGATGGATTGTGATACTATCTTAACGTGATCTCGATAGGAAATACATTAAGGTATTGAAATCGCACTCGAGTAGTTTTGTTTTAAAGCCGTGTTTTCCGTCAAAATCTCTACACAGTTCGTCGCGCACCCGAACACCCAACAAGCAGTTTCGGCCCAGTTCTATCGCCACCTCGCCCATCTCCGTGACGAGCCGCCCTTGGTCAACTTCCTCGCTTTCATCGGTCTCGTCGTGGCTTTCCCGTTTTTTTCAATCCTCTACAAGCTCGGCGTCTCCACACATATTCGGCATCTTGTTCGAACTCCGTAAGTGCTATTTTGATGTCGATGTTGTTAATAAATGTTATAGCACACTAAAAAGGGAATAGACAAAATAGAACGACAACAACATCAATCGTTTATGTTGTGCTTAACTTAGTGGTGGGGTCTACTGTGGGGTTTATAAGAAGTGGATTCAATCTTAATTGCTCAACGTCACATGCGCTAGACATACACAATATGATACTTTGTAGCGCAAGACTTTTTAAAAGCTATTGCCTGGTTTATTGTGAAAATATGGGCATTAGAAAATCAATCTTTTGTTCTTTTGTTCAGTTCTTTCAAACGAATATAAAAAGGAAAAAGTTCACTAAGCATTTTTCACCTAGCCAGTTCTCAATGTTCTCTCAAATCGAGTGAAATTATTTTCAGTTAATATTAGTCAGTTTATTATAATTATTATTATTATGTTTGTTATTATCATCATAATAATTATTATTATATCCTGCATCAAATATTTGTTGGCTTTTGATTGGTTGAGAGCTCGTCACATGACCAAAAATATTTGAGCTATTTTTAGAAAGTACTATATGAGAGTACTATTTTGGTTTACTATTTGGGAGTTGAAAAAAAAATGTTAATTTTTTTTTTTTAATTGAATCAATTTTTTTTTCAAATCTTAATTTAATGAAAACAACATATTTTAAATCTTTGTAGATAAAAATTGACATTTTTTTGTTCTAAATTTGATTTTCCCAAAAATGTTTTTTTTTTTTTTCTTTTTTTCTTTCAAATAAATTTTTGATGCAGGATATAAAACAAATATACCATGCCTTCTATTCGAGGTTCTGGTTAAACTATGTGCCTCGGTGACTCCAAAAGTACCATTTGCTTCGGGGCTGCGCCCCTCAGCAAATAGTACTATTGGAGTCACCTCTTGCGCATAGTTTTAACCAGAACCTCTCAAGGCAGTGTATATTTGTATATTATTATCATTGTTAATATTAGTATCATTTTTTAAATTTTGTATTCTTCTTATTAGTATTGCTAATATTATTATTATTATTATCATCATTATTATTATTATAAGTATTTGACCTTTTTTATTATTATAATTATGTATTATTATCATTATTATTATTATTATTATTATTATTATTATTATTATTATTATTATTATCATCATCATCATTATCGTCATCATCATCGTTGTTGTTGTGGTGGTTGTTGATATTTTAAATCACTGTCGTCGACATTCATCTCTCTGTCTTATTGTCATTGTCTGGTTCTAGGTATGTCAAGTTCGTGATGCAGGCCGGGGCAGACTTTAGCATGCTTGTCATCTTGTTAAATATAGACACATCATCACACCTGCATAACATCATCATGACACGCAACCAGTACATTGTGCATTTCATACTCCTGCTCTTCGTGGTTGGTAAGACTATTTTAAAGGGATCTTCCGTGGTTCTTACGATGTTATTACGACGTGCGTACGGCCGCCTTACGAAGAGGGGGTTTCGTACGAGGTTGAACAAAATCTTGGACAAGACCATCGACCAGTCTGCGAACTTACGAACGGTCTACGAACGTTTTACGAGTGCTGGTTTCGTACGGCCTTCTTAAGACGATCTTACGAAATAGTCTAAAAATCGTTCGTACGGCGTTTGTAGCTGTTCGAAATGGTATTTGTGACTGAGGCTTAACATTGCCTCAGATCCTTTAAAAAAAACCTGGATTTAGCTCATGCTGCATTCATAATTACAAACCTTGAAGTCAATCACACGATTTTTACAAGACGATCACCAGTCTGATTATCAAGATATTTATGATTGGAATCAGAAATGTCAAAAACCGTTTGTCAAAAGACTCTCTCTCTCTTGACCATTATAGGAACAGGCTAGAGAGAGAGAGAGAGAGAGAGAGAGATGTATCCGATGAATTAGTTTGTCGGGAGCCAAAAGTATTACATCAGGGTTCGCAATGCCATTGTCGAAGTCAACGTCATTGACAGTTTGCATGAGATTGTGAACGATGAGGGACGATGACATCGGCAAATACAGTGAAAATTCTATCAAGTCATTTTACTTCTCTAATGACCATTATAGGATTGAGCTGGAAGGAGATGTACTTGGCTTACCTATGTGGGATCAGGAAGATTATGTCATCCTTCGAGCATATCAGGGACACCCTCATCTCCATCCTGCTCATGGTCTACTTCGTTTTGACCTTCCTCAGCATGTTCCAGGATTCGGTAAGTCTATCCAGGGAGTTGTGAGTTAAACCCCCTGGTTTATCCTAGGAGGCGAGATGGCTCAGTGGTACAGCAGTGATCTCGTTGATTTGGTAAGTTTATCCAGGGAGTTGTGAGTTTAACCCCCTGGTTTATCCAAGGAATCGAGATGGCTCAGTGGTACAGCAGTGATCTCGTTGATTAGGTAAGTCTATCCAGGGAGTTGTGAGTTAAACCACCTGGTTTATCCAAGGAATCGAGATGGCTCAGTGGTACAGCAGTGATCTCGTTGATTAGGTAAGTCTATCCAGGGAGTTGTGAGTTAAACCACCTGGTTTATCCAAGGAGGCGAGATGGCTCAGTGGTAGAGCAGTGGTCTCGTTGATTTGGTAAGTCTATCCAGGGAGTTGTGAGTTAAACCCCCTGGTTTATCCAAGGAGGCGAAATGGCTCAGTGGTAGAGCAGTGGTATCGTTGATTTGGTTAGTCTATCCAGGGAGTTGTGAGTTTAACCCCCTGGCTTATCCAAGGAGTCGAAATGGCTCAGTGGTAGAGCAGTGGTCTCGTTTATACGGGCGAGATCCCGCGTTCGAAAGCAAGTCGATGCACTATAGTACCCTTTGGTAAGGCTTGATAAATACCAAGTCCCTAAGATCTTAAATTAACTTAACAGGGGGCGACGCCCTGCAACTTCGTGAGGGGGGGGGGGACGTAATCATAATCGTTATATATACATATACGATATCATAAGATAAAGGGGCTGTCTTCGATAAGACCGCCTTGGTCTTTTATGGTACCGTTGATAACAATTCGAAGCTGTTCTGCATTTCTGTGTACCCTCCTCCCAATCTCATGTTCTTCTATTGATTATTCTTATGAATTTGTATATATATTTCTGTTTCTTTCACTTGTATGTGTCTTCCTCTACTTTCTCTATCATTGGTGAAACAATCAACTACAGGGGACATGCCCTGCCGCACCGACCATAGACCCGAACGCCGTGAACGTCCTTGAAAACTCCACTACCAACATCGGTGGCATCACGCGTCTCAGACTCGAAGAGATAGAACTCAATGGCCCCTCCCGGGACGTCGCCATTGACATCATCATCGAAATACTTGCCGACCTCCGCTGTGTATCATCACCTGCCCTGCAGATGGATGAAGCAGAAGTAACCACAGGACCGCCATCAACGTCAGATTGCGAGAAAACGAATTCGATCCTGTCCCGAAAATGGAACGATCCGTCTCTTATCGGCAACGGTATCTTCGGCATCGTCACGGTTCTAGCCTTCACCAAGTTGATGTCATTCCTGATCGCAAACGATTTCGTCGGCCCGCTGGTCATCTCAGTCGGCGACATGGTGAAGAGGACGTCGAGCTTCTTCATCTTTGTAATCGCTGTCATCATCTCGTTCTCTTCGGCGATGACGTTCAACTATAACATCTACAGCCAGGGAGACATAGAGAGATGTGAGACGAATGATGCACATGGAGACTGCGGCAGGTCTTACGAGTATAGGAAGTAAGGACTGATTGTCATCATCGATCATATGTCTGGAAAGTGGGCAGGGCTTGGGAATGGGGGGGGGGGGAGGGGGAGGGGGGCAGTGGACGACTTACATACTGAATACGCCCCTTGATCCAGCAATACTTTACTGCCCTCAATAAAACGCAAAATCACCCTCAATTCCAATGGCTATTACGGTTTTGAGATATGATATCTACAAACTGAGAACTACTCGTTTCCTGAACTAATTTGGGATCGAAACCTTAAACGCGCTATTATGCTATACGTCCTATACGTCCTATAGGTCTTATACGTCATATACGTCATATACGTCATATACGTCATATGTCTTATACGTCCAAAATATCTGGACGGGAATCAATAAGACGTTAAACAATTAGACTCAGACCAATGCGAAGTAGACCACTTGGACATGTGATAATGGGAGCTAGGTAAGACAAATTTATCCTATGAACACAGCGAAGGAGACCGAGAGCAAGTAAGACCAGTGACACATAGGATTTGTTGGACATAGGACCAAATCGATGTAACCTGATGGGAGGTTGAACAAACACTGACCAATGGGACACAATGTATTTACATTATTATTTCATGGGATGTAGAGCCAAGTGCAAGCAGAACCAGCTGTGGGGGGGGGGGGGGGGGGTAAGACCAATATGCCGTAGGAAGATAGGAATGCAAGTCTTAGGACATAGGACTAATGGGTCATAAACCAGTTTGGTCGAGGACCAATGCAACGTAGACCAGTTTAATGTATGGGAAAAGTGACGAAGACAGATCTATAAGACTTAGTCGGCCTAAACCGATTGGCCTAAGGACTCTATATAGATCGCTGTTCGCATGAAATTCCTTCTTATTATTTTCCGTATCCGTACACCTACCCTCTGGACATCCACCCCCTGATAACCACCCATAGGATAACCACCCTCTCGGGCGACTACCCCCTGTGACAACTACCACAACAACTATCCTCCAGACAACTACCCCCTAGGTCAACTACCCCCTAGGACAGCCGTCCGGTGGTAGTTGCCCAAGAGGATGGTTGCCGTCGGGGGTAGTTGTTTGGGAGATAGTTGTCCTAAGGGGTAGTTGTCCTGGGGTAGTTGTCTTGGGGTAGTATTCCGGGGGTAGTTGTCCTAGGGGTAGTCGTCCTAGGGGGTGGTTGCCCTAGGGGTGTTTGTCCAGGGGTGGATGTCCAGAGGGTAGGTGTACGGATACGGAAAAAATAAGAAGGAATTTCATTATTTTCATCTAAATTACTTGAAAAATCATTGAAAACTCCCTGTACAGCCTGGGACGCAGCATGATGTCCCTCTACTGGTCACTCTTCGGTCTGATTGACCGGGATTCCTTGAACATCAAAGCAACGCCCGACGTCATCAGGGGTGCAGGAGAACTCCTTTACGGTGCCTTCTATATCTTCGCTGTGTTGGTCCTCCTCAATGCTCTCATTGCCGTTATGAGTAACGTCTTTAACAAAGTAGAGGTGAGCCAAGTTTGCTGATAATACCTGTAGGGTACTCGTGTGCTAAAACGTGCTTGCTTCGTTCTGTCGGGTCTTAAAGGTATCCGGTAACTTTGTTTCAGATTCTGAAACAAAATTCTGGATTTAGCTCATACTGCAATCATAATTATAAACCTTGAGGTCAGTCAGGAACCTCGTGACTTTTACAAGCCGATCACCCGTCTGATTATCAAGATTTTTATGATTGGAAAACGGTTTTCATAAAACTACAGTCTACTGGGGAAAACGAGTACGGTAAAACCGGTTACTCAAAGATTCTTTTACTTTTTTGAGGCACTTCTTGATCATTTTGAAGAGCTTAAGGTTTAGGCTTTCAGTATTACACCACATCACAGAAACTGATAACAAGAAGGGCCGTGAATCTCAAATTTTACATTGTAAAACGATGTCTTAGTTTAATGTAGCTTTGTCGCCCCATCCGTTGATTTTACACAGAAAACGACCTGAAAATAATAGTAAACTGACTAATTTAACAAATAAAACGCGAGAGTAAATAATAATAAAATTGTAATTTGTTTGCTTTACCCGAAAGAACATAGACTTTATAGTATTATACTAGTCAAACTAGGCAAAATATGTGGTACCTTTAGCAGAATGAAGATGGATGTAAAAAGAACGACGTGTTTTATAAGTCATTCTCAATAGAACATTTTTTGGTAATAAAACAAGCGTTTAGATATACACAGTGTATGAATCAAGTTTACCCAATAGTTTCAATATGGATTACGTTTCAATTTATATTTGGATTTCAATTTATATTTGGATTTCAATTTCAATTTGGATTTCAAATTCAATTTTAATTTCAAGTTCAAATTTAATTTCAACTTCAATTTCAATTTCAATTTCAATTTCACAGGAAAACGCCGATGTGGAGTGGAAATTCGCCCGAACCACGCTTTGGATGAGTTTCCTTAACGACACCGTTACCGTCCCGCCGCCGTTCAATTTGTTGCCTGATTGCAGCCAACTTAAGCAACGTCTAAAGTTATGGTGGCAGATGTGTCGTCGACGTCGAAACATTCAGACAGAAGTGCTTCGTGATTCCTTAGTAAGAGAAACAGGTTCTCCTTTCTATCTTAAAGGGGGCGTCTTTCCCGTGGCCTGACTCGGGACTACGGACTACGCGACCGCAGTATTCACGAGCGTGCAGCATACGCGAAACCGAAGCGTGAGGAGAACTTCGGTCTGTTTCGCGAACGATAGCGCGCTGACTGTTAATCAAGTCCATTTGTTTACGTGCAGTTGTCCAAACGAAGTCGTAGATGGCGTTAACCAGTATTTGCCATGCTACACCTTCTTTAACATGCTCGATTCTAGATAGTTTCTCACAACACCCCGTGAAGAAGAAAAACAAATAATTGTTTCGATTATAGATCATCTGAGATGAATGTCTTATAGCCGTAATAACGAACAGTCAGTATTCCTAGTGGTTTCGCACCATCGGACTGAAAGTCCGTAGGCGTTACCGAGTGATAGTGTTTTCCCGCTATAGGGCGGAAATTAGCGCTTTTCTGCTTCCTTTGTCGCACTGGCGCCAGGAGGTTCAGATAAATCACCACGTGTGTTTACGACTTGTTACAATAGAAAAGAATTACATTCTCGTTGAAATAATTTTCAGGCAATTTTATCAGCAAATTATCATACCTAACAAATAAAAGGATGACTGAATCAATTAATCAATTTGGAATTATTAAAATGTTATGGAGATAACATTGTCAGGAATGTATGTTTGAATTATGTAATGTAGAATTTACCAGGATTTTTACCAATGCTGTATTTGTTGCGGTCGGCATTGTTCACAGAATGATGTCAAATCTCGTGATGGAATATTCGAAGAAAATAAAAACTTGTGCTGGCTGATTATAGATTTACATGTAAAAATTAGATTTGGGTCTGTGACTATACCCTTCATAAGCGTCACATCGTTATAGCAGATCTCCTTATTACGAGTTTTCACTGTATAGGCCTAATGAAACTGTCGACACACACATATTGAAAATGATTAGTCCTATCGCATTCCTTTTCCTATATGTTGCAGTGTTTTTCTCCCCTTTGCCTTCACCCTTTTATTTCCTTGCTGTTTCAGAAATTGAATGATATGCAGAAAAGGAAAAGAACTTACAAGCGAGTGGATTTGTCCAATTATCAGGTGAGAAATTTCGTCTTAAAAAGTTTCGATAGATCGCTGCTAACCATGTATTTCACACATTACATTTCAGCACTGAATACAACTTGTAATTTCATGGAGAGGTAGTTGTGACACGCGCACGCATATGCATTCAAAGTTCTATTCATGGAGCTCCGAATAGTTCCCTCCTACATACAATCTCTATGGGAGGGAGGTATTTTCAGCGCTCCATGAATTGGAACTTTAGTTCGCGTGTGTCACAACTATCTCTCTTAATGCGCTATGGTGAAAACTAACGGCCGCCCTCTAATGTCATAATCGCATGACGAAACATCGAACAAGTTATTAGAGGGCGGCATCAACACAACACAATTAAAAATAAACTTTGGTTCTGGTTAAAAAAAGAAAATCAATTCTCACAGATTCTAACGAAACTTACACTGAATGTTCAAGATTACAAATAAATGTCATGTGCCAAACAACTTTGGAAGAAAATGTAAACTGGCTGAGTAATGAGCATAGAAAGATAAGGAAATCAAGTAGTACTATAGCTCCGACACCATTTGTGTTGTCCCATATACATCTTTCTGTTTAGTGTGCTTGTTACTTTACCAAGACTGAGCCAAATTTGTTATGAATTTGATGACTCCAGAACCTTGCAGTACACACCAATACTTACATGCTACATGATCAACTTTTTCTGATGCATTCCACACCTTTTCTTTCACAATGTAATCGCATGACCAGAACTCAAGTTTATCTTTAACAACTAAATTTACCTTTTCTGTGTTAAGACAAACCAACTTCGAAGCATATTTTGTAACAATTTTGTTTTCTTGGACAGCGCATTATGCGGAGGCTCGTTGAACGTTTCGTTGCCGAGCGGACTGCCCAGGAAGCTAATGCACAGGGAGGTATCACCGTGGCCGATATCAGGAACCTACGAAACGACGTCGTGGGATTGAGGTACGAGGACGTGGACGATCACGAACAATCTTTCCATCTCTTATCTCGTATTTTACCCCTTGAGCTCAATATGACAAAATGGTGTATAATACGCCATACGTAATTATATTTGCTTAAAAATTGTCTAAATTTTTGTGGAAAATAGATATTTCGAGAACGAAATATCTAACGCGTCCGAGCGTTGACTATATAATTTCAACTCAACAAAACAATGACCTTAAAGCTTATCTGCCATAGTTTATAGGAGGGATTAGACAGCCCTGCAAGGTCACTGGACAGGTGGTTATCTCATCAACTCAGCTCTCAGTTAACATAAGAAAAAGTGGATCATGGGGGACCAATGGTCACCGATTAGGCATTGTTTGTTATATAGAGGGCGCAAGTAGCTACAAGTAGTGCAGTGGGCCTTTAAGTATCCACTTTTGCTATGACCATGATAACACGGCTCTCGTTTCCTACATTAATCCTTGACATAATAATATCTGTCGTGGTACCCGATCATCTCGCATTTAATGGCCCTAATCACGGTAAAGCTGATCTTCAGATGTGGTAATTATGGAATTGGAATTCGAGAGGGGAAAAGGATTGTCTAAAATGCAGTGCTTCTTCCGTCTGGACTAGCAGATTGTAAACAAAGCTTTTTTGAACCACATAAATCAAAATCGTACCCGGCATAAGTCTTTTATTTATAGTCTTGAAGATTCGCTGAAAGTTTTGTTTGATTTTGGGAGGTTTTATTATGTGGCATGCATTACCAGAAATCAGGAACCCAAGTTTTCTTAAAGTGCGACTGCACTACTTGTAGCTACTTGCGCCCTCTATATAGCAAACAATGCCCAAGCGGTGCCCGTTGGTCCCCCATGATCCCCTTGTTAAAATTTTAATTGAGAGCTAATTTGATGAGATCGCCACCTGTCCGTGACCACGCAGGGAGGTCTTATCCCTCCTGGTCAAACTAGTGCAGATAGGCTTTAAAGATGAGTGGTCTCTGTTTCATGTTCTCCTTCATTTACCTGGTTCGTTATATGTCCTTTAGATATGAAACATTTAAGCAGTTGTGTCAGATGAATGAAGAACTGGACAGGTCGAAGCAACAGAGTTCAGCGATCAGCGGGCAGTCAAATCAGGCCAGTGTGGTGTTCACACGAACAGACAAGATAAAGGACGAGGTATGTTCACACAAAGTACAGACAAGATTAAGAAACAGGTTGTTCACATCAATATAAACGAATGAGGAAGAGTTATGTGAATATGAATAGTTAGGGAACATGTATATCCAGAAGAAAAGACAATATTGATTAAGGAAGATGGATAGACTAGCTAGGTAAGAGGTTCGTTCACATGGACAGACACGATTAAGGAAGATTCATGTTCGCACGTAAAGACAAGATTAAGGAGGATGTCTGATTACACGAACACACGAATTAAAGGCATTGTTTAACAATGTTTCCAGTTTAACAAATCTGAGATGCATGGTCCTACGTGTTAACAGTGTCTGTGATATGGTGTAATATTGAAGCCCTTACACAAAAAAAATGCGCTTCAAAATGATCTTGAAGTGCTTCAAAAAAGTAAAAAATCTTATAGAGTGACCGGTTTTACCATACATTTGATTTACAAATTATGTAATACGGAAAGTTATTAATGTGCTCAACATTTTTTGTTGCAAATGAAGTATACACGTACCAATTAAAACATAGAACATAGATCATAGTAAATTGAGAAAATCCGTTTCTCGATTTGTTCTAACAGGTTCACGAATACAGCTCGGGTCTGGCTGAGGTCCAATCCGAACTCTCGCAGAAGCTCAAGATCCTCCCCGCGCTCGAGGAGCTCATGCGGGAACTGGCCGAGATGCACAAGGCGAGCGGCGTGCCCGAGCAGTGGGGCAAGCGGGTCCAGGACATGGTGGGTTACTACGAGGAGGTGAAGGACATCGTGGCCGCGAGCAAGGATCGACAGGTCAGGACGAGCTCCTTCAACCTGCGACCCGGAGTCAACGTGACCTCGGAAGATGAGGACGGGCAAAAGTAAGCGAAAACGCATCAAAGAAACAACCAAAAACAATAATCAGAAACATCAACAACAACGACAACATGAACCATCACCACCACCACCACCACCATGACAACGACAACTACCACAAGAAACTCTATCCCCCAAAACCAACAACAACACCAACAAGATAAGAACAAAATAATAGAGTTCAAACAAAATGAAATAAAGCAACTAAAATGCGTCTTATGATAGAAAAAATGCTGGTGAATGATTAAAGACCGTCAATACTACTGGGCCAGAAGGGATTAGACCACACAGCGAGGTCACTGACAGGTGGCTTTCTCATTAACTCAGCTCTCAACTAACATAAGAAATAGAGGATCATGGGGGACCAACAGGCACCGATTGGGGAAGTTTTCTATATAGAGGGAGCAAGTAGCTACAAGTAGGACAGTTGAAGTTGAGTTCTGGTCATGCGATTGCATTGTGAAAGAAACGGTGTGGAACCGACCAGAAACGATTGATCGTCTAGCATATAAGAATTTGTGTGTATTGCAAGGTTCTGAAATCATCAAAATGATAAGAAATTTGGCCAAGTCTTGGTAAAGTTACAAACACTGTACACAGAAAGATGTATATGGGACTACACGAACACGTGGCGTAAAAAGCCGGCCCCCGATTTTTACGATGTTACATGCATATTTAGAATATGAAGGCATTTGAAGAGCCATGCTTTTCAGGGAACATGTCTTATCTGATGTTCTTCCACACTTGCATAATAAGAATGAGCAACGCTCACAAATTATTTTTCACCTCTTCCCAGAACTCAACCTTCTCTTCGAAGTCGGGCAGCAAATTCTCCTTGATAGGTTTATGCACAATATCCTCATGCATATTTGGCTTTGTTGGAAATATTAGCCTCTCAACAGTGTGACAGGGATTGAGATAGCCATCAAAGTCAAAATATCGAACAAAGAAACAAACAATTTGTTAATGTTATTTAATGATATATTAAATCTGTCTCGCAGAAAAGGCTGAATTGTAAAAACAAACTTACAAATGAAAATAACAAATGCATATAACATTATGTAACAATATTTTACCAACATTATAACAAGGAATAAAAGAATAACGCGTGATTTGGCATGGAAAATGTGAATCAAATGAACAAAGAAACGAATGAAGAAACAAAGATGATTCTCTTACAGGTTATTATGAATAGATAATCGAAATGTTTACATTTCTGGTACAAACAAACAAGCAACACTTACTATACAAACAAACCATCAACATATAGGTTATTACGAATAGATGAGCGTCGAGCAAAAATTTAACTTTTTGGGACACAGTGCGCCAGCTCATCTATTTCCATACAAAGCGCTAAAATATTGTACAATTGAAGCCAGAACATATGTTTCATATTTCCCTTGTACATTCTACTATGTCCTCTCAAGGGGATATATGGATATCATATATCACAACTAACCCGAACTAATACCACGCTAGTTAGCTTCAGGTGATTTTGCACTTTCTGTTCGCACGTGTTTCTGATTTATATGCAATTCCTTGTCTTGCTTCTTTAATATATTTTTGGCTCGAGTTTCGTACACTAATATTCTTTTGTTTCAGTTCTAATACCGTTTCGGCTTGAATTTCCCTTTTTGTTATCTAGTTTTCCTTCCTATATTGTGTTTGTAATTCTTGTCCTGGACTTGGCAGATACATGTAACTCCTTTTAACCTGAACTAGATAAAATGTCGGAAATTTATTTTTGGATGACCACATGTAGGAACCGGCATAGATTGTGAAACACCTTTTCCACAAAATAAGTCTATTTTCGACACTTTTGTGAGAGGGACGCTCTGGAGGTTTCCTTAAATTCTGCCTAGGTACTAGAAAACAATTTAGTCCTAGGATTGAATGGAAAACCGAAACAAACAAACAGCTCTCTTATCGCCGTTTCAACTTTTCTGAGAAAGCAAAATTGCAGGGAAACTACATAATACTATTTCGAAGGGCGTATGTACATGTGGGGTGAGAGGTAGAAGAGAGAAGGGGGGGGGGGGGACTGCAGTCATGTAAATGGGAGCTGGTCAGGGGCAGCTGGGGTGCGGTCACCCAATGGTGGTAAATTACATGCGAGTCCAGCAGATCAACATTGTGTGGCTAAAAACCTGCTTGTGTGCTACTTACTGACTAATAATTCAAACTCGCATGGATGTTAACTCCAAATGAATGTGCACTAACCTTATTCCACTCTTTCTTTATCTTTTCAGCACTTGGTTGTAAATTGTCACTCGCTTGTATCTCTAACCTGGCTACGTTTGCATGAGCTGGTTTGCAGTTGACAACACTGTCCCTTTCGCACCGGCTTCAAATCTTGTGCATGCCTTCCATGTTTAATTTAAATCTTTCCGATTCGTTTCTTTTTGATGTTGCTAAGCATGGCCACTTTGTAAAATGCTTACTTTGTACATTGTATATTGTACATGTAACTTGCTATCTGTCATGGGGCTTTTGATATTGCATTTTCATGTCGTCCTCTTCAACTATCAAATGCACTGTAAGAAAAGTCCAGATTTTAATCTCATCAGTTTGTGAAGTTTTCAGGTTTGCTTTAATTTCAGAAATGCACTTGATAACAAAGGCGATATATTATGTGTGCACAGAATGCATTACGTAACGTATCAATAATCAATCAATCAATAAAGCTGCATGTCAAATTTAGTCACCATCTGATAAGCATCTGAATACTAAACTGATATCATATCTTAGAACTGAAGCATATGAACTTATGATACCGTAGTTAATACCTTATTTCTTGTATGTCATGGTGTGGTTTACTTATGCTTATTTTATAGGTCGAAAGTCTCGTCTTCAGGCAGTAATTACTCCAAGGTAAATTTTCGATTCTAACCGAATTCTTCAAGTGTACCAATAACCTGAAAGAAAGAAAGAAAATGTATAGCTAGAATGTATGAAATCAACCTTATAAAATCCTTAAAGTACATTGTTGAAGGTTGATGAAAAAAAAAATTGAAATTTGTGTATGAAATGTTACTTATTATATTCCTTCTACTGTACTGACCCTCTAACGGGCAAAATATCCTGAGAAAATTCTCAAACCACAACGATATTTAAGGTTTTCCTTGAAGGCGTCACTGTGCAACACCCTCTTAGAGTGATTAAAAGTAAATTCTCCCAACCATTTTTCAATTTTCCCGACCGTTTTTCCATGAAACTAAGACATAAAACAGGCTCTTAAAAATCTGTCAACACTTAAATATCTGGAATGGTACATAGAGCCAATTCATTGCTTTGTGACGATTTACATTCACCAAAAATGTAATTAAATTGTAATATAGTTGGGAGAATTAACAAAGTGATCAGATAAATTTTCCCCAGTTTTTATCATTAATAATGGTCCGTTTGCACTCAAACTTTCAGATTATCTTTAATTGTACATCTAACATTGAAATCACTACCTTAACACCATGTTCTCTTATCTGAACAATGTTACTTACATGTAGTCCCTTTTACATCCATTATAATAGGTAATATTTCTTTGCAGAAGTAATATTCGAGGCTTATATAATTTGAATACATCGTAGCCACATGGAACCCCCTTTACTGTACATCACGGGCAAAACATAATTTGGTGACTAATTTAACTAATGCTTACCAACAACATTAATCCTAACCATACAACTTGCTTTAAACCTAATTGCAATCTTAAAGGGAACCTCAACCTTCATACTTAGTTACTTTTATTGTAAAGTTTAAGATATTTGAAACATATCAGTGAAAATTTGAACAAAATCGGGCAAGGAATAAGGAAGTTAGAGCTTTTTGAAATGACTAGTCACTAGAGGGCGGTATTCAATTTGATGACATCATCTGTGGACAACTCTCCATGCCTTTTGTACATAAAATGTCATGTTTTTCCTTCTTTCTTGTGATTGAGATAATTTACTCCCCTGAAAGCAAGATTTAGAATGCAAAATGATATTCTACTTCACATGTTATGAAGTCGGATCAAGAACACAAATAAATACGAAGAAAACGAAAAAATTGTGAAATTGTATGTACAAAAGGCATGGAAAGTTGTCCACAGATGATGTCATCAAATTGAATACCGCCCTCTAGTGACTAGTCATTTCAAAATGCTCTAACTTCCTTATTCCTTGCCCGATTTTGTTCAAATTTTTACTGATATTTTTCAAATATCTTAAACTTTACAATAAAAGTAACTTAGTATGAAGGTTTAGGTTCCCTTTAACCCTACGCATATCTGTGACGAAATAAATGACGGAGCAATAAATGCTGTTGAAGTATTTTATATATATACTGAAGCTCATGTTTGTAAATATTATAATGACCATAGTGTATGCTAAAGTATTGATGTTTACGCTGCAAGTTTTTAATGGATATTTTGTAGGGATGGCAAAATCAACTGTTAAATATTGATTTTGTAGTGTATGAAACTTTTCATACTTCACTGTGTTCCTATCACACCGCCAAAGATATTACGTCATATTTATTTTTAGATTAGGCAGAAGGGGTTTTCCCTTTTGCAGCGTCGGGAACTATAAAGGAAGGATGTTGATGCATGAAGCACGAGGTATGAAATATTGTACAGAGTAACAAATGTTTCGGTCGTTGAATGATGGGTATGGATACATTCAGGCAGGAGCGAAGGTGTTTCCTACAAAGCGGAAGAGAGAGAGAGAGAGAGAGAAGAAAAGAGAGAGAGAGAGAGAGAGAGAGAAGGAGAGAGAGAGAGAGAGAATAAACAAAGGGGAGGAGGATGGATCAGATTGGAGGATTTAAAAAAATCTTTCCCTCCCTCCCTCTCTCCCTCCCACCCCTCCTATCTTCTTTCCGCACCCCCTCTCTCTCTCTCTCTCTCTCTCTCTCTCTCTCTCTCTCTCTCTCTCTCTCTCTCTATCTCCCTCTATGTCCCTCTCTGTCTCACTTTCCTTCTCTCGCTAACTATAGTTCAAGATGAATCGTGAACTCCGGTTCCCATATCTGTCTATTATTATGTTTCGAAAGTGGGTATGCGGTTTTGAACTTTAAACACAATTTAATCCATGAGAAATGTTCATAACATACACTTTTGTTTCGTTTTCAGATAGAGTTGACTTCGAACCAATGTCAACGAATATGTAGAGTCTTTGTAGTTATAATGCGCTCGCAAAGACTTTCGAAAAATCAGCCTTAGTTAACCCATTGCTTACTGGAGCCTGGTGGTCCCTGTGTTAAAGATGAAGTTGAGTTCTGGTCATGCGATTTCATTGTGAAAGAAACGGTGTGGAATCGATCAGAGAAGGTTGATCATCTAGCATATAAGAATTTGTGTGTATTGCAAGGTTCTGGAATCATCAAAATGATAAGAAATTGGCCAAGTCTTGGTAAAGTTACAAACACTGTACACAGAAAGAGGTATATGGGACTACACGAACACGTGGCGTAAAAAACCTACCCCCCGAGTTTTACGATGTACATGACATATTTAGAATATGAAGGCATTTGAAGAGCCATGCTTTTCAGGGAACATTGTCTTATCTGATGTTCTTCCACACTTGCATAATAAGAATGATAACGCTCACAAATTATTTTTTCACCTCTTCCCAGAACTCAACTTTCTCTTTAAGTCTATGGGAATTAGATAATTCAGTAGTCAACAGGTTAATTTCAATAGCTAGCTTATCTAGCACCTCTTGAAATGTGCAAACATGACAATGATGTTTGATGTAATCTGAACATGATTTATGGGATGTATGATAGGGTATTGATATAGCCTGCGAGTTGGTTACTCGAAAGTCTTTGCGATTATGTTTCATGAAAAACTGCGTAGAAATATATTTAATAAAGTTTATTTATCACTCTGATCAGCCGATTTCCTTTTCAGTTTTAGATGAAGCATCTATATAAGATCAGTATATCCATGGATAAGGCTTTGTCTTCATAGATTTAAGTGTTAATGAAAAATAAATAAATGCTCAACTTGTAGGCCAAAGTGTGAAAGTCTTTTTTTTTAATCGTTATTGTATTTATTAGTTTCTGACACAATGTCGGACATTTTTCCCAATGCTTGTGGACATAGTTACATCATTCATTCATTCATCAATCTATATATCAATCAATTAATGAGTTAATCACTCAATCAAACCATCTACCAATCAATTAATCAATCAGTCTATCAATAAGTCAGTCAATCTATGTATCTATCGATTAATCAATAAATCAACCACTGATATAATCATTTCATCAATCAATAGATGAATAATCAATAAATCTATTATGTGATTACAATTAAAAAAATCACTACTCGAAAATTTCTGTTCGGAGGATTCCTTTGGTATAAAACGGAATAAAAAACTACCAAAAACTTATCAGTCAATCAATCAAAATACAATAGTATCAATTTTTTTTTATTTAAAGGTAATACAAAGTTTTGGTATGGAGTCATGAATTTGGTTCAAATTAACATATTGGAAGCATATGCTCTCCTACAACATTCAGTGATCGTTGTCGCGGTTGAAATCGAGTTTAAAGTTATGAAATTGTAAATAATAAACTCTTTATGTTGTATAGCTCCCTCTCAAGGCCAAGATATTGCTTAAGCTATAAAACAATGTTCTTGACTAAAATTGACCCATTCGTTATTCCCGTTTGGAAATTACATATTACAACTACATATTCTGAGATTTTCATGGTCGCAGCTACCATTGTACGGCCGTAGGCGCTATTTGAAATTTATCAAAATTTACCGGGAGCCGTAGGCGCTATTTGAAATTTATCAAAATTTACCGGGAGCACCGGAAAATTTTTATATTCAATTTTTCTCGAAAGCAGAAGTGTTTTAGGGGCTACTATCTCATGCTTATAACATATCCACAGGGGCATCCAAATATATCAAAATTGTAAAGAATCACTATCCACCCAATTTTCAAAAATTTCCAAAACTTTGTATTACCTTTAAAATAACTGCTAAAAAAATTATTTTGGTATTACTAAATAGTGAATAATCAGTCAATCAATCAATCAATTTGTAAGTTAGTCAATATACAATATTATCATTAAATTTAGATAATCCTTCCTCGAATTTCCCTGCCCGAAGGATTCAGTTGGTTTAAAACTAAATAGAAAAAATAATCAACCAACAAATCAATCAATCAACCAATTTATCATTCATTTATCATTCATTCAATAATGATAACAGTCAAGTTTGTATACTACTTTATGATGATTACGATGGTGATGAAACGCCATGGCTAAAAACATTACTGTCTAAATGAAAGGCATATCAGAACTAAAATATTAAAAAATTGTACCGTTGTTGCCCGCAAAAATACCCCAAATATACTCATCTTACAGTATAATGTCACCGAAACAGAAATATGAAGGGCACTAACTCTGTCAAGTTTTTAATCGCTCAGTATTGTGCAATGTTTACGGCAGCAGTTTTGTTTTCAAAGGCAGTTCCCTAATGCCATCCTGTTCCTTTAACGTTTCTGTTACCCTTTCTGTTGATCCATGGCGGTTTTATTGATTTATTTATTATTTATTCTGGCACTTTCAAGAAATATAACAATAAAACGATTTAAACATGTATTTCGTTTTACAACAATCTAGACCAACTATACCCCCAAACGCCTCCCTCCCACTAAGTATTAACAGCTTTTTGAATCCCCTTCGTGATCCTACCCGCCGGAGAGTCATAAACCAATGGCAACAGACGTAAGTCATGAAACAGAAAACAAATCGAAACTTTGAATATATTTGTAGCTTCTCGCTGTCTTTTATTGATCATATTCATGTTCAATAATAAAATGTAGCTTATATCAAATCTGGTAAAATAATCAATAATTCAGATTCTCTAATTCCAATAATTATATTCCTCGGAGACATCAATCTGACGATATACGTCAATGATGTTATTGTTGGCATTTCTTACCATCTTGAATTATATGTTGGCTTGGTATTTATCATCTTACATCCCCATGTCGTGGTTTGTACATTAATTTCCTTCACATATTTCTAAAAACAAACCATGTCAGATCTAATGCTGCATCAACTTCTCTTTTGGCAGTAAACCATCTCAATTCGAGTAACAATTCAAGACAATATTCGCACACCAAATGATAGGTAGTACGAAAAATGTATAACGCTGCACCAATTCTCTTTCATAAAATGTGATAATCGTTGGGTAACAACAAGTCAACAACTACAACAACAACAACAACAACAAGAACAAGGGACAGCACATTTTACACAACATACACTGTATTGGAACACACACGTTCTTGACTTTCTCATACAATAGTAAATATAATTTAGAATTCTCCTTCGATGACTTGTAAAAAAAATTGATATAGACAGTACTATAATGCATGATTTGGATAATACAATAAGCATACCGATATATACATATAAATGCTGATAATATGTCAACATATTTTAGCTTAGATGTAGATATAATGTATTGGCAGTACATTTCCATCTCATATAGCAAGACAGAGCGTAAAATATGTACATGGGATTTCCAAGAGACAACGAGAGAGAGAGAGAGAGAGAGAGAGAGAGAGAGAGAGAGAGAGAGAACAAGAGGGAATAAGGAAACGAGAACAGGTTACATAATAAGAGATCGAGAGAGCGGGGGAGGGGTAACCTAAGACATAGGGAGAGAGGGAGAAAGAGAGAGAGAGAGAGAGAGAGAGAGAGGACAAGAGGGAATAAGGAAACGAGAACAGGTTACATAATAAGAGATCGAGAAAGCGGGGGAGGGGTAACCTAAGAGAAAGGGAGAGAGGGAGAGAGAGAGAGAGAGAGAGAGAGAGAGAGAGAGAGAGAGAACAAGAGGGAATAAGGAAACGAGAACAGGTTTACATAATAAGAGATCGAGAAAGCGGGGGAGGGGTAACCTAAGAAAAAGGGAGAGAGAGAGAGAGAGATAGAGGACAAGAGGGAATAAGGAAACGAGAACAGGTTACATAATAAGAGATCGAGAGAGCGGGGGAGGGGTAACCTAAGACATAGGGAGAGAGGGAGAAAGAGAGAGAGAGAGAGAGAACAAGAGGGAATAAGGAAACGAGAACAGGTTTACATAATAAGAGATCGAGAGAGCGGGGGAGGGGTAACCTAAGACATAGGGAGAGAGGGAGAGAGAGAGAGAGAGAGAGAGAGAGAGAGAGAGAGAGAGAACAAGAGGGAATAAGGAAACGAGAACAGGTTTACATAATAAGAGATCGAGAAAGCGGGGGAGGGGTAACCTAAGAGAAAGGGAGAGGGGGAGAGAGATAGAGAGGACAAGAGGGAATAAGGGAACGAGAACAGAACTCAGAGGGTTATAAACAAGGACATATATGTGTAGACAAAATTACATCACAAGAACGTTAGTTTAATAAGTACAGAAAGAAAAACAGAGTAGTAAACACGGTCCTTAAATGTACTATTTGCCTTTTGCAGCCAACCTCAAATTCTGTAGAACTTTGCAGGAATTATGAATATGTCATGTATGTGAAATTTAAACGTTAGCAGTGTCCTCATATTCAAATTATGCAAGGAAACCCGTTTACTTGCTAGACCTCACTGTCAGACACTACTGAGTGACTGACTGGCTTTTTTCTTCTTTGGTAATAACATACATGAAGAGAGTTGTAAAGGGTACATGAGCATTTGTCTACATCAATAACCCACTTCTTGTGATGGCCAAGATTAAACTGATCGAATCTTTGTGCAGCATAAAACGTATGACCATTCGGTACAATTGTCTGAAAATCAAGACTATTACTTTTTGGCTCTATAGCCCAAAAGTCGATTTGACAACTAATAGTCGTTATTTTCCCACTTGAAGACATTTTCAAGCCCCACCTTTTTTAAAGGAAGTTCTAAATTAGTATTATCTTTCAAATGCAGTTGGAATTTAAATTTTTCATTTATTTGGCCTGCAAATGGGACATAGTACCTTTAAGGCTTTCGAAAATCAACCTAAGGACAAGTTCAATAGCCCCTTTCGATAGCCTTGATAATCAAATACAGCAAGGCAGTGAAATTTCCATGACACGGTTTTTCGAAAGTAGTCGCAATCTTGTTAGAAACAAGCACAACGGTTTCCATATAATACAGGAACTATTATCGATTTGATCAATTCTGTGTCTACTCGCTAACGTCTTAGTTATACCGCCTCATCGCGACTCCAGAACGGCTTCACACTAACCAATAATTATTAGCCACTGTGGAAGATGAAAACTTCTTCTTCGGTTTCAGATCTGCGTGATGCCGGTCCCTCGGATGTGACCGGGATATTTAGATGTTGGGATGATTGGTCATTTCAATGGTTTCTTCTGTACAGTGAAAAAAATTCTTCTCTTAAAGCCTCACCGCACTAGTTTGGCCAGGAGGAATTAGACCTCCATGCATGGTCACTGACGGGTGGTTATCTCATCAAAATCAGCTCTCAATTAACATAAGAAAAGGGGACCTTTGGAGACCAACGGTCACCGATTAGGCATTGTTTGCTATATCGAGGGCGCAAGTAGCTATAAGTAGTGCGGCTTTAAAGAAATGTATGTAACAACCATTTGTCGAATTTACTGCAAGACATTTGTGATAATTATGATTATCGACACATACGAGTAATTTAACATTCTGTGTTGCAATTTTCAATATTCTCGTCCAGTCTCTTGCGATCTTCCTCCTTTTCCGCATCCTCCCCCTCACCCCTGCTCTTCTCTCCGGCACCTGCGCGACCTCCTCGACGCCGTCGACACGACACCGAAATCTCGCCAGCCACCAAACGCCGCAGGAGATACAGTCCAAAATACATCGCGTGCAACACCGGACCTAACACAAAGATAAACACCATGGTCATTGCCACGCTATCCTTGACGCCGTCCTCCCAGTCGATTAGACCCTCGTACATCTCTTTTCCCCCGTACGGGTTGATACCCCCCGCGTAGTAGTAGATCACCGTGAAGATGATGTACACAGTGAAATAGAGCACCGGGTAGACAAAGTGCAACACGCGGAATGGGTGCGCGACGACCGTGAAATCAACCAGCGCGAGCACCGTCCCGACGGCGTGCACGTGGAGGGTGAACACGTGGAGTTTCTCCAGCTCGGGGTTGTACTCGAAGAACCAGTAACCCATGGCAACGAAGAGGACCGCGGATGACGCGATGCTCTGGAGGAACCAGGTGAGCTTGAAGTACCATGGTAACGGTCGGGTGACGAAGGAGAGGTCGGGCTCTGTCGGGTCCCCGGACGCGGGTAGAATCGGTGAGGTTGTTTTGATGGATCCGATCCGAGTTGATTCGGGAGACGTGGAAGACACTGTACAGAAAAGGGGGAAAAGGGAATGGGGAATAAACAAGCTTTAACCCTTAAGCATTTTATGCTTTCTTAGCAGTCAAATAAAATAACTACCACTAAACCACAATCTAAATTTCACACATTTCAGGGTCTAAAATTGCCTTCACAGCAATTTAATGTCCTAAAAGTGCACTGGAAAATGTCATAAATTTGAAAAAGAGCAATAACCATGCACTTTAAAGGAACTTGCGTTCTCAAGCAAGAACCCAACTGTCCCTTTAAGTACCGGGTTTGGATTCGAAACCTCCGCACTTGAACTGAATTTCAAATGAATGAACAATTAACTATATATACTTTGTACCACCATACATTAATTATCCTTGCTTTTGTTAATTGATAATTGCCAGGCTTGGATTCGAAACCTCACCCCTTGGACTGAATTTCAAGTGTATGAATAACCATTGATTCCAACACCTGGAACAACTATACAATATATTCTAGCAAACATTATTTACTCTTGCTTGTATATAGTGTATAGTGTATCCCTTTTGCAGCCGACATTAAATTCTGTAAAACTTTGCAGGAAATATGAATATGTCACGTATGTCCTATATCTGTGAAATTTGAACGTTAGCAGTGTCCTTGTATTCAAATTATGCTAAGAAACCGTTTACTTTCTAAACTTCACTGTCAGACACTATTGAGTGACTGACTAACCTCTTTTTTCTTCGGTAATAACATACATAACATGAGCTGTAAAGGGTACATGAGCATTTGTCTACATCAATAACCCACTTCTTGTAATGGCCCATATCAAACTGATTGAATCTTTGCGCAGCATAAACTGTACGACCATTCGGTTCTAGGGTCTGAAAATCAGACTATTTAATTAAACGAGCGCGCTCGCTAAATTCGATTCGACAACTGGTGGTCGGTATTTTCCCTCAAAGAAGACGTTTTCGAGCCCTTTTGTTTGGAGGGAGTTCTAAATTAGTATTATCTTTCAAATGCCGTTGGAATTTAACCTTTTCATTGTGTTGGCCTGCAAATGGGACATATACCTTTAAGTGCCGTGCTTAGATTCGAACCCTCAGTCCTTGAACTGAGGATTAAATTGATGAACCACTGTACCACCATACCTTTACTCTTGCTCTTGCTGAGGTGATACGTCACAGCTGAAGCGGCTGCTGTGACGAAATAAAGGGTGAGGAAGAAGAAAGACCAATTTGAGAGATAGATCGGCCATTTGGCAGTCGTGTCGACAGGTCGGTAGAATCGGGTGTCGTCCCAGTAAATGATCACCAGAGCATTCCATAAGACTTGGTAGAAAGCGATGATCACTCGGTACACGACGTAGCTAGTCGGCTGCCTAGGCCAGTAAAACTAAACATAATGAAAACATTGACAAAAATAAAGTTATGATTTCGCGTATATCACAGATATTATTATTAAATTGTAATTTATTAAAAACATTCTTAGTGCCCTTCAGGCGTTCAAGAAATAGATACCCTTATTTGTCTATAGACACACCGAGTGTATAGGCGTTAAGTACGAAGATACACCTATTGCAATATATGCAGGTGGCCTGTACTTCTACAGAAGGAAAAGAAAAAGAAGTAGAAGAAGAAGAAAAAAAGGGGAAAAGAAGAAGAAGAAGAAGAAGAAGAAGAAGAAGAAGAAGAAGAAGAAGAAGAAAAAGAAGAAGAAAAAGACAAAAGAAGAAGAAGAAGAAGAAGAAGACGAAGAAGAAGAAGAAAAGAAGAAGAAGAAGAAGTATAAAATGATACAGTGATTGCTTCTGTTTTGTTGCCATCTCAGTGCTGTACATGTTTAATTTGATAATTGTGACACCATCCAAAAGATAACAAACTTTCAGAGCTAAAACCTACTAAACAAGAGCGATTCAACCAGATACAATATCATAACACGGTCTGCTATTATATACTAAAACGTGACGTAAAGATTGTGTTAGCCCTACCTTTTCAGAACCTTTTTACCTTTTTACTTTCTTGTTGATCTATCGGAAATAAAATTGAAACAGGCAACCCTATACTCACTCGACCTTCATTCAACCGAATTCTATTTTCCCTTTTGTCAGGAAAAGGTTGTATTTCTTCCTGTTCTAAATGATCTGCCATTCAAAAAGATTTTGTTTCATTTCCATTATAAGGCTAATATCCCTGAAGCGATTTAAGCGATATGGACATACATGTTAATGAAAAAGTTAATTAAAACGTGACATAGACGGAATCGGATGGGAAATTGGAGAAGATTAAAAAGAAAAGAAAAACACTTTAAATTTTGTGACCTCATTGCGATTTCTGTGCTGTTTTGCTTCCTTATATAAAATAGGAAAATGATTAACTGAGATATATTTGTTTCAGTTTTCATTGGAGATGCGTGAGAGATCACATGCATTTATTCTTAAATCTAAACTAAAACAAACCTTGTCGGCGTGAATACAGGAGCTTTCGCAGCAAAGGAGAATATATATTTATATATAGTTTTTGCGCTTCATGAATAATTCACATTTTTTTTTATCAAATCGCAGCAAAGTAGAAAAACATTTATAGTTTCTGCGCTTCAAGAATGATTCATATTATCTTTATTTTAATAATACCGCTGCAAAGTAGAATATGTTATATAGTTTCTGCGCTTCATGAATAATTCATATTATTATTATCAAATCACAGCAAAGTAGAATATATTATACAGTTTCTGTGCTGCATGAATGGTTCATATTATCATTACAGTTATCAATTCGAAGCAAAGTAGAAAATATTATATCGTTTCTGCGCTTCATGAATGATTCATATAATCATTATAATCATATTGTAGCAATGAAAGTAGAATATATTATATAGTTTCTGCGCTTCATGAATAATTTATATTATTGTTATCAAATCACAACAAAGTAGAATATATTATATAGTTTCTGTGCTTGATGAGTATTCCGTATTATAATCAAGGTATCAACTTAGAAACTGAAAGGGCAATCGACCTCAGCCGCCCCCCCCCCCTAGAATAATTTTGAGCGTAATATTATGTGGACTCGTCAAAGACTATGAATTTTTGAAAGTGAATGAGACAATTATGAACTTGTTACAGAAACTTATTTTCTTTTCTTGTACAGGTGTGTTCTATATGCTAGTGACCTTTGACCCGAGCATCCTCTCACATCCGGGTGAAACCATGTGTCATTGGATGTCTTGATTTGGGTGCAGGTCTAGGTATGACAATTACCGGAAGTAATACCAGAGTTAACATGGTTAACCGGAAGTGAAATGACAAGATACGTCACGCTAGCTGAGTTATATAGTTCCACACTTTCACTATCAAGATATATAATAGGCTCTGCATGAGTAGTCATTTTACCTTCTATAAAGGAGGAAGAAACTGAAAATAGCCACCTGAAATAACAACCCCAAAAGGATATAATTCGATTTCTCTCTGCACGTAAATGATAATGGTGTCGAAAAGCGTTCGTTCGTTTCACTTTTGATTCAATTATGAGAACATCAAATTGAATGCTGGACAGAAGATCCAAATCGAACTTCTACAAATTCCTTGTTTGGTAAAACGTGAACATCTGACGAAAAATCATTCGCATGTTGTTCAATCTGATGACCTTTCAATTGTATCGGTCTGTTTCCCCTTGTTTGAAAATGTTCAGCTACATAAATCAACTGTTTGGCGAAATAGATCCGACACAGGGCCCCCGCCACTCGGTATAGGGGCGCCCCTACTCATATTGCGCCCACGTAGTGCACCTATTCTACCTTTTGCCACCACCCCTCCCTCATAACTTAAAAAAACGGTTATTTACAAGATTCGAGAATACGACAGGACATATTAAAATTCAACAATTTATTGACAGTAATCCAAACAAATGAAATTATTCTCGATTTGTCTTCTTCTTCAAACAAAGGATAACTAAAATCAAAAGAAAACAAACAGAAAAGGCAAAAACTAACGTACTACCACATATAAAACAAAGCTGAAAATAATCCCGTTTACAATCTTAAACTGTTCAACTACAACAAAATCCTCGAAGAAAAGAAAAGCAGACTAACAATATCATAGAATACAATTAAATTCAAATTCACATTAGAATTCAATTCAGTTGCTTAAGGTTCAGACGTGCTACGTCAATCCCAATATTCATAAGATGTCTTCAAGTGCGACTAGTAAACGCTAAATACCTACTATTAACAACTGACTGTAATTAATGGTCTACTTTCGATCAGATGTTCAGTTATTGTTTTACGGGCCAGCAATTCTCAATACAATTATAAAGGCTGCATGGATGGAGAAAAAAAAAATCATCCTTTGCATATTGTATGGACCCTTCTCATTTCAAACTGTATAAAATGGATCTACTTTGTAGAGCAGAGTTGTACATTGTAGAGGTAAAGGCGTCGTAGTCGAGTGGTTTAAGCAATTGACTTGAAATTGAAAAGTCTTGGGTTCGAATAAAATTAATGGACCACAGATTTTGGTAACATTCGAGGGATCATATTCCTTTAGGGTTTCGTCTGCGCCTAGAATATAGACAGAAGTGACATAGCGTTCTTTAATTTCAACACTTGAAAGAAAGTTTCAACTTCAACCTCTTTCTGATATAGAAATGAGGTACTTAAGATTTATTGCTGGTAATAATTATACATTGGCTTGTTGTACTCGACATTAGATCGTCAGATTAAAGACCTCTTGTACTCACTACCCGTATATAATCACTTAATCGTAGGTCCACACACGCATGAAGTATTATCACGAGGAGCTGATGGATGTGTTTTGAAAACAGCTTCATCATGTTCCATAGCAACAATCAACAGACCGGGTCACGAAGAGGTCGTATTGTGACGTCGAAACAATCACTCAACACGTCCACCCCTCCCCCCTCTCACCCCTTCAAATTGCAAGTATCAAAGTGCATTAAATCAAGTGCGACAAAGTCCAGTTCAGGAGGTTAGCTTGGGTGATGCCTCGACATTGATGATGATGGTGATGATGATGACAATACTTCTACTACTACTACCACTACTACTACTACTACTACTACTACTACTACTACTACTACTACTACTACTACTACTTCTACTACTACTACTACTACCACCGGCACCACCACCATCACCACTACTACTACGTCTACTTTTACTTCTACTTCTTCTAAGAACAACAACAACAAAAACAACAAAAACAACAACAACAACAACTACCGTCTACTCCTACCTCTACTACTACTATACTACTACTACTACTACTACTACTACTACTACTACTGCTACTACTACTACTACTACTACAACAACTACTACCACAACCGGCACCACCACCATCACCACTACTACTACGTCTACTTCTACTTCTACTACTACTACTACTGCTACTACTACTATTGTTACTACTACTTCTATTGCTACTACTTCTACTACTACTACTACCCCTACTACCTATATTAATGAGAATAATAATGACAATACATAAAGTCGCTGAATCATTCACTTAAAGACAGTCAATACTACTCGGCCAGAAGGGATTAGGCCACACAGCGAGGTTACTGACAGGTGGCTATCTCATCAACTCAGCACTCAACTAACATAAGAAAAAGAGGATCATGGGGACCACTTCAGGCACCGATTGGGGAAGTTTTCTATATAGAGGGAGCAAGTAGCTACAAGAAGGACAGTAGGGCTTTAAATTCTTCCTACCGGGTAGGCCTACCTAGGTGGAGAGTGGCAAATGTAAATTGTCAATAGGAATTTAAAAAAACCTAAACAACTCCGATTCACAGCCCTATAAGAGTTCCGCATCAAATACATAAATTATGAATAATCCTACTACTACCACTAACAGCAATGAAAAAAGATAACAACGACACAAACACAACAACTACAACAACAACAACTTCGAAGGGGGTGACATATCAATTAGGGCATCTTTCCATTTTCTTAAACTTAGCGATTGAGCGAAGTAACCGAGTGTCGTGACTTTTGTGACCCATATACTTTCTGGTGATAATTCCAAGTTATATGCCACGCTGCCTGAATGAAGTGGAATATGGAGAAGCGATCAACATTCAAGGAGAGGGAACGGTGGGGAACCGTCTCATACGATTATGCTTATTTCTTGTCCGTCCGTCTGTCTGTCTGTGTGAATTACTCCTTTACCACCCCTCACCTATCTTTCCGACACTATATTACACACTTTTAAGTCTTTAATATTAGAATAACTCTACATACACAATAATGGACGTACATTGTATAATGATTGAAAAAACTTGGAAAGCAGTTTTGTTAAACTGAATGTACCTACCCTCTATTTTAAATAAAACTTGAATAAATAAAATAAATAAATAAATAACAAAATAATTTGCTCAACTCCCTGCATCGTTATTGTAACCTTAATTACCATGTAGAAACATGAAGACGTCGAATCATGATTATAACAAAATACACAAAGTTTCTGCCCACCTGAAATCGGTAAAACTCCTCCGGCGATGTGTCGCAGAACCCGAAGTTTCTGAGCCGAAATTCCCTTTTGACACGTTCCATTGTGAATATATCCACCAAGCGGTTTTCACAAATCCTCCCGCTTCCGACTTCAACCAGGAACCGAGTGAGATTACAAATACATCAAGCTGTGTGTCGTTGACATTATTCCCTTTCCTACAAATCCATAGCCTAGCGCCGATGGATCGAGCTCGACAAAAATCTGTCTGTTGTGCCGCGCGTAGCTGGCATAATTCGTATCCAGATATAGGAGAAATCGATTTCTGTCTAGGTTATGGGCCTGTTCGCTACATTAAAGAAAGACCAACAACGTTTACAACTCCGATTCATAACCCTAAAAGAGTTCCGCATCAAATACATGAATTATGAATAATACCACAAGTTCACAACTACCACGAACACAAATTTCGTGCTTAAGTGATAGGATAAATCGATTTTTTTTTTTTAGAAGAAAGACGCATTGTATTTAAAGGGAATGGTTACGTTTTTGTTAATGACGAAGAAACATAGGAGTGGTTGAATTGGATAATAACACTGAAAGTGATTGAAATTACTGTATTCTTGCAAACTTGCAAGGGGGGGGGTAAACGTTCTGAGAGGTAGTCTGTAATGTTCCAAATGATATTTAGTAGGTGTTTACAATTTACCGCCCAACGTTCGGAGATAAAGGAGAGAGAGAGAGAGAGAGAGAGAGAGAGAGAGGGGGGGGGGGGGGGGGAGAGAGAAGCTGGAAAAGGTGAGGGGAGGGGTGGAAACCATGATAGTCAGAAAGGGAATAGGAAGATATATTTTTTTTTTTACCAATGATTAATTTTTTAGGGATAATCCTCTTCCCCGCCTCCTTCCAAAATAGATCAAATTAAACCTAAATAATCCCTAGGAAATCTAGCGACGATAGTGAGAGCAGCAGTGAAGAATCGAAAAGAAAGCAAAAATCAAATGCATCTTTTTCAATTTATGTCCTCCCAGTTAAAGGCAGTCGGGAGCAGGTGTTTCCGCCATCGGGATCCACGGGGGTTGGGGGGGGGGGGTGGGTAGGAGCTGTGGTGCTGAAGTGAGTACCATAAAGGAGTAAAGCATCAACATAATTATACGACAAGAAAGGGAAAGAAATGTAGGTCAACGCCAAAGAAAGAGAGAGAGAGAGAGAGAGAGAGAGAGAGATAGAGATAAAAAGAGAGAAAGAGATACAAAGAGAGAAAGAGGGGGAAGGATAGAAGGACCGTGCCGGGCCCCATGGGAGGGGGTGGGGGTGACCAGTACCACCCTTGCTAAAGGAAGCGGTGATTGATCAAAGACCAATCACCGCTTTAGGTGGCAACACATCATATTCTGCTTGCCTGTGATATTCTACTAGAAGTTTTCTTAATTGTACATGAATTTGGTTTCCTGCAGACCTGCACTTTTCCACAGATATTTAGGATATTAGTTTAAACTCATAATACTATATTAGAAAAATATCAAGTTCATCTCACAAAGTATATGTAAATCCTTTTGGACATGAAGTTGTGATTGTTTGCATATTTGTATTACACCTTACGTTTACATCATTGTTATTCAGTTATTGCATTTGGAAAAATGCAGGAATATAATCAAAATCAAATAAAATCAAAATCAAAAATTACAATCAAAACAAGTACACCTGTATGCCTAATATACTTTTCGCTTACAGCAATTTCTGTACTTTTTATCAATCCAGTAATCACACCGCAGCTTGGTTTACTTAAACAACGGAAATTCGTTTTGTAGAAGAAGAAGATGAAAACAATTTTCACTGGAAGACTACCATTTGCCCTTTTTGCCAAAGTAGGCCTACCTGGCTACCTCGATTCGTTTTCCTATTTTTTTTTCTTTCTTCCAGTGACTAAAATCGAAACTCTACCAAACGGGGATGGACAACTTGCGGTGTTGGCATTGACCAAATTCTGTAGAGAAGTTGAGATTGCAATCTAGCTTGAAACGACTTTCAGGTGCCTAAAAATAAGTTCGGACATGCAGAAGGGCAAAAGGAAATTCAAAGCGTCCAAGAGCCCATACTCTAGGGAGCTTTTTCTCCGTGTGTTCAATGGAATACAGATCGAGAGAGGGAGACCAAGAGGGAAAGAGATACAGAGACATAAATTGAGAAAGAAGGAGGGGGGGGGGGGGGGGGGGGAGAGAGAGAGAGAGAGGGGGGGGGGGGGGGGGGCGAGAGAAAGGGCGTATTTTAAACCAGCCTCGCTACTTGGAGATATAATATTGGCATGATTGTTGATAGGGTATGTGATTGCAATCATTGCATGATCCAAAATCCATCATAGACTTATGCCGAGAAAAAAAATGTTTGTTTTAATGGTTTGCACCCATCCGGCCTTGTTTTTAATAGGAAAGAATGATCTCCGTGAAATTATTCGACACAGGCGTTTGGAACTGTTATAGAAGCACATGAATTCATCAACATATCAATTACTTTTTAATCTCCCATTTCTCATTCTAAGTATTTCCTAGATTCTCGCCCCCAGCCTAGCTCCACCTCCCCCCCCCTTTTTTTTTTCGGACTGCCTCCTTTTGTTTATGTTTTACTATTTAATACTTTTTCTCTGAATCGACACATATAAGAACGTTGAATTGAACTGAATTGACAAGGATTATTGATAAACAAAGTAACAGCTCAAAACTGATATATTTTGAATTTACAAATAAAAATGTAAAATTAAAAATACATGCAACTAGACCTATAGGTTGATGTGAAATAGGCAAATGTTTATTTAATACATTCAATAGTCAATTTGATATGATAAAAGGAATAGAGATTGTATTTCTGCTTTTGTTGCTGTACTAGATATGCACAGTTGAGTATATTTGTAAAATGTGTGTATATTTTGCAATTTACGCAACAAACTTTGTATTCAAAATTGACCTAATTTAGTATTTCTATGTACGGAAAAAAAATATCAAATATTCCTCCTCATTTTCGTAAAATCCGGACGAGAAACTAAGAATCGATTTCACTTTGTTTTTTTCTAAATCATAATAATGGGCCCTATATATGCATCTATCTTGAGAAAAGTCTGTACCAAAGACTAACTGGACGGACTGGGAGCAGAAACAAATAAATACTGAACAATTATGATTTCTTTTTGCTCCTGAAATATAAATAATGTGGCAAGATATGGATGAATTAACAAAGGTAAGTAATAAATTAATACAAGTGTTGGATTTTATCTTGAGATGACATGTACATATGGGTACAGTGGAGCATAGTTTATTTTTTATTTAGCTTTTGTACCGAAGCCCAGGCCCCACGTACTGGTCTTTGTGTTAGCATTTATTCGAAGAGCTTACCGCGGTGCCTGGGCGAGTGCGTGCGTGCATTGGCCATTACTGCCGAGAAGTGTTGAATGAAACTGTATTCTTCTTCTTCCGGTATAAGTGCTGCTTCATTGTGATTTGCTAGACCAAAATCTATTTTGTTACCGGTGTGAATCCTTAGTTCTCATGTTTGATAGAAATTTGTCCCAACTTTGGTTTTTGATCTCTCATGTTCGGGATATTCTATAAATTCTGCATGCCTTCGCAGTGTGTCTTTTGAGTAGACCTAGTTAGATTTACAAAATCTATATAGTCTATGTACAATGTACATGATGTAATGCTTAAAATAAAGTTAAATGGCATTTGAAATGGTAAGATCTTAAACCAGTTAGAATGTTCATGCGTGCAAAGCTTCCAAAGAAAATTGCAATTTTACACAAACATTTCCCGTTTAGTCTGGTCTACAGGTATATCAGAACTACGGTAACATATTCGTTCTACTGAGAGTGCAAATGCAATCTGAATATAATAATTAATGGATTCTTCTCTCTAAATTTGGGGTTCAAAAACTTCTTATTTATGATGAAAATATGGACTTTGTACCTAAATGTAAGGGGCACTTTTTGATCAAATTACAGATCTGCGTAATGTCTTAACTACGCAAACACCATAGCTACATGTACATGTAGGTGAGTTCACAGTCGTGCAGTTTTTATAGGGAAAAACAGGAGATCTCAAATATGTACCAGAGAAATATACAATGAACAATACATTGTCAAAGATTTTTTTTGTAAATTTTCAAACTGATAATTGTCGATCATTAGGAATTTTAAATTTGGAAAATATAATTTACTTTCATCTCAGTGTTTGATTGAAATTCATTGACATATAAGTGGCCAATATGAATAGCATACTTTTCAGCTCACACAAAATTTGAATGATTATGATACTATTGTTTTGACAATCCTTACTAAATGCCGCAGGTTCAACGCTTCAAAGTCAGTGGACTTCATTCGTGGGTATTTTATTTGTATGTCGCTGACTTTTTTAGTACTAAGAAAGAGCGTTAAATGTCCAGTGATTGGTTAACGAATCATACAAGATTTAAGAAATGTTGAACTCTTTGAACTCCAGTTTACAATAATAACAGTAGATTTAGGAAGTATTGGTGATGCTATTGAAAAAAAGTAAATAAGAACATCTATTTGAAGAAGATTTTCTTTATTACTTTTGATCTACAGGTATACAGGATGACTAGTTCAAGACTCTAAGGCTTCTATCAAAGCACATGTCTTTCAAAATGGAGCCATCTTCAGAGGTTGTTACCATCACCATGACAGCATCGTCATCGTCATCATGCAGTATTCCTCTGGATGAAAAGAAATCTGCAAGAAAGGTGAAACCGTATGGGTGTGTCATGTGCAAGAGGGCATTCAGTAAAGCATTGAAGCTACAGAAGCACATGCTGGAGGCCCATGGTATAACAGAAGAGAGTGATGATGATGAGGAAGATGATGAGGTGGTTGAGGAGGAGGAGGAGGAGGACAGGGATGATGCGGGCCATATCGAGAGGCGAGATGAAGATGGAATCAATTTGTTTGCAGACGCTGCTGCTAGTGTGCTTGGGGATCTCTCGGGGGAGAGCAGAGATGCTGATGACTCCCTTTCACACTCGCATCCAACAGAGGACTCTCGAACGGACCGCCAGACGGATGCTAATCACTGTGACACAGAACCAAAGGTTGACAGCGCTGGAACTGACTTTACAACTCAGAGTTACTCTGCTGCGACTATCCAAGCAGCATTACAATTGAACCCTAGTGAGAGCAGAGATACTGATGACTCCCTTTCACACTCGCATCCAACAGACGACTCTCAAAGCGACCGCCAGACGGATGCTAATCATCGTGACACAGAACCAAAGGTTGACAGCGCTGGAACTGACTTTACAACTCAGAGTTACTCTACCGCGACCATCCAAGCAGCATTACAGTTGAACCCTAGTGATATCATAGCTCGGGCTGCAGCAGGTGCCAATATCCTTGTAGATGAGAAGGATGGAGATGTGGCAGAAACACAGTCTGTGCATTTAGACACAGGAGCACTGATCGTTGCAGAAATAGACGGTTTGTCTCATGACCCTGATGATGTCCGGAAGGATGACACCCCGTTATTCTTTGACCCTTCTCCCCAAGGTCGAACTGCCAGCTCTCCAGAAGATGGTGCCATTGTTCAAACAGATAGGGAAGAATCACAGTGCAGTGAGACGATATCACAAATGTTTCCTGTGCTACTACATCAAGCTAAGTCCTCTTCAAAGAATGTGCGCCCTGAACCCAGGAGTACAGAGGAGTCTGCTGAAACTTCTAAAGCAACAGATGATTCTTATAGGGAAGATTGTGTTGGGGGAGAGGCGCAAAGTAAGAACTGGCAGGACCAGAAAATACCAAAATCGTCTAGATGCAGACAGAGATCTTCCCTAGTTGCTCCCTCTGATAATAAGCCGTCAAGTGCCAAGAAGAGAACGCTTAAAGGAAGTGCTCAAGTATCTGGTACTGCCAAAGAGCAAGCAGTGGGAATTGATCAAAGACCACACCTGCGAAGATCAAGAAGGTCTGCAAAGAGAAAGGTAGACAAAGATTTTCTAACAGAAAGTGAGGAGGGAAAGGAGAAGCAGGGGAAGAAGCAGAAAAGGGAAGAGAAGAGAAAGGATGAGACGAAGAGGAGACAGAAAGAGCAGAAAAGAAAGGCCAAGAAGACGGAGGAGGAGATGGAAATAACCAGTAGAGAGCTGCCAGAAACATCCCAAGAATGTGAAGGTGATTTTTGAAAGTCAGAGTTTAGTAAAAAGACAATGACTTAGAATAAATGGAAATAATATCAGAAATCAAATGATTATCAATTCAGTCTTAAACCACCAAATGTAGATGCACCATGAAATTTTTTAATAAACCACATTAGTAGTCATTTCAAATATTATGAATTGCCTTTATATATTTGAGTGTATTCACCCACTTACAAAATTAGAACAATGAATTCTGAAAACAATTAATCCTCTTTTAATGTATTGAGAAGCAATGCAGTGATAAGAGCAACATAAGAAAACTTTGAACGACTGGATTTGAACCCTCAATTCTTAGATTGAGAGTTCATATGTACATGTATAATGTATTTATCATTTTTTCTATCATTTCAAATGTTTTGCAGGTACAGGTACAAAGAAGAAAAGAAGGACCTTAAAAGAGAAACTAGCTGATCTCCAGAAAGCCCATGAGGAGACAGAGAAACTCAACATCCTCGTTCAAAAAATCATCAGTGACAGTTCAGGTAGGAGAGAGAGAATCAGTTTCCCTTGACTTAATATTCTAAAGGGATACACAAAAGGCCCGACAGTTTTACTTAAAGAACTTTTCTACTAGTTTTTCCAGGAGGGATTAGACCACCCATGAGGTCACTGACAGGTGGCTACTTCATCAACTGGGCTCTCAATTATCATAAGAAAAAGAGGATCATGGGGGACCAACATGCATTGTTTGCTATGTAGAGGGCGCAAGTAGCTATAAGTAGTACAGTGGGGCTTTAAGAGTGATTGAGTTCTGGGATACGTGAAAAATAATTTGTGAGCTTTTTCATTCTTTTCATGTTAGTAAGGATGATTATTATATTAAAATAAAAAGTCCCCTGAAAACGGATGGCTCTTCAAACGCACTCATATTTGAAACATGACAATCAACAGTTACGGTCGTGGACCATACTTTCAATCCACATGTTTTTCTAATCGCATATTTACATTTTTGTGTACAGTGCGTGGCATTTTAGCAAGACTTGGCCAAATTCTTATCATTTTGATGATTCCAAAACTTCACAGTGACAGTATACACCAATAAATAATGTATGTGCTACATGATCAACCTTTTCCAGTCACTTTGCTGTTTCTTTCACCATGCAATTATTCGACCAGGGGAGTGTTTCACAAAGACTAAGGCCAACTATTAGTTGGACTTAACTATGACAGGCCTTTCATACTACTAGTTCCTCTAAACCATTCCTGGCATTCGTTTCTCGAGGGACGTACAAATCATGGTCATAAATCTACAGAATTTTACATTTTTTGATAGTTCATTATTGAAGGAAATTTTGTTTTCTAAAGATCATAGTTGAGAGACCAATGATGAGGGCAACCAATGGCATGAAAATCCTGCCATAGTTAAGTCCAACATAAAGTCGATCTTAGTCTTTGTGAAACAATCCCCAGAGCTTAAAATTTAGTGAAGAAAAAAGAATTTAAGTGCCATCAATACTTACAATTGTTTTTTTTCTTAGCATACTTGATAATTACAGCAAGAAAAATTAAGCTGATAAATCTTTTCAAATATATATATTCACAAGCAGAATTTCATATTGATATCTTTTGGCCATTCTAAAACACAAACAATTCTAAAACTACCTTTTTCTCTTTTTGAATGTCTTTACACGTTAATAAATCTTACTGTACCTCTCATAACGGTTATTCTCTTCTCCATATGTCTTCAATTGTTTTAATCACACCCGTGTGATCTTTTTTTCCCCATTCTCTCCTTTTTCACAGATGGCAAGACAGCAGAAAAGAAATCTTTGTTGACTTGTTTGAAGAGGAAATCTCTTTCAAGAAAGAGCAAGGCTAAGATGTCGAAGACATATGACTGCCTTTCCTGCCGGGAAAAGTTTCCTTCTCTCTCAGATTGCATTGATCACATGAGGAAGGCCCACCTTTCTTCCAAGAAGCGCTGTCAAGTGGAAAGCGAAGAACCTTCTTCATCAGACATCTCGTCTGCTCTTGAGGAGGACTATGATGAGGATGATGTTAAGGACGATGAAGAGATGAGGAAGACCAACCAGGATAATGGTCCAACGAAAGTGGCAAAGCATCTTCAGAATGGGAAAGGCTCGGGTAAAGGTGGAGAGTTCAGTTGTGAGTACTGCAGCGAGATCAGCAAGAGCATAGAGGGTCAGAGGGCGCACATGTCTGTCCACTGCGGACTAGTTGAAGAGAAATGTTTCAAATGCAAGATCTACGAGTCTCGACCAAGTGCAGCTCAGATTGAAGACATTGAAAGATCAGTTGAGAAGGTCAGAGAGACCACAGACTCGGATGGTTATGAATTCAAGCAAGGGAAGCGACTCCTGGTCCAGTTCTTTCAGTGCATAGTGTGCAACAGCTGTTTTGCGGTGGAGAAGCATCTTCGGAATCACATGAGCCAGCACAAGGTCATAGTGTGTCAGGTCTGCAGTGGAGTGTTCTCAAGCACACAGGCACTTGGGAAGCACATCCCGCATCACAAGACAGGACCTCTGTCCTGCAAGACTTGCGGTCAGACTTTCTTCTCCTCGTACATGCTTCTCATGCACATGCGTGGTCACACTAAAGACTTCAGATGCAAGCATTGTGATGCACCTTTCATGTTTCGGGGAAATCTGTTGAGGCATATCAGACAACGCCATACTGATAAAACAGACTGTGACCCAGCCTCAGGGGATGATGCTGCGAGTCAACATGAAAGATCATCAAAGAACAAAGGACAGTCCAAGCTCAATTGCAGGTTTTGTGGGAACCTTCATTGCTCTGAGGTAACCCTGAAGCGCCACATAGAAACCTATCACCCGGAGAGGGTCGATGATCGAGGGAAATTTGTATGCGAGCTCTGCGGGGCTGTCAGGCACAAGTTTAGCCAGCTCAAAGCCCACATGATTTGCCACAATCAACCCAAGCAGAAGTGTCAGATCTGCAGCAAAGTCTTCCTCCGACCCGCCAGTCTCAAGCAACACATTCAGCAGGTCCATGCAGGACGGAAAGACTACACCTGCCAGTACTGCGGCAAGAGGATCTCCTCGTCTACGAGTTTACAGGATCACGAGCGGCTCCACACAGGAGAAAAACCATATGTCTGCTTAGAGTGCGGCAAGAGTTTCCGTATCCGTCAGTCGTACAAAACCCACCTTCAAACCAAACACTCCAAAGAAAAACCCTTCGGATGCCCACAGTGCGGAAATTGTTTCTTCTCCTGTAAATCACTCGCCAAGCACCAGAGGATTCACACTCCGAATGAAGACAGTGTCTGTCCAGATTGCGGAAAGCAGTTCAAACGCAAGGATCTCTTGAGGATGCACTTGGTTCAGCATCGCCAGGCATTGAAGTGCTTCAAGTGCAACCGCTGCTTCAGCTCCGAGGTGGCTCTCAAGTACCATACAAACAAGGCACACAAGATCAACCTCTATCGCACCAACTACGTCCATCTCAATCTTCCCGAAGGCTCGCTTCATACGTCCCAACCGCAGATATCATCTACCGTCCAAGGCATCTTGCCTGTTCCTGATGCTCCAGGTGACTTTTCTACCATTACCGCTAGTCCAGATAAGAACCCTATCCCTGTCACCATGCTCAACGGAAACTCAAAGGATGTCTTTGTAGATGCATCTGTAAACAGTATCGTTGGTGTCTTATCGACCCCAGTCACCATGGAGCCCTCTAACAATTTACCAAGACCATATGGTACAGACCGAAGACTAAGTGATCCCACGAACGTAGCCATCTCAACTATTCTATCTCAACTTTTTGAAAGAACGATTGCATCTGTGCCAGAATAGCTGTTTGCCTCAGGAGTACTGCCAAAACCAAAACTATCTGAACTGAAATAATATGTTCCTGTCTATGTAGTATCCCTTATCAGTTTGAGCAAAGAACACTTTTGAGTAGTCATACTACTCCATCTCTGTGGTGCTCCTCACTATTCACATAATCCTAAGAAGAAATTAAAAGTGTAAAAACGTGGCATGCACAATTTAACTAATTTGTTTGAAAATGCCATGGTCAAATCACATACTCCATTCTTTGAATTTCTCACTTTCACTGACTTCACAACTCAAATAGAAATTTCACTAAGGCATCCAATGCAGAGTTCTGGTCATGCGATGGCATTGTGAAAGAAAGATTATGGAATCGATCCGAAAAGGTTGATCATCTAGCATATAAGTATTGGTGTGTACTGCAAGGTTCTGGAATCATCAAAATGATAAGAAATTTGGCCCAGTCTTGGTAAATTTACAAGCGCTGTACAAAGAAAGATGTATATGGGACTACGCACAGGTGCGCAACACGTGCCTTATATCTATCAGGTCCAAATAGATATAATAATTTACCAAATATATCAATAAGTAGGCGGCTTCTCGGCAAAATTTGTATCACGTATTAGTCAAAACATATTCTTTCACATGATTGGTAATAAGAGCTTCCATTTCATTTTTTGAGAGGGGGGCGTTTCCAAAACTGGTCTTTACCTTTAAGAGTTGTTTGACAAGAATTTGGGATTATTTGATTGCATTATATGTTAGACGTGACCCTGTGTGAGTTTTGCAGAGGAGCCTCACAGAGACGGAAAAGGGTGTCCACTTATTTGTGTGGTTTGCTTAAGCTACTTATGTTGTTTGAAACAATTTTTGTAAGAAAAATGTGCTGGGTATTGAAAAAAATAAACTTGCCAAATTGTTTTATTTCTTGCTGTATCCAACATGAATGTCAAATTTAATGAATGCGTTGATTCAGCAGGAAATCTATGTTAGCATTTGCAATCAATCAGTAATTGAATAATATTGTACATTCAACATATTAAGATGTTAAATAATTTAAATCATCCGTTGAAGTAGGATATTCTACGTAATCGTGGGTGTCCCTTTTTATGTTTCGAAACCTGTCGGTTTATGGTTCATTCCAGTCTGTTTTAACTCAGAATTTGAAAGACCAGAGAGAGAGTGTGAGATAGAGAAAGAGAAGAGAGGCAGGAAAGAGAGAGAGAGAGAGAAAGTAAAAAAGATGGAAAGAAAGGGGGAGAGAAAGAAGTAGAAACGGAGGATGAAGAAGAGAGAGAGAGAGAGTGAGGGAGTAAAATAGGAAGAAAGATTAGGGTGGGGGGGGGGCGAGGTAAAAAGATAGAAGAGTAACGGATGATGGGTGAAAGAGTGGATATAAATAGAGGGAGAGAGAGAGAGGTAGAGAGAGAGAGACGAAAGTAATGATGGGGTAAAAAGATGCCCAAATTAAGGAGATAAACAGAATGTGACAGATAATGGTATGAACTCTATTTCGTCCTCTTCTTCTTTCTCTTGTTTCCGATCATTCCTTTTCGCACCCTCCTCCCTATTATCTTTTTTCCCTTCTTAAATCTTTCTCTTGATATTCTTCACCTGAGTCTTTAAAATAAAATCTATTGTGGTTGTTAATTGTTGCTCTCCTATTTTTCTTCTTGTTCTTGTTCTTGTCCTTCTTCTTATCTTTCTCTTGTTCTTCTTTTTCTACTCGATCCCTCTCTTCTTTTCATGTTGCCCCTTCTTCCTCTCAGTTTCCATATCTCCTACCGAAAACGATAATAACGACATAATAAATCACAGTTTCAAATTCACCTAACGTTGTTTCATCGGCGTAAGTGTGATAGCGCCAGCTACGATCACTTTTATACATGCACATCAACTCTTTTGTTGTTGTTCTTATATATTCCCTTCTTAGTATTTCCCCTAATTGTAAAATCTCGCAAGTTTTTTTGTGTCGATGCATCTGAAAAGACGGAAATGTTGTGCAATGACTAATAACATTAGTTGTATTAAGATGCTTACGTGATATATTGACAATTCACTAATCAAAAGTCGGTCAAATTTGTGATATATATAGCTTTTAAAAAATATGCATGAATTTTGCCCAATACATATCTTTAACGATTATCGCCCCTGTATCAAGTCGCTCACCCCCCCCCCCCCCCTTTCGCTCACCATTCTCGTAAACACATGTCCTTCTACACGAGTAAATAATACAATGTATTTATGCGCCCTATGTACGGTACTACGGTTCGCCTATATAGTACATGAAATGCAACTTTTAAAGCGTAGCATCTTGCTAGAATTGCATGAGAATCATAATTATCCATTGATTTCTCGTTATCTCTTTTATTGATGCCCGAGGCCCTCCACGACACTAGACATATAGCGGCTTTAGGTTCAATGAGCAAAGGATCATTTTTTGAATATTAGTGCAATGAGGGTAATCCAACCGTTTGTACATACTGTTACAGAAATTGGATGCTCGAATGATTAAAAAGGGAGGTCTGAATTGGAGACTAGCTTTAATTTGGGCAAGGTTTTTGGGAGTGTGTAAAAGTTTGTAGCTGAGGCGGAGGTAGTTTTGAGGAGACAGATTTTGTTAGAACTTAGAGTTAGGAGCTGGGAGGATGTTGCTAGGGAGCATCATCAAAGCCAACTTGGGGCAAGAACCAGTATAAATGTGAGTTAAGTGTAACTGTTATTAGGTTGTGGCAAGTAAATATATTGGATATCACTACCATGTTTCTTGTGAATAAACATCAGTTACTTAAAAATCATTGTTCGATAACTCCTTTCTCTCAGAGACTGTAATTGTATGTGTGTATGACTTGGCCCTGGCCTTGCGTGAGCATTAATTTAGGCTAGACTAAACATCTACCCTGCAGTCTTTAAATTCCCCATTTTCTTATAAAAGAATTCCCAAAAGTTATTACACTGGTGTCAGAAGTGGGATTTGAAAGGTGGAATTTTAGAAGATTGTTAGGTCTAGTTAGGGAATAAGTCATATTTTGATTGTAGTAACTAGTAGTATAAAGTTAAGATAGGTCAATGGCAGTAGCCTACGTTCATTGTCATTGGCATCGTACACCACTGCACTGCAAAATCTCTGTGTGTATACGGGGAGCAACGCGTTGTATTGGTGTGTGTGTGTGTAGTAATGTTTTAGGATCGGTGTTTCAGTGCATGTGCTGAGCAAAGGGAAAGTTGGTAGTCCCGCAGGCTAGATACAGCTAGTCTTGCTTTGCAGACCCGATAAGCTACTTTTGTTTGGGGAAGTTAAGATATAACTTAGTAGTAAATTTAGTCACTTTAAGTAACTTATTTTGATGGGATTGTTTTATTTGCCATTTAACTAATTAAATAATTTTAATCCCCTTTAGGATTATATTCTTCTTCATTGGATTTTATTGTGGAAAAGTTTAAACTATACTGAACCTGACGTGAAATTTGTATAGGGATTTTAAATACAGTAGCCTTATAGTTTCCATTTATAAAACTTCTAAATAAAGCAAGAGTAGGCTCATGAAAGTAACAGGGGTTTAGGGTGATACACAGTTGTTGAAGTGACTATCGACTCTCAACCATGCATCGCTCACGGGTCTCGTCACGTACGCGTACAAGAGGGAGGGGTCGCCTTTCGAGTCCTCTAGGAGTTGGCGCCCTCCTACAAGCGTTTGAGAAGTTTGCGGAAAGTGCCGTCAGTAACCAGGCTGAAATTATAGCGCACCTTGACAGATCTTCCACAGCACAGCAGGGTATTGAAAGGCGTCTGCAGGTGCTGGAAGCCAGAGTTGGAGACCAGAGCCCAGTGACATCACCAAGTGTTCAGAGAAAGCAAGTAGAGGCCTCAATGATGGCAGAGGGAAACGGCAACTAGTCGTGTTCGAGGAGCAGAACACGGCTAGAAATGGCAAGGCTCCTGTCATTACATCCCTGGGTGGAGAAGCACAAGGACTCTTCCTCAGAGGGGTGATGGTTGGCAGGACACTTTTGAATCAGCATACCCAATCTTCACAAGAAGGTAATTGTGTAGGTAAATGTGAGCGAGTTGATGTTGTCATTGATGTTGAATCTCAAGAGGAAAATGTTGGAGAGGCAGGAGAAGTCACAGGCGAGTTCGCTCCGCGTTTAAGGTTGCTGCCTGAAAGAAGCAGCGTAGGATTGTCAACGGGACAACCAGAAGAAACGCGGGAGTTGTTACTGAGACGACAAGACCTGTTCTCCAAGGGATCCATGGACTTGGGACAGACAAGCATAGTCGCACACAAGGTAGAGATGGGTGATGCTGAACCTAGTTTACCCCTAGCTAAGAGGGAGGAGGCTGTCAGAGCTATTTATGAGATGAAGTCACAAGGAGTGATAGAGCCAGCATCAGGAGAATGGGGTTCAATGATTGTACTCGTTAAGAAAGATGGCAGTATGCGTTTTTGCGTGGAATATCGATGTTTGAATCGGGTGACAACGAAAGATTCTTACCCGCTTCCTCGTATTGACGACATCTTAGATGCATTGACGGGCTCCCAGTGGTTTTGCGCCCTTGACCTGAAGTCCGGATATTGGCATCCTCGAAGGAAGAAAGGTATATCACCTAAATTGATGTCAGACTTGTGAGACCCTTACTCTGTTCTAAAGAAGATAAACGATGTAGTCTACAGGATTCAGTTGACGAAAAGGAGTAAACCAAGAGTGGTTCACAGAGACCGTCTTTGCAAGTACAAGGGACAGAAGGAGCCCTGGTTCCATGTAAGCGATGATAACTGTTCTTTTATCGCTGTAGCAACACAAACTAGTAATCAGGAGCATCCCAAGCTCAGCGAGAAATATCAAGTGTGTCAACCTGACGATGCTCTGGATGAAGAACCCTCGAGAGAAAACAGTCACGAGCATCAGCATCGTCAAAGGAAGTCTCCCAATAGATATGGTTGGGATTAGCTGGTAACTTTGACAGCTGTGTATCACGGTTATCACATTGTCTATAATTGTAGTGGGTTACATTTATACATAGTTATGGATTATTATTTTTAATCGAGGATATTGCTATGGTTAAGGACTTGGTTTTCATTAAATTCCTTGTTTGTTAGGTTTTAATGGTTATGCTTACGACTAGCTGGTTCTTTTCACATTAGCAGAGCTAGAGTGCTTGAAAGTCAGTACCTGCTTCCAGCAGGGATACAGCACAGTTCTGTGTGGGAAGTTTTCAGTGAAGTTGCTGTGTAACTGCTTATGAAACAAATATGGCAGAATTGTTTTGTTTATTGTATATTGAGATTACAATAAGTTTTTATAATAATATTGCCACAACCTAGTTAGTTGCATTTTCTCTTATTATGGCTATTTACATAAAAGCCAATTTTCTGCATGTGTATACCTAATATACGCATATATGGTTGTACCACTCTGGTACACCTTTTTCTGCAAAAGATGTTATTTTGTTGCAGAAATATCTACTTGGAAGCCAGAATTGGATGGCAGATTTTCTCCATCACGTAGCTGAGGCCCGACGAGCAGATAGTGAGGTACCTTACCGAGGAAGCTTCAAGCCAGGACGCGAGATGCCAGTACCGCAAGACGCCGGGATGCCGTCCCAAAGTATCTTCACACGTGTCGGATGAGCGTATCTGGTCTCCATGGCAACGCGTGTCGGATGAGCGAATCTGGTCTCCATGGCAACGCGTGTCGGATGAGCGAATCTGGTCTCCATGGCAACGCGTGTCGGATGAGCGTATCTGGTCTCCATGGTAACGCGGTTCGTGTTTATAACGGTGAACAATTTTTATATTAAATGCCATGCAATTTTATGCAGCCTTACGAAATCCATCAAACTTTGAAAGCTTTTATAGTGAACACTTGCATGGACTATTAGTGGAATTTCATCTATTTGCATTGATTAGAGAAACAAATAATTGGTCACCATGAGTGATGACAGGACTCCATTTAGCTGAAGCAACTTTGAAGATGCAAATGAACTTAAGGAGTCAGACACTTATTCCATTGTGCTGCTGAACTTTTCGAATGAACCAGTCGAAAGTAGAACTGAGGGACCAACATTTTGGTGTTATTAGCATTCCTCAATATTGAACTTGTGAAGAGAAACACAATTGTTAAGTGTTCTTATAAAGGAGGACTTGTAGGAATTACATTACTATGATTTATCAAAGAGAGTAGAAAAGAATGAGAATACTGAAGTGGCTTTCTTGCATTAGGTGTAATCACAGATGAGCGATTTACTCACCTGAACTCGAAATGTGGAATTGATTTGTGGCATTTTGTGCCGTTCTGTAAGAACAGATAATAGCAAATGGACGCTTTGCCTTTTTTTTTTTCTTTCTAATGACTTAAAGTCATTTTGAAATCTATGGACAATCATGCATGATCATGTTTTTTACAAGATCAGGTTATTTTGTAAAAACAATTTTGTTTTGTATAAATTCTTCTATATTGGCAGTTGAAATGAGTGTTTCCGCTTTGGCATACAAATTCAGAGTATTGTTTTTTTTTTCAGGGTTGTACTTATGTGTTGTTGGCAACTCTAATTTTGCTAACCAAACCAGTTTAAAATGAACCGAGATATCCCATTTGTTGTTACCAAAGAGGACGAATACCAGAACTTGATGGTTATACTAGAATAATCGTTAACTTTTGCCATATTTAAAGGTGATGTTGAAGGAAAAAAAAAAAAAAAGAAGTGTTTTTGTTTATATCCAGTTTGCTTGTTCTATAGTGATTATTACTTACGTGTGCAACAGGCTGAACATGTTGACCAGACTGATGTGGAACAACAATTATATTTCATGTATGATGTGATTTTGTTCTGGTATACTGAGAGTTTAAGTCCAGTTTGTTGTATTGATATTTGAAATTTACGATCAATGATATCAGGCAAGATGCATATGCTGCATGCCTTTGTCTCATTTTGCAAGTGCTTTTATGTATGCATTCGCCACAACCTAAGAATTGTTTTGTGAGGCTGAAACAAAGGTAATTTATGTATGTTTATAAATGACTGTGCCATGCTAATGTGCTACCTTAGAAATTATGATGATTTCTTTCAGGTTTTCCTATTCTGTGTTTTCCATGCTTCACATTTTTAATGATGTTGTTATTTTTAGATTTAGTATTTTACATTTCTTGTTATCTTTATTGTTGTTTTACCGACAGGTTCCTGTTTTGAATTTCCTAGTGTTGAACGAGACGTTCAAAGTTAAGGAGGGGGCAGTGTTACAGAAATTGGATGCTCGAATGATTAAAAAGGGAGGTCTGAATTGGAGACTAGCTTTAATTTGGGCAAGGTTTTTGGGAGTGTGTAAAAGTTTGTAGCTGAGGCGGAGGTAGTTTTGAGGAGACAGATTTTGTTAGAACTTAGAGTTAGGAGCTGGGAGGATGTTGCTAGGGAGCATCATCAAAGCCAACTTGGGGCAAGAACCAGTATAAATGTGAGTTAAGTGTAACTGTTATTAGGTTGTGGCAAGTAAATATATTGGATATCACTACCATGTTTCTTGTGAATAAACATCAGTTACTTAAAAATCATTGTTCGATAACTCCTTTCTCTCAGAGACTGTAATTGTATGTGTGTATGACTTGGCCCTGGCCTTGCGTGAGCATTAATTTAGGCTAGACTAAACATCTACCCTGCAGTCTTTAAATTCCCCATTTTCTTATAAAAGAATTCCCAAAAGTTATTACAATACCGTAGTTCATTGCACGTAGCAGAAAAATAGAAGAAACATAATGGCGAAAGTTTGAGACAATTCGGGCCAATAGAAAGAAAGTTATGAATATTGAAATATTAAACCATTACAGCTGTGCGAATGTGAAATTGACAATTTGGTCAGGGGATAATTGTGACGTAGTCGTGAAAGTCCGACTGTCCTGCCCATTTCTGTTTTTCTTCTAAGCGCCTTCTCCCTTGTGGCTCTACTCAATATTTCTATGAATCATAATATGAAAATACATTTAGGTCATAATTATAAAAAGTACGTTTTGAAAAAAAAATGACAGAAAAGTATTTTTTGGTGCTAGAACAAATGGGAGATTTTTCCGCCACCATACGTCACAGTGACATAAGGGGTTCGGCGGTTCGACCAATTTGAAATTCCGTTACTTTACGGTAATTAATTTTTAGCATTAATAACTCTCAAATAAACATAACTTTCTTATCGTTTGTTCGATTCCGTTCAAACTTTCAGCGATTAATCTGCTTCTCTAATTTTTCTGCTTTCTTTTACTGAGCAATTAAAAAAAAACCTCTTGTTTACATCTCCTGGTAGCTCAGTTCAATAGTAGCTCAATAAGTCTGATAACCAGTGAAAAGATTTGAACCTTTTGCGCCATTTTCAGCTTTCACTAAAGCTATGGTGTACATAAGTGCTAACGTCATATTTGCTCGTCGTCCAGTTTATTAGTTCTAAGCAAAATATACTTCGCCTGAGGTTCACCGCGAAATCATTCAAGCGACGCGCGGGCTGGATCGACCAGCTGAGGGCAAATATAATGTGATCACCACATTGTTAATTGTTTAGCACAAACTTTTTTGGAACCAGCAGCCTTGACAACTTAATTGGCCAGTAGTAGGCCTATGACGTCACAATTGTGTACAGAGTAGGCAAACTTTATTTATAGTTGCATTCGATCATCGTTCTCCTCATGATAGAGCAAACAAATATAAACCGGGCGGGCGAAAGCACCTCCATACTACCTTGTGTACACAATTTAAGAGTGATAACAAAAACAAAAATCTATAAACAACATTTAGTATAAGGGTGACGCGAAACCTTCAAGTCCTAAAAAGGATGCCGTGAGTGAAAATGGGGGAAAAACACTGGGTTAGCAGAGACAGTCCTGGGCATAGATCGAAATTCGAGAGCACAACGAGCCCCCCCCCCCCCCCCCCCGCCCCAACCTCCAACCAGGTCAAGTCTTATGATAACGTCTAGCGAGAAAGCTCCAGGACCTTTCGTCCGTCTCTGCGGTTCTCCAATCTTCATCTTTGTATTTACGTTTGATGTCATACACAATCGTCGATGAATGAGCTCAGTCAAACAAAACAAATTACGAAGCCTGTATTTTCTCTTTCAGAAATCAGAACAGTCATTTATCGCCAGGTATAAAAATAGTCATGGCATGATTCATTGGCAAAGCTTTCGAGTCGTTTCTCCATCGTTACATTCCAATGATCACGAACAAAAGAAACAAACGAGCGAACGGTATCACAAAAGGTTTTGGCGAGCCGTTTATTGCAATACGGGATTTCATCCTGGCCCTGCATTGCACGGAACGGGTGACGGTTGACGATGCCCGCAGTAGCAAAGGGGACAGAGTGAAAGGGTAAACAGCGAGGGAGCTGCGAGAAGATTCAACATTTCCGGGATAATATTGGACCGTTTTGACACATTCTTTCCAGGAATCAGATGTAACTAGGCAAGAAGATGAGTATCAGGATATTTATGATTGCGGCATTTCTGGCCAAACTAGGAGGTAAGTTATCAACTCATCCCGATTTAAACTCAGACAGGGAGAAAAAACATGACTGTGATGATTACACAGTTTGGTATGTTACGTAGACTAATATGTAGTAGTGTACCAGTTTTGTTAATGCGAGAGATGCTCAGTAATATAGTCATGATTGTAATTTGTATACCACCGATTGAATCATACATGTTTCGTGAAATTATTCGTATTTCTGTTCCATCGCTGTAGACCAACAATTGATATTCAGGTAATCCATTTAATTTAAGTCATAAGCCTAAATTAAATTAAAACTTATACTGTGAACATTTTTAGTCTATTGGAACGAAAATAATATGTTTGTGTGTGGTACTGCACTGGCAGCCTATATAATTCATTCAAAATGGCGATTGCGATTGAATCTCATAGTCATAAATAACAATGATGCACGTACAAGATCAGCCGTTTACTCTGTGATTTTCACTTTGGGTTATTACATTATAAATACATGTATACTCAGGATTTAATTAAGCGTTGTTTCAGGTATGATTTTGTGGTGATATGTAACCCCATCAACCGATGGAATTTATTAATTTGTGTAGCCTTATATATGGTTTGTGTTAGGCGCATACAGACTTGAAATTGTAAGTCTATTCGAAACCATTAATTCAGATGCAATGATGGAATATTTATTATGATATCAAAATGGATGTATGGTGTATATGGTGTATTTTGTTACAATAATGTTGAAGATGAAAAGATATAAAACTGGGGCGTTTAAAATGCCGAAATAAATATATCGTGCAGTTTCATTCCATGCATGCATTAATTGGGTACTAGGTGTTTGCTGGTTCACTTGCCATTATTATCATGCCAATAAATACAATTAGACTCCAATTCTCGACCCCTAAACCTTTTTTTTCAGACTGCGGCAGGCCGGCCTCAATTTCGTTTTCGTTTTCGTTATTCGATATCTATGTTGTGAAATATAAGAAAAAATGAGAATCTGAGAGTGAGACATGAATAAAAAAACCCATACATTTCAATGATATTTCAGTATTTTAATGACATAAGAAATAGCACAACACTGTCCAGATTCAAATCATTGTCCAAGTTACATTAATTCAAATCTTTAAATAATCTCAATCTCTCTTAGTAGCTCTTTATCATGTATTTTTGTTTTACTTCCTCTTACATGTATATGTTTGCTCTATCCTGTCGGGTGTGTATGAGTGTATGTGTTTGCTTGTAAATAAAATTGATATCATTTTTGTTGAAATTGGCACAATAGCATATGTATGTAAAAGGAGAAAAATATATTAGAAACCCCTTCCTCCTTGTTCGGCAAATAGAGAAACTAGGAAATAGGAATCCATTTTAAATGGCATATACATGTACACACAAAATGGTGGGGGTAAAGCGAATATTGACTATGATGACTGAGAAAATACTGGTACCGAGAAAAGTAGTGGAAATAAGGAACATATGAACACCCGCATGTTAAGTATTTTTGAAGCCTCTTAAAAGTTACAATAATGCCATTTCATAGATGATGTACAGTAAAGAATATTTCTTTTATATTATACAGTTAACGACTAAATTACATTCATAGTATAGACTACGGATGTATCATATCATTACCAAGTTTTGTATTTTTTGTAAGTACATGTACATACAATGTTGGTTTCGTTTTCCAATTATACCTGTACATGTATTTGTTATCATGCATCTGACCGTATGGAATGGAAAATATGTGCATGTAGCTATATCTTTCTATACAGGTACCATGTTTTTAAGTGATTCAGTTCCTGAAACTTTATATCGTAAGTCTTTTGGTTTAGCTTACATTGTACATGTAATGTGGCATCACTAAATTGCCAACGCGGAGTGAAATGTTGTAATCACTATCTATGTGTACAATGTGGACATTTTTTGTTGACTTGTCGTTGTTGTTGTTGTAACTTTCATTCATATTGGTTCATTTGCTAAATGTAATTATTTCATTAAAGTATGAACGAGTGGAAAATCCAAACTGGTGCCAAATAAGAGAGAAAAAAGCAGAAGTTCCCCATTTAAAAGATCCCCATTTTATGTATGAAATCAATTGTAATATCTTTGTTTACTTTTCTGTTGGAAATGAAATAAATATGAATATGAAGATGAATATGAATAGACCTTTGCATATACTATGTAGAAAACTCTGTACTACTACTACTATATTAGGTTTAGGTTAAACCACTTGCTATACACGTAGAAGTACAGGGCGTACATGCACAATGTATAATGATGCCTCTCTTATAAAATTTGGTATGAAGTAGAATATCATGAAACATGAATATCAAGCTGTTTTCATAGAAAAATAAAACAGTACAGTTTCCCATCCATGTTGTTTTGAAAAAAAAAGATGAGTTCTGGGACAGGTGACAAATAATTTGTGAGCATTTGTATTCCTTTTTATATTAGTTTGGAAAAAGGCCACATAAAAAATAAACATCCCCTTGAATTGCTCTCCAAAAGTTGTTATATTTGGAATATGAAGAGTAACAGTTAAAGTTTGTGGACCAGTGCTACATGTATGCCCTATATTATGTTTGTGAAGTCCCGTATACTCATTTCTGTGTATTGCACGTGACTTTCAGCAAAACTTGGCCAACTTCTTAATCATTGTAATGATTCCAAAACGTCACACTCACAGTCCATCCCTTTCCAATTGCCTCAAGACAGTTTTTTTCACCCTGATCAAAGGAATTCGCCTTTGAAGTTGGGAGAGAATGATTGAAAATTAAATGAATTTGAAGGTTTGGTGAATAGACGAAAATGAAATGAAAACATCGACGTCCGATGATCGCATGAGGTTATTGTAAAATAATAAGATTAATTGAAACTATGAAAATCGAGTATTGAATGATATAAGAAGAGATGTGACTTGTAACCATGGTAAGTGAAAAAAGTTGTGAAAGTGCCTCGTAGGTTTAGCAAAATTCGGTCTGTAATAAAGAGAAAAAATAATCCGACACATATATATCAAACATTGTTGCTAGTTGCCTCTTTTTACAACTGTTATACATGTAGGGTATCTGTCATAGAAAGAAGTGACGATCGAGCCACAGGAGGTAAAAGAGAGAGAAAAAGAAACAAGAGAACAAAATCAAAGGAACGAAGAAAAGAAAAAAATATACAAAAACTAAATTTGTTCTTATTTGTTCCTTCTTTTTCCAACTTTTATCGTCAGTGTTTGTCAAAGAAACAAGCGTGAACCACACGAGATATTAGTTCGGTTAGTAAAAGAGAGAAGTTCAAAAAGAGTAAAAATCAAAGGAACCACAAACAAAAATGAACAAACGGTGTTGCTGTTTGTTGTTTCTAGTTTTGTTATTGTCAGTTCTCCGCAGATAAAAATAATAATGGAAGACTAAATACTGGGTCTTGACGTTCCGAGCAACCGACTCGCATTTCTGTCTAAACTAATTTTAATAAGTGAGTAGAACATTCAATCATTCATGACAGTTTAGAATCATGAGCTGGGACGTTGCTCGGGGTGCATGAAAACAATTTGTATACCTCATACAAAGATAAGACATATCTTGCAATTTTGCAAATTGAAGAATCTACATGTAATTGCTCTAAACTTAAGAAGAAACATTTGAGACGTTGTTTTTGTACATGTATACAAACTCTCCCGAATGATTATCAATTTAAAGTGTTATCTGTATCACGATCTAAAACACGTCAAGGAAATATTCAATCAACTTTAGGCAAATTCGATTGCATTATCCATCACAAATCGAAATATACGAACATTGTAATGACGCACATACATGTACATGTATACATGAAGTGCGTAGTCCGATTTCGTTTACATGTTCAAGTTCGTTTATTTACACTCATCATTAAAATATACAGGATATATACAATTAAATACGGAGTAATCACTCATAAATTATCATACATCCAACAACAACAAACAAAAAACAAAAAGCACACACACACAAAAACACACATAACATAATGGGAGTGAAGGGATGGGCTAAAAAGGAGTATGGTCCTTATGCTAGAGCCCATCCTTCGTATATAATATTAATAAAAGGCAAATTAAATGTTGTACTATTGGAAGCATGGACAAAAAATGGGGGAAAAGAGCCTGGTGAGCTATTGCACGTAAAATTAAATTAAATACATTTTATATTTTTGTTTAAAAGTTTGAAGACTTTTGCAATTTTTTATATTAATTGGAATTCCGTACAGGGTACAGAATTTGTTTCCACGAGAAAAAAAATTGCGATCGTGCTTATAGACGCATTACGTCAATATGTATATGTACAGTGTACTTTCAACCTGGAAGTTGCTTAGGTGCTGTGACGCCCAGTTCTATGATTCCGTGATCTAATCCGCTAACCATTACCGCCATTACCACCACCATTATCACCACCACCATTATCACCACCACCACCACCACCATCTCCACCACCACCACCACCATCATCACCACCGTCATCATGCACCACCACCACCACCATCATTACAACTACAATCACAACCACAATCACAACAATCATCACCATCATCAACATCATCACCGTCACCACCACCTCTACCACCATCACCATAACCACCACCATGATTATCCCCACCAACATCACCACCATTATCACCATCACCACCACCATCATTATCCCCACCACCATCATCACTACTGCCACCATCACCAACTCCACCACCGTCACCATCACCATCACCATCACTAGTTCACTACCACCACGTACCATCACCGCCACAACCGCCGCTACCTCCATCACCACCATCACCACCGCTACCACCATCACCACCACCACCACCATCACCACCACCATCACCATAACTATCACCACCTTCATCACCATTACGCCGCATACAGTGCAAACTACAACATCAAAAAATAAATTTGAAATTCTCGACCAGGATCTGTTATTTCTTCTGAACAAACATGGCAGTCCGTTCATCGCTTGGGACGTGTGCAGCTCTTTGAAATCAAACTTCACTTCGAGGACTTTTTGTTGACTTTGCAAATTGACAAGAATACATGCGTATTATACTTCTGAACAATATATTTACTCAAAATGGTAGGACGAAAAATGTAACATCGCAGTGCATATTTACTTGCAGTGGAAGTCAGCTCGAACTAGATTACAAAAGATAAACAAAGTCGGACTTTTTCTTCATGTGACTTTCTTTGTATATTTTTCCTTGATCTTTGCGGAATATTTTCATGCGCTCGTTAATACTCACTCTCATGTACTATACTATCCGATTGTTTATTTTCTCTAATATTGGAGCATTCATTAAGATTTACCGCCGTGCTTTTTTGTAAGGGGTCTGTTTTTTGTTTGTTCTTTTTTTTTTAAAATTCTCTTGTATAATCATTATATTTCATTATGGTGTTATATAGTTTTTGATACATTTTATGCTTTTTAAAATCACCCCCCCCCCCCCAAAAGGAGAAAGAAATATACGATTGTTTCTCTAATCTCTACCGATCGGTACTCAAGCCATATGGATCGCAATTTCCCAATATTTTGTGTGTTAAAGTGTCAGGTTTATCAGGTTCAACTAAACTGCATGTACAGTGTAGCTAGCATGTGGCATCGCATGCATTTGTACCAGTGAAATTACGACGAGCGGGTCGTGACCACTGTGTAATTTTTAAGAGATGTGTGTATGTGTAACTTTTTACAGATGTGTATGTCAATCATTCAGATATGATTATTTACGTCTGAGGATCGAAAGACGTCTCGAACGCGAACCGGGTCCGTCCGCCCGAATCAGTTTGAAGACGAATAATCAAGGGATTTCCCCTTTTCTGTAGTAGTCTACAGCACATGCGTGTGTGCTGCTTTGTTGTGGTTAATTTAAGTGGATCCACTTCTGTTTTAGAGTCTGCTGTTTGTATTTGAAACATGACTCCCCCTTTCCTTTGCGATTGAATCGTCGAAACCCTTTTAAACATTGTCTCTCCTTCCATTACCAAACAGATGCATTGATTGTGACGCCGACCACCCCATACACAAAGTTTGAAGGGGAGAGCGGGTTTTTCTACAAATGTGAGAACCCAGATTTAAACGGACCCCAGCCAGCATGGGACGATTCCGAGGGAGACCCTATTTACACCATAAGTGGAGGTAAGGTGGTATAATGGTTTCATTGTTGTGCTTTTATTAAAGTTAATAGGGACTTTAATCAAATTAATAAAAGGGAATTAGTAGATCTACATGTACATTGTACACATTTTAACTTATTTTACATAGATCTAATACAATTCTCCTAGTTCTTCCATACCTACAGTGTGTAGCAATTTCTTAGGCCAAATAATTTGGCAAATTAACTGAATAAGATCTTAGGAAAGTTACTAACTTAGGCTGGGTTTATATTATTTGCAAACATAAAATTTGCGAGGAATACTAACATTGAAGATAATAGTTGAAAGTGATGGTGCATTTCATAGTGCTCGGAAAAGAATGCTGAAACTTTTTTAACCAACATAATAAACCACATCAGTACCAAAAGTCAAGTTTGTTAATGAAGTAAATAGTATAGTATTAATGACTGCTTTGAGAGAAATAGTTGTTTTATTACGCTCAAGGGAAGGTTAGAATTGTGCTATTACCCGAGGCGTGCCGAGGGCAATAGCCCAATTGTAACCTTCCCGAGAGCGTAATAAAACAACTATTTCTCGAATATTAAAGCAGTCATTAATACTTTTAAATGCCGAAAAAAAATAGACTAAAAAATAAAAAATAAAAAATAAAAAAACTTTTGTCGAAGATGAGATTCGAACTCTTGCGTACAAAAGGTGATGTAACTAAAGTCAGCGCCTTAACCCGCTCGGCTATCGCGCTCTGTTAAATACATAGTAGTTTTTTGTTATATATACCATTAAAATGGATTGAAAACGGTTTCGAGTGGAGGATGCTTCGCGGCTGCTCCATATAAACAGGCCCTTCTTTTACTTTTGCAATGCATATTGGCACGAATTTAGATCAAGATCTATCGGCAGATGTTGTTTTTTTGTTTTTGGAAGTTTATTTTCGTCTTCATGTCAACAATGCAAGATAAAATTGTCGGTAAGATCGATCGAGATTCAATTGTATTGAAATTGCCGACCAATTTTTCGCACACGTTCGCGGTATCCTCGATCGCTCAGACCATTTTTTAACATGTAAACCTATGGGGTAACCATGGAGACTGAACTATTTTCCCAATAACCATGGTTATTGGGAATTTTACAGAAATAGTTGAAGTTTATGAATGCAATTCGACCAATCAGATGGCTGGATTTCTTAAGTGAGGTATATAATAACGAATGCTTTGCTCATAGCATATGATTGTTGTTTTACGATTGTGTTGTTATGACAAATTAACCACAAACCATTTAACAGCACCAGTCCTGATTATATATATTTGAGAGGATATAAAGGCCAAAGCAATTGCCACCCGAGTAACCGTTGGAGCACCAATACTAATATGGAGATGTCATGGTATAATGGTGTATCACCTTGACTCTGAATCCAAGGGTCAAGGGTTCAAATCAAGGCCCGGACCGGGAAGACATTTATCCACTTTTGCCACTCTCCATCCAGGTGTAAGTTTATGGGTACCGGTACTTGATATACCAGTGTGCTACATATTTGGCCGTGAGCTACAACTGGGTACTAATAATGTTAGAGCACTTGCAGATTCATGGCGTGACGCCACCATTATTCCTATTAATATGTAATTGTGAAAACGATCATTCCTTCCTTATATTTGCAGGTGGCAGCAACAGGGTCTATATCACCGAGACGACAAGCTCGACAAGCTGCGCCACCCCTGGAACGCTCTGTCGGTTCACTCGTCTCCACTTTCGAGACGTTCAGATAGCTGACAGTGGTCTGTATGCATGCAAGGCCAATGGGCATCAAACGCAGACAAGAAACGTATACCTCTATAGTGAGTTTTTTAAATGTAAATTTATACTAGTTTTGTAACTGAATTGTTATCTATAGTGGCCCATCTACAAGTATTTTTATTTTGCCTGTCAATTAATTTTATGGACAAATTTTAAAATGACATTAATGATGAATGCAACGTCTACATTTATGAATGTGGCAACAACAAGGAATAGACCTGTTTACTTACATTTATATTCAAATTTTATGCATACTTTTCAAACAAAGGTTTTTCTTGACAACCTGTAAGCTTGCCCAAGGCTTGTCCAACAAAGCAACAAGTTTTGTATGCAGAATGGATTTCAAGTATTGTACTTCATTTATTAATATTGATTATATATCAAACTTTTAAACAAATTTAATATATAGCAACATCATAAAGTACAGATTTATTATTTTCTACTTGAACGAATGTTCAATAAATATCTTCTTTGCATAACAATAGGAAAGTGTAGACCTTGGATAGTTGTGCCTAAATTCACTGCTAATTTGAGGTGTCATTGTCAAGTGGTCTAAGCACTAGACTTGGAAATGAAACGCAAATGTCTTATTCAATCCCCGACATGACACTAATGTCCTTTGTAAGGCATTCATCTACATTTGCCACTCCATACCCAGGAGAGATATGAGGTCCTGGCAGGATGCCCTCATGGTGACCATATGGTAGGAATACTCCCCAGGGAGTGGAGATGGTGCATACATGTATTGAGTGCGTGAATGAATCCGATGACTGGGGTAATGATATCTTTAAAGCTCTAAAAGACAATATTTTGTATGAAGCGCTATATAAATTCAGATTATTATCATTATTATTATTACTGGTATTTTATTGTATGTTTTATTTCATTTTTTTCTTCTTCAGAAATCATCACATTTCCTTTATATGATGGCAACGAAGAGGCCCAGTCGCTCATCTACAACACGACCGCAACAATCTATTGCTCGGCAAGACCTCTGGATAACGGGCTAGACATGTTTTGGCAAAAAGATGCAACTTCTGTCGGAGATACAGGTGACCTTTGAACCTCGTCTTTTTAGAGGGTCCTTATTTGTCAGTGGTGTTAGATACAGGGACTCTATATGCGTGTTCAAATATAACTCGATAAACCCTTCTCAAAAACAGATAAAAAGAACAGCCCCCTTTTTGGAAAGTGTCCATGGGAGTGTTTCACAAAGACTAAGATTGACTTTAAGTTGGACTTAAATATGACAGGCCATTCACGCCACTGTTTGCTCTCACCATTATGATCTTTATATAATATTTTTTCCTTCAATAATGAATTATCAAAAAATGTAAATTCTGTAGATTTGTGTCTGTGATTTGTACGTCCCTTTAGAGACATATGCCAGTAAATGGTGAGAGCAAACAGTGGCATGAACGGCCTGCAATATTTAGTAAGTCCATCTTAAAGCCGATCTTAGTCTTTGTGAAACACTCCAATAAGTCTAAGGGGTCATTTTCAACAAGCCAATTTAGTGCTTTTTATGGCCCCGCCACTATTATTCATATGTATATATTATTGATTTGTAAATGTTTTTTAAAGTGGAAATGAATTGAATTTGAATTTGAATTAAAATATTTTTTAATGAAATATTACTTGTAATTAAACCTATTCAAATTGCTGTTTGAAATTGACAGTACGGATACACAACCCGTCTATAAAGACACCCATGGGAATCAGAGAAAGTGACCTCTGTAAACAGGTGGCCCTTGTAGACAGGTTCAACAACACACATTTCTCTCTCTCGATGGAGGCAGTAAAAATGGCCACTGTAGACGGGTGGCCTTCATGGAGAGGTGGCCACTAAGACAGGTTTGACTGCACATTCTCAAACAAAAACGTGCAATTTATCCACAATTTGCTTCGCTCTCTTGCAGAAAAATATAACGGTAATACGTTCGGGCAGCTTACCGTCAAAAACGTTGAAGTTTCAGACGAGGGAGAATATTCCTGTGTGGCTTATTACCAAGACACCCCCTTGAGTATCAATAAAAACATTGATGTTACAGTACAAGGTAAGTTTATTTATTTATTGATTCAATTAATTTCTATTTTAATCTATTTATTTTATTTAAACAGGGTAGTCCAGTCAGTAATCAAAGTACTGTTTTCCAGGGGGCCTGTAAACAAATGCAACATAACAATATGAAGATAAAAACTACTTGAACAATATAAACAATATGAACATCATGGAAAACATCAATACATAGTAAAATATATGAGTGAATAATGAATAAAGCCGTAGGAAGAATAATTTCCATGAGCAATTACAAATCAATAGAAATTACAAATTAGCGTATACACTGATTATTATCAATGATCTGTTCAGATTATAACATAGTATCATATTGAGAAATTTATGTAAATATTCATGAAAGAAAGAAAGAAAGGCAATTCAATCTTTAACATCACTGCTTAAAACAAAAAGAACAAAATGCATTTGATAGGTCGAGAACAATAGCCAGTAAAATAAGCAACAGGTCTATCATGATGGCCGGTGCATACGTACTGGGGAGTTCATGAATAGACAGTATAATCATCTGTGAATATTAGTTCTCTTTCTAGAATGAATAACATTAAGAAACGTTGGAAAGTAGGTACATGATTTTACTGCTTCTTATATAAGTCACATTAAAAAAAAATACATAACAGTGCAAGCGCTTGGACAGTAAAACTTAATCATGTCTTATTAAGATATTGAAACTTGCAAGATTCCTGGCAAAATATTCTAGAAGTATAAAATCTGAATGAGTTTGTGAAGTTGTCTATTGTATGTGAAACAACAGTGAAACCTGTATATAAAGACCGCTCAAGGGAGACATAAAATAGCGGTCTCAATAGGCAGGTGGTCTTCATAGACAATTGCTTTGATTGATTGATTCAAAATTATTCCATTTCATATCAATTGTTTGCCCAATAAAGAACATAGTTGACAAAGTAAGTTTAAAATTATGAAATGATGTATGGGTTTCAGTGGGAAATAATTTTAAAGGAAAGTAAAAGAGACAGTCTTTATAAACAGGTGGGCTTCGTTTACAGGTGGTGACTAAACCAGGTTTCACCGTTATACTAACGACTGCGACAAATGAACTGAAAATCATACTTAACTCCGTCATTTCTACTTGTCTTATACCCTGTAGTCCCACCTGCGTGGAACGGTGTACCCCCCAGGCCCCGGAACGTTGTTATAAACTCTGACGTGACCCTGGTGTGTGCGGCCTCGGGGCGACCCGACCCCACGGTCACTTGGACGGACGTAACCGGTGGCGACCGGCAGGAAATCACAGACTTCCCCAATGTGTATGAACTGTCGTCGACTGGAAACAGGCAGCTGAGGATCATGAATATTCAGCTCCCTGTCAGCGGGAACATCATCATCATAGAATGCAGGGCTTCTAACGACCCTTCCGGAGCCAGAGTCAGGTGAGCGAAGCCTCGTTTAAAGCCCCACTGCACTACTTATAGCTACTTGCGCCCTCTATATAGCAAACAATGCCTAATCGGTGCCTGTTGGTCCCCCATGATCCTCTTTTTCTTTTGTTAATTGAGAGCTTAATTGATGAGATAACCATCTGTCAGTGACCTTGCAGGGAGGTCTAATCCCCCTGGCCAAACTAGTACAGATGGACTTTAGCTGTGACATGTTAGATTGCGGAAGTTTTTTAATGAAATACATTTAAGTGTCATTTACGCTTTACAATTCTGTTTTTGACAGTGACACGGAACCTAATATGTGTTGGACCTTTGTTTTCATGCAGTTGTCAGTAATCATACATTTTATTATAAAAATACAGCAATGGTGTACTGCAACATATGAGAATGATCCTTCAGGCTGTGAATTCAGTGGCGAATCCAGGAATTTATGGTGAAAGATAGGCGTGAACCAAATTGCCAAAATACATGGAATTCGCTGTTTAGACGCCATTTTGTATACCGGTACACTACTAATAGTTAATTTAAAAGAACAGTCGATGCACAAAATTTACTGTTTTTAACGGCTACAAAATGGCGATAAAACAGAGGATTTTTGTTAGCAACAAAACGGCAAGTCTATTGTTATCATTGAAACGTATGGAATGCCTCAGTAGTCAAAACCTAACCCTTTCTAGCCTTTTCCCAGCTGTTCACTCCCTGTTTTCTAGCCATTTCCCTTGCCCCAAAGGAAGAGCAAAATCACAGGAAAACGGCTAGAAAACCGAGTTGAAATAATGTAGCTAGTGGCTAAAACACTAAAATTGTGGTTTTAGCTCACCGTGTCTTAGGTAAAGCATGACTGTTGTGAAGGCCCATTCAGATATGATGCAGTAAACTACAGCAAATTGCCATGCCTTTTTTTAGCGTGTACATAAATTAGAACTGAGCGCAAATAAGGTCCTCCAGGTAGTCACTTAACTCTGTGTCTTGTAAGATACAGAAATGTGAACCATATCTGAACAAACCTTGAGAAAACTTGACTGTGGAAAAAGTTGTTTTCAAACTAAAACTTCAAAGCCATCTCTGTTAGAGGACATGTGTTAGGGAAGGCCCTTATGAAGCCCTTATTGCTCCCAGGAGATGACACGGGAATTGTTTATCTGCTTGCTCTTTCTCTTCTTCTAGTACGGCAATCACGCACACCATACAACTCACGGTGCTTGTGCCACCCAGCCTTACGCAACAACAGGTCTATACAGTGGACGAGACTGCTGAAGGTGGCAATACGAGATCGTTCGAGTGCGCCAACACAGACTTCCGTTCGCAGGCTCGCCTTTCGTTCAGGCGTGATGGGCGGACCGCAATGGATGAGCTTGAGATAGGTCCTCAGGTAAGGAGGGATTCATGTGGCGTGTTCCTACAAGATTTCAAAACACGTTCACCTTTTTGTCACTATCTGCTACTCTCCCGGGCTTTCCTGATATGCAATTCTTTAGGAAACACATTGTGATCTGATTATAACGATAATAATAATCTGCTATTATATAGCGATTAATACATCTACAATGTCTCTAAGCACTTTACAGATATACTATTACCCCGATCATTGGATTCAATACTTGCCCGCACACAATGTGTGCACAATCTCCACTCCCTGGGGAGGATTCCAGCCAGGCGTTATGATAAGGTTAACGGAATAGTGTTTCCATGTTTACGCACATGTTGTCAGTTCTCTAGAAAAGATTCTGTACTTTAGCCTTAGCATTTCTTATTACTTGACACAATAAATTATTTTTAGATATATTGCACACAGTTCATATACAGTTCAAAGCGATATGGTAGCTTGCAGTTTTCCTCTGCAGTAGGCCATAATTCGCTGACACCGGACATGGTTGAAGTACCATTCGTGCATGTATAAGGCTTGCACTCAGCAAACTGGATGTCCCATCGAAATATAACTCCTAGCCTCTCGGAGAGTCTTCGGTTGAGGGCAATGTAAGATAATGACTTTTCCTTACTATGAGGCCATTTGTGAAAGAAACAGAGGATGGACAAAAGACCAAAATTGAAGGCCCATCCCGGTGACTGACAGCACCTGTTATTGGGGTAACCCCCTAATGGTGTCAAATTCCCCATGAGAGGCCACTACTAATTGTCCTTAATTTATTTTGAACTCTGACACAGCCGGATGATTCCCGCGTCGTTGTGACGGAGAACAGCCAAACGATGGCCCTCACACTGACCATTTCCACCATTCAGAGGGAGCATGAAGGAATCTGGACCTGTTATGCCGAGAGCCTTGCCGGGGACGTCTGGGTGGATCACATGCTTCTTGTGGAATGTGAGTATACCTAGATGTTCATCTCATCGTCATCACCTTTTCCTGTAAATGTCTGTCTTTCCAATGCTTTTGGGTAGAACGTTACATTCCCTTAAGCCCCACTGTACTACTTGTAGCTACTTGCTCCCTCCATATAGAAAACAATGCCAAAGCGGTGCCCGTTGGTCCCCCATGATCCTCTTTTTTTAATGTTAATTGAGAGCTGAGTTGATGAGATAGCCACCTGTCAGTGACCTTGCTGGGTGGTCTAATCCCTCCTGGCTAAACTAGTGCAGACAGGCTTTAATAGAGTACTGACATGCTTCATATTTGCTCGTCCAGGTTACTGGTTGTAAACAACTTTAGTGTTTGGCGTTAGAGTGAGCACCGCGCCATCGTTTAGAACTTCTTCATTCGGAAACAGCAACCTTGATAGCTTGGCCAGTATGACGTCATATTGTGTGCATGTTAAATCTTTAAAAAAATCTTTTGTGTATCTTGTATCGCTAAAATGTAATTTGATTTGAATGTTGCAGAAGAAAATGAATTCAATTTACACAATCCTTTTGCAAATTTCAATCTTTTGTGATGATCTACCCTTTTCCAGACAAGCCAATCATCAACCATTAATATTTCTTTATACAATCCTTTTACAAATTTCAATCTTGCTTGTTCATCTACCTATTTCAAGATAAGCCCATGGTAGACCATTAATAAATTTCATATTGCTTTAAAGGGACTTGGTAACATTGTTCAGATGAGAGAAAGTGATACTAAGGTAGTGACTTGGATGCTAGATGTACAATAAAAGAGTGAAAACGGACCATTATTAGTGATACAAATTGGGGAAAAACTGATCTGATCGATTCCTTAATTCTACCAACTATGCTATAACAATTTAATTACATTTTAGGTGAACGTAAATCGTCACAAAGCAATGAATTGGCTCTATAGGAGGTCTATTCCATTCCAGACATGGAGTTGTTGAAAGAATTTTAATAGCCTGTTTTATGTATTTTTTTTCATCGTAAAACGGTTGGGAAAAAAATCAAAAATGGTTGGGAGAATTTACTGTTAATCACTGGAAGAGGGTGTTGCACAGTGACGCCTTCAAAGAAAACCATAGATATCTTTGTTGTTTGAGAATTTTTTCAGGATTTTTTGCATGTTAGAGGGTTAGTACAGTAGAAGAAATATAGTAAGTAACATTTCATGCATCAACCTTCAACAATGTTACCGAGTCACTTTAAAAAATAATTTGATGAATTTAAATTTTGTTCGTTTATCTACCTATTTCCAGATAAGCCCATTATCGATCAGTCGAGGACCCCATCTAGCACCGTATCGTGGGAAGGGAGATTGACCGACCTGACCTGCATTTTCTTTGGCTACCCCATCCCGACCGTCAAATGGACACGGAACAACGTAGAGCTCACAGCCTTAGATGTTGATTTTGTCCCGGATTTACCGCCAGGCTCCTCCACAATTCAGGTAATCATTTCTTCTCCTTTGGGAATTCAAAAAATACACCCCCTCCTCCTTTTACAGACAGTAAACCCCTCTTTCAGATTATGAAATGTTAAACCGTGATTTTTTTTAAAGTGATGACGTCAATTGTACAGTTCCCATTTCTGTATCTTATTATACAAAGCTCAGTGCATACACTTTAGGACCTTAATTGCACGCAGTTGTCATTCATTTTTGATATAGTTATAAAGAAAACAGTGAATGTTTGCCCATTCATATCTGAACAAGCAATTTCATGTTCTATTCTTAATGAAATGTCAAATCCAGGTAAAGTTTTATTCTCCTTTGGGAATATAAGAGGCTTTTGTCAAACAGTTGAATTGTGGTAGGAGATACAAGAACACATTGATTTGTCTTTTACCCAACTTATGTTCTGCTTGGAAATCATCCTGTATGATGCATATACTGTAGCATTTTCATTGCATCAACCCGTCTTATCAGAGCAGAAAGTTGTTATGCTATAAGAGCTTTTGTTTAAAGGGAGTGGGCCGCCGGTTTCCATGTGCAGAAGTTTATAATTCGCTGACACCAGACTTGCACACAGCAGACCAATCATAGGCCAATCAAGGAATAACCCCTCGTCTCTCAGAGAGTCTTTAGGTGATGCAAATGTAAGATAAAGACTTTACCATATGGGGAAAGGCAGATCATTACATAAAGCCTGGTGGTCACAAAACTAAAGGCTTATCCTGGTGATATTGACAACACCTGTTATTTGATAAACACACCGAAATAGCTGTCGAGTCTCATTGTACTGAGCAAATTGTTGATAAGGTCTGTGCAATCATGAAAGACAATACCCATCCACTTCATTTATTTTATTCATTTAATCGTTCTGGTATCCGACTTCGCCCCACCCCAACCAGGCTTTCACGATTCAGATATTCATTTGTACCCGACTCTGTTCATAAATTAAACTCACAGGTTAAACGTTAAACTTCTGCGTCGGAAATTAATTTTATGATTTGAAATACCAATGACCAAGGCTTAATTCTGAAACTCATGATTTGAAGTACATGTACCAATGACCATTTTTGTCGTTTCATTATCTTTTGCATGTATTTGTTCCTTATTTCATCTATTTTATTCTATAAACGTGATGTATTTATTTCTTGTAATTATGTATTTTGTTGAATATGACTGTAACGCCAGTGGAAAACAATTTTCTATGTAACTTGTTAGCAAAGACCAAATAAAATATCTTGTATCTTGTCAACTGTTACCAAAAAAAATTGTAATTGTTACAAATTTCCCATCCTCGTTACGAAATTATAAATACCCCTTCTATTATTAAAAAACAAAATGTGTGTGCCATTTTCAATGGCAAAATGCCCATTCTGTCCTGTAAAGTATCCTACAAGCATCTCACATCGGCAATTTGGGGATGTTCATTGGTTCATCGAACACACCAGTCATGACGAAATCATGCAAAGGTCTTTTCAACCAATGATCCATACAAAAAAATTCTTCCTGTATGTAGGAGCTGTAAGAGGCATTGATCCTTTTTTTTTTTAAATACAATTTTTGTCAGTAAAATACAACTTTGGGGATTGAAGAATACAGTTTTTGAACTCCAGAGGATGGCAGGTCTAACATAGACGTGCGCTTCACGCACATGATATTCAGTTTTACTTCCGAATGTTTGCAGCTATGCGAATGGTGTTGAATACTTCACGAGAGCCCACTTCTATGTGTCTTTAAGGCTCTTGTTTCGTATAAATTCTCAAGCATCTGAACAGACTTTAATTTGTCTTCGCTATTTATTTTCTGACCGATGCAGATCATGCCGGAGAATGAGGACTTTGGAGCCTACTTCTGCAATGGGTCAAATACCAAGGGATTTGTGAACTACCGCCAGGAGCTCACTAAAGCAGGTACGTCTATAATGAGATATTGTTAGGTCGTACCAATAAGCAGTGTCCCCATATCTCTCCTGGGGAGTGTTTCACGAAGATCGACTTTAAGTTGGACTTACCTATGGCAGGCCGTTCATGCCACTGGTTGCTCTCACCATTGGTATCTCAATTATGATCTTTACCGGTAGATACTATTTTTTCGATAAGGTCAATTTTGTACATATGTGACCGCGATTCGTACGTTCCATGAGAAATCAGTACCAGGAATGGTTAGAGGAAATAGTGGCATGAACAGCCGGCCATCGTTAAGTCCAACTTAAAGTCAATCTTAGTCTTTGTGAAACACTCCCCTGGTATGGAGTGGCAAATGTAGATGAATGCCTTGCCATAGGTTATTAGTGACGTGTCGGGATCAAACCCGAAACCTTTGTATTTCAAGTCGGGTGCTTTAACCACTCAACTACAACACCTCTACTAGAAGTTTCAAGTGTAAGAAGTATTTTTCTTCATCATGTATTATGTTCCTTTTTATGCTAACATGTCTGTGAAATATTGATGTATTCTTTTGCTCTATTCATATCATTGTCTAACTTATTTCGGGGGCAATAGAATTAATGATGACATTTGTCAATTAGCATTATTATACAGAAAATGAAAACTTTATTTTTTTTCTTCTTCTGTTATATGTCGGGTGCCAGTGCATTTATAAAGACAATTCAACTGTCTTTTCCTTGGCTGCCTCCACAATAATATAATGTGTAAATATGTGACATTTTTTCCCCATCCTGTTTTAATTTGTTTCCTTACTTTAATTGTCTTTGACATTATTATTTGTTAACAAATAATTTTCATTTGTATTTTGATTTGTCACAGTTGTCACCTTAATGCCTCTTTATTTTATTTGTACACTTTTGTATGTTTAATTGTTGAGGAAAGTAAAATGAACTAATGAACGTATACATTAAAGCTTATCTGCCATAGTTTACAGGAGGGATTAGCCCACTCTGCAAGGTCACTGGACAGGTGGTAATCTCATTAACTCAGCTCTCAATTAACATAAGAAAAAGAGTATCATGGGGGATCAATGGTCACCGATTAGGTATTATTCTATGTAGAGGGAGCAAGTAGCTACAAGTAGGACAGTGTGGCTTCAAAGCCTTTTTATTGATTTGTACACTTCTGTATGTTTAATTGTTGAGGAAAGTAAAATGAACTAATGAACATATCCATTAATCCCTTTCCTTTTTGGTTTGGCTATTCATTACCTACATACAGAGCGACCATCTGAGCCTATAGGTCTGAGAGTCACGGACGAGACGTCGTCAACGATCAGTATCCAGTTCAGTCCGCCGAACAGCGATGGCTCGCTTCTGATCGCAGGGTATACGATCGAGTATCGCGTTTTCACCGATGTTCAGCCGACTGTTCTCCAGTATGAAAATAGTGAGTACCGGTTTGTGCTTGGAGAGTTAAAGTGGATGAGTCGGCAGTTTACTTGTGCAGAAGGTCATAATTTGATTATCCTAGTCTGATTCCTCTTTGCCCTCACTTAAAGATAAACTTGAGTTCTGGTAAAAAAAGAAAATGAATTCTAACAGAATCTAACGAAACTTACACTGAATGTTCAAGATTACAAATAAATGTCATGTGCCAAACAATTTTGGAAGAAAATGTATACTGGCTGAGTAATGAGCATAGAAAGATAAGGAAATCAGGGTAGTACTAGCCCCGACACCATGTGTGTTGTCCCATATACACCTTTCTGTGTAAGTGATTGTTACTTTACCACGACTCTGCCAAATTTATGATGATTTTGATGACTCCAGAACCTTGCATTACACACCATTACTTACATGCTATATGATCAACTTTTCTGATCCATTCCACTCCTTTTCTTTCACAATGCAATCGCATTACCAGAACTCAAGTTTATCTTTAATGATCTTTCTTGATATCTATCTTTCTGATGCTATCAGCCTGCAGCAGTATGATTCTACTGACATCAAATGGTTTTGAGATAGAGCTAGCGCATGAAGAATTGTGATGTCGGCTTTTCTCAGTTAGATTGCTCTTTGCCCCTCTTAAATGATGTTTCTCAGTGTATATCTTTCTCATGCCTTCATCTACAGCTGAATCGGACGAAACAAATTGCCGAAGAACGATTTTTACCAAGATTAAAGGATTGTGAGGAATAGTGCATCAAGTATTGTGACGATTTTTTCAATCTGATTCCTCTTTGCCCCTCTTAATAATCATTAATTTCATAATGTCCCTCGGAATAGTTTACTAGACAGATACTGCATCATATTATTATTATTATTATTATTATGATCTACAGCTGTATCGGACGACACGACTTGCCGCAGATTGATTCTACCTATATTAACCGGTGTGGAGCAGGAGTGCATCAACTACTGCGAAGATTCTCAGTTGTTCATCTGCTGTCCGGTTGTGGATCGTAACATCTGTCTCGAGCGTCCGGTGGACCAAGGCTGTAAGTGCCTCAAATTCAATTCTATTCAATCTAATTCAAATGAACATTTACTTTCTTCCCAATTAATTTGACATCTGTTCAAACAATACAATTTATATGTAGGAACATAAATATAACTAAAGAACTATAACTAAAGGAAGAAGGCGCAAAGTCTGATAAGCAATGCTTGAATGTAGGTACGCCCGAATACATAAATACATAATATACATTATAAATAGAAGAAAGGGATAGTCAAGGAGGAGAGGAGGATAGAGAGCTTGGAGAAAGAGAAAGAAGAGGACTGCAACATAGTAGCAATAGAGTGTATGACATACATAAACAACATAATGGTAAGACATAGGTGAAGAGTATAATTGTGGAAATATTTTACTGCATTTTTATAGGATAATACTGGATTTATCACCCCTACTTCTGTATGGGTATCGAAATATTAGTAATAAAAGACATTCTTATTGAAGAGTAATTTTTGTATAGTTTTAGAGGATAAAGATATATGCTCCTTTCATGACAAGCATTCCACAACATTGTTGTTTGGCTCAGGCCGCTCAAAACTTTGGCTCAGTAAATTCAGGGCCCTAAAGAATTTACTAGATGTATGAAAAGAAAAGGGCAAAAATTTCTGCACTCAATATGTCCATGTTTGTTTAACGACCATATTGTGTTTGATGTCAGGAATTTCGTCGAGGAAAATAAGCTTTACAATTGGCAACAATTTGAGAGTTTTATAATCACTGTTGCTCAGTAGTTTTGGCTCAGTAAATTCAGAGCCCTAAATATATACTAGATGCATGAAAAGAAAGGGGATAAATTTCTGCACTCAATGTGTCCATGTTTTTTGAACGACCATATTGTGTTTGATGTCAGGAATTTCGTCAAGGAAAATAAGCTTTACAATCCTTAAATTGGCAGTCCTTAAATTGGCAACAATTTGAGAGTTTTATAATCACTGTTGCTCAGTAGTTTTGGCTCAGTAAATTCAGAGCCCTATACAAATTATGCTTGATGTATGAAAAGAAAGGGGATAAATTTCTGCACTCAATATGTGTCCATGTTTGTTGGACAACGGTATTGTGTTTGTTATCAGGAATTGTGACAACGAAAATAAGCTTTACAATCCTTAAATTGGCAGCATGTTGAGAGGTTCATAATAATAATAATAATAATAATAATAGTGGGTTCTTGTATAGTGCCTGTATAATCACTGTTGCTCAGTATTTTTGGCTTAGTAAATTCAGAGCCCTATACAAATTATGCTTGATGAATGAAAAGAAAGGGCAAAAATTTCTGCACTCAATATCGTCCTTGTTTTCATGAAGTGACGGTAGTGAGGAAAATCGTAATGCAAAGTGAATGCAATTTTTTTTCACTACCGTCACTTCGTGAAAACAGTGACGATATGTCCATGTTTGTTGGACGGCCGTATTGTGTTTGTTGTCAGGAATTGTGACAAGGAAAATAAGCTTTAAAAAATTGGCAACATGTTGAGAGGTTCCTAATCACTGTTATTGCACAATATCTACAGTTTTAGTTTTTTTGTCAGTGTCATTTATAAATATGGCTGGGATATGTATCTTAATATTACAATTCTTCTTTCTACTTCTTAGATACGGAGTTGCATTTAAGAGGGCTACGCGCAGAGAGCATCTACGAGATTCGTGTAGCCGCTAGAAATGAGCTGGGGACTGGAGATTACACACAGATAGTCACAACAAGCACCGAACCACTCTGTAAGTGAAGGCTGTATTTAGCCATATTGCTCCTCTATACCCAGGTGTATAAATGGCTGACCATATAGTCACGGGAGGAGTCAATTGTTGTTAAGGAAAGGGTTGAGTTCTGGTCAAGATGAAAAAATAATGTCCAAGCTTTGTTATCCTTGTTAAAGGGAAAAGCCAACCTTGCTAGTGAACTACTACTGCTGTATAATTGTACAAATTAAGAATAGGGCTTCATGCAAGCATGATTACATAAGTTCAATAATCATTTGATGATGATTAATATTCAGGATTAAACGATTAGTAGGCCATATGGATAGTAGATGAAATGGGCATTCAACAAACTGGGAATTAGACCGATTGGAAATTAGACTAAATAAGCAATAGACAAAATGAGTAGTAGACTTATTGAAGATTAGACCAATTGACTAGAAGCCCAAATGGTCATTAGACCAAATGATAATTAGACAAAATGATTATCAAACCACAATAATAATAATAATAGGCATTTATATTGCGCCCTCTATCTAGACGATCCTATTCTGAGGCGCACAAGAAAAATAAAAAGAATAAGAGAGTTTGGATGAGTTTCATAGTGCCAAGTACAGGAATTGTTAAAAAAAAAGAAAAGATGTGCATGATAAACGGGCTGGGTGTAGAACATATGGGAATAGACTAAATTGGCATCAGACAAACTGGTTGTGGACCAAACAGCAATTCACAGTTTTGACCTCTTGACCCCTACAGCTTTGCCGGATCCTCCCAACATCATCTCCAAACGTGTATCAGACAGGAGAGACCGCTACACGCTTCGTTGGATACATCCTTATGATGACGGAGGGGCGACGGTCATCAATTACCATGTGGAATATTCACAGGTCAGTCAAAAGAGTTGTTTTTCAGTTGGTTTAGACAAACTAGTTGTAGACCAAACAGCAATTCACAGAGCTGCCAAACATTCCGTTTTTGCCGGAATTACTCTGTTTTTTCCTCCAAATTACGGTATTACGTTTTTTCTTCATAAAATACGTTTTTTAATAATTTTTTTTTTTTTTTTTTTTTACATACCGCACGTCAAACAACTGCCCTAAAATGGTGTTTTGATCACAAATTCAATAGAAAACTAATTTTAAAACATACTTGAAGAGAAAAATATTCTCAAAAAAAATGAAATGCCGATAATACCACAATAACCTCCAAAAAAATTACCTGCTTGTATGGAAAAACAGCATGATGAATGAACATTTCTGCATTGGAAGTGTGTCATGCGTGGTTGTAAGTTTTTTTTATTTTTTATGAATTCCTTTTTTTTGGCTTGAAATTCCTTTTTTTGCCATCATGATTCCTTTTTTTGGTCGCACAAGGTTGGCAGCTCTGAATTCAATGATATATAGTACACTGTTCAATCATTTTGATCACCCACAGCTCATGGAGTTGTTTGTCTCCCTGTGCTTTGCGTTATAATTTGCTGACCCCAGATTTGGTCGAATTAGCTATTGATATATGTAAAGGGGGTGTTTCACAAAGATCTTAAGTCGAACTTAACTCTAGGTTGGACCTAAAAACTATGGAGAGCCATTTGTAGCCTTAAAATAAAGTATATTCAAAAGTGAAAATTCAAGTATTTTAGACTTTTTATAAATTCCACATCAAGAACATGAAATCTCCTTGATGATAGAAAATATGAACGGTTTGAATTAACATGTTATGCCTTTTAAAATAATTTTTACAAAATGTTTTCATTGATGCTGATGGCTTTCCATTATTGTTAAGTCTAATTTAGAGATCAACTTAGGATCTTTGTGAAACACCCCCCCCAGGTCTCCTAGGCAATGATCGCCAAATGTATGTGCTTTGTTTCTGTAATCATTCCCTATCTTACTCGTCTATGTTGGTCTAAAGTGATGTTTCTTTGCAAGAAGTCTTATATTCCTGAACATATCCCTGAACACATTGCTTAAATACTTAATGACATCACCTACTACAGTAAGTGTAGTATTTTGATGACTGCTTATCCCCATCTTTTATATGTAGTATAATGTGCATCATTGTAACTGCTTGAAATAAGACTACACTTCACCAGATACGAGACTGGGCTGTGTGGTATTAAATGGTTGAACCTAGATCACGTCTCACCGCCTCGTCTGTTGACTTACAGTAATTGTAAGGTATCTAACCACCACAATATGGTGGCAGCGGTAAAAAATTGAATCATGGAAAAATCACTCCCATTACCAGAGACTTTTGAGAAGGTTGCTGGCCTGAATCAAGCTGATGCATGGCCAAAATGGTTCCGGAGGTTCAAACGCTATCGGACTGCATCGGGGCTCGCTACACAGCCGGATGGAGAACAGGTCAGTACACTGTTGTATGCCATGGGTGACTGTGCGGACGACATTATTATGACTCGGGGTATTGATGAAAGCACCGCAACTTACACGAGCGTTGTGGCAGCATTCGAAGCACATTTCAACATAAGAAAGAACACTATCGTTGCAAGGGCAAAGTTTAGCAGGCGTAGCCAGCAGCCTGGGGAAAGTGTAGATACTTTCATTAACGATTTATATCGGCTAGCTCAAGACTGTGAGTACAAAACATTAAAAGATGAACTGATCCGAGATAGGATAGTTGTCGGTGTGCTTGATGATGGATTGTCTGATCAACTCCAAGCGAAGGATGATTTGACATTAGAGAAGGCCGTTCAAGTAAGCAGGCAAGCAGAAGCTCGAAAAGCAAATAGACCAGTTGTTCGAGGTGAAAGAATACATGCAGATGTTGCCCACGTAGAGCAAGTAAAACAAAGAAATGTAACTGACACAAATGTAAGACCAAAACGCAGTCAGCAAGACACACATACAAGTCGAATGCAAGGTGGTTGTATGTTTTGTGGCAGACAGAAGCATGACCGTGCCAATTGCCCCGCCCAAGAGGCTACGTGTCATAAGTGTGGAAAAATCGGTCACTTTCGAGCGGTATGCCGCAGTTCATCATTTGGAGCAAAGAATACAGTGCATGAGTTGGAGGATTCCCTTGAGGTGGAGACTGTTTTCCTGGGTGAGATTAAGGACACCAGCAAGAACTATTGGGGTGCTTATCTTCAAGTAGATGGTGACACTACGCACTTCAAATTAGACAGTGGTGCCGCGGTAACTGTACTGTCAGATGGATTACAGTGGCTTCGTGGAATAAAACTGAAGCCTGCAAATAAGAGACTCTGCGGACCAGGAAAAACAAAACTAGAAGTTTTGGGACAGATCAAAGCCATTCTCCAGCACAAAAATAGGAGAGTCTCAGAAACCGTCTACGTTGTCAGGAATCAAGATTGCTCATTGCTCAGCAGAAAGGCATGTGAAGAGCTGAATCTATTGATCAGAGTAGAGGAACTTGGAGATACCCAGAAGGAGCAGGCGAATTTCAGGGCTGAATTTCCACAGCTATTCACTGGATTGGGGAAACTAGAATGTGAGTATCATATCACACTATCCCCAGGAGCAAAACCGGTATGTCTCTACACACCTCGGAGAGTTCCTCACCCCCTCTTGCCAAAAGTGAAGAAGGAGATTGACTCGATGTTAGAACAAGAAGTAATTTCTCCTGTTACAGAGCCTACGAAATGGTGCTCCGGAATGGTACCAGTCCCAAAACCTAGTGGAGCAATCAGGATTTGTGTTGATCTTACACAACTCAACAAGGCAGTAGAGCGGGAAGTACATCCAATGGCATCAGTTGATGAAAGCCTTGCCAAGCTAGGGAGAGGCACTATCTTCACCAAGCTGGATGCAAACAGTGGGTTCTGGCAGCTGCCCTTAGATGAAGAATCGAAGCTTCTGACGACTTTCATCACGCCGTTCGGTAGGTTTTGCTTCAATAGGCTACCGTTCTGGATTACATCCGCTCCCGAGATATTCCAACGCACAATGTCAGGTATCCTGGAGGGTCTGGAAGGAGTCATCTGCCATATGGATGATGTTCTGATACATGGAGCTACAACAGCAGAACATGACACTAGGGTGAGAGCAGTGTTGCAGCGTTTTGTGGAAGCTGGCCTCACCCTTAACAGCAAATGTGAATTTTCACGAGAGACAGTGAAATTCTTAGGCCACATTGTGGATGCAACAGGTGTGAAAATTGATCTAGAAAAAACACGGGCAATCAGAGAGTTTCCGGCACCAAGGACCATCACAGAACTTCAAAGATTCATGGGTATGGTTAATCAAGTTGGAAAGTTCCTACCCAATTTGGCAGTCATGAATGAACCGCTACGTGCACTCTTGAGGAAGGACAATGGATGGTGCTGGGATGAACCTCAACAGAGAGCATTTGAGCACATAAAGAAAATGCTGACAGATGTCACTGAAGTTCTTGCCCACTACGACCCATCATTGCCTACAACTTTTGCTGCTGATGCATCGTCGACTGGAGTAGGAGCAATACTGCTCCAGACTCAGAACGATGGACACCGACGGCCAGTCTGCTATGCATCCCGTTCGCTGACTGAGACTGAGCAACGTTACGCAGTCATTGAGAAGGAAGCTCTAGCGGCTACATGGGCATGTGAAAAGTTCAGTGACTATGTTCTTGGTATGTCCTTCAAAATTGAAACTGACCACAAGTCTTTGGTCACACTGCTCAACACAAAGGAATTGTCAAAGTTGCCCCCTAGGGTGCTGAGATTTCGACTAAGGTTGATGAGATATGATGCAACCACAGAATACGTGCCTGGAAAGCAACAGGCCACAGCAGACGCCCTCTCAAGAGCACCAGTAGCATCCCCAAAGCCAGAGGACATAGAGCTAAACGAACTGACCGAAGCCTTCGCATCTTCATCTACCCTCACCTTACCTGCAACAGACCGGAGACTGGAGGAGATTAGAGAAGCACAGAGACTTGATGAAGAATGTGCGTTAATCAGAGAGTATTGTGAGAAAGGCTGGCCTGACTACATGCCTCACAACTCTATCCTCAGGCAATACTTCGAACAGAGGGGACACCTCAGTGTGATTGATGATTTGCTCCTGTATGATGAAAGACTGGTCATTCCCAGGGCTCTGAGACTAGACATCCTACAGCGCTTACATCAAGGTCATCTAGGCATCACAAAGTGCAGAGCCAGAGCTCGACAGTCGGTCTGGTGGCCAGGCCTCTCGAAGTCAGTGGAAGAGATGATCTCCAGATGTACTACTTGTGCCATCCATAGCCAGGAGACTAAAGAACCACTGATGACTTCGTCCTTCCCAATGCGTCCTTGGGAGAGACTAGGAATGGACCTCTTTGAGTATCAAGGAAAGATGTTTCTGATAGTAGTGGACTACTATTCAAGATGGATAGAAGTAAAAAGGCTTCATGGACACACTTCTGAAGCCGTGATCAAATCCTTGAAGGAGATATTTGCTGTACACGGTATCCCTGATGTGGTGATTTCGGATAACGGACCACAATTCGCGAATGAGACTTTCCAGAAATTCGCAGAGAAGTTTGGATTTGTCCATACTACCAGCTCGCCAAGGTATCCTCAGGCAAATGGGGAAGCGGAGCGAGGTGCACGTACAGTGAAAGCCTTGTTGAAAAAGAACGATGATATCGACCTTGCTTTGCTGAGTTACCGGTCGACACCACTTCAGAATGGTCTGGCGCCATGTGAGCTGCTCATGGGACGGAGACTGCGAACTGAACTCCCCACTCTACCTGATACACTTATGCCACAAGTCCATGCTCAAGACTTGGAAAAGGTGAGAGTGAGAGAAGACAAGTACCGTTCAAATCAGACACTGAACTACAACCAACGACATAGAACCCGCATCTTACCGACCCTACAGCAAGGTGACGAAGTGTGGATCCGAGATCAAGCTCGCCGTGGTCAAGTGGTCAGTGGGACCCGTCATCCACGTTCCTACATCATCCAAACGGATAACGGTAGGGTGAGACGAAACAGACGCGCCTTGGTAGCCCTTCATAGCCCGGATGTCACCGACCCTGACAAAGCCCCCTCTACCCCCTCAACCCCTCTCAATGATGACGACATTGTAGGTCCTGAGCAACTTCCCTATCCCCCGCCTACCCAGGGTCCTCAAAACACACTGGGATATCATACCCGTTCTGGTAGACTAGTCAAACAACCACATCGATTGACTTTGTAGAAGATAAAAGGGAAGCATGAAGAAAAGAAGTTTGAAGAAATCAAGATAAGAAGATTCGTAATGAACATTACTTGACAAGGGATATTGGATAATGTAATACAAAGTTTGTGTATGAAAACAAGAAGTTGGCTCAAGAAATATATATACACCCATGCACTCCCAAATTAGTGTTTTAATGTAACTTGAAAAGAACTATCAAATACTTGGGGGGAGATGTAGTATAATGTGCATCATTGTAACTGCTTGAAATAAGACTACACTTCACCAGATACGAGACTGGGCTGTGTGGTATTAAATGGTTGAACCTAGATCACGTCTCACCGCCTCGTCTGTTGACTTACAGTAATTGTAAGGTATCTAACCACCACAATATTATACATTGCTAAATCAGATGTAATATTGCTGTGAGATGTTCCCATTTTGTTAGTGTTTATTGCATTTGTAATTTATGTTTGTGTTATGATGTAAATATCTTAAATTTAATACTTGGTAAACAGACAATGTCAGCCTTGAGCTGCATGTCATGATGTTTTTAACGAACCAATTAAATCAAATATGATCGAATCAAATCAAATTTGAATTTGAATTGAATTGAATTGAATTGAATTAAATTGAATTAAAGTAAATCTTGCCTTCAAATCTCAGGTGAGGGAAATTCATGATGATGTGCTAGCCTTATGGGATGGTTGGTGGAGGGTGCAGTACGCACTTTATGCAAGAACATTTTGGCCATATGAGTGAAGTCACTTCTCAGGGATTTTACAACACCTGTTTGAGGTGCTGTACAGTTTTACACAAATCTGACTCACAAGGAGGCGTGCAAGGTGGCAAAAAGAGGATTAGAACTCTAGTGAATTTTCTGAGAATGGATTATCAAATTTTCCACAATCTTTGCACACTAATTAAAGGGATTGGGTAACTTTGTCTCAGATTCTGAAACAAAATTCTGGATTTAGCTCATGCTGCAATGATAATTATAAACCTTAAGGTCAGTCAGGAACCCCAAGATTTTTACAAGCCGATCGCCTGTCTGATTATCAAGATATTTAGGATTAGAAATCGAAATCAAATGTTTCCGTTTTCATAACGGTTTTTATAACACTACAGTCTATTGGGAACAATGAGTATGGTTAAAATGGTCACTCAAAGATTTTTACTTTTTTTGAAGCGCAATTTTTTAAGGGCTTCAATATTACACCATATCACAGACACTGATAACAGGTAGGGCCACGCATCTCAGATTTAACATTGTTAAACGTTGCCTTTAAGCACATTGGGTGGTATTCTCATAAGTTAAGCTGGGACTAAGTCCAGACTAAACTAGAATTTTAGTTCACACTTCTATGGAATGCTAGGTTTCATCTTCCTCCTTCAATATTCATGACAAAGATAATCTACCAAAGACTTTGTTGAAATTCAGTTCATACTCATATTATCTTTTTCTTCCTATTTCAATGCAAAATTTATTTTTTGGACACTTTTCACTGAAGGATTAAAATAATCTGTACATGGTAAATGAGTTAGCAACAGGCACTCCATAAAAGTGTGGACTAACTTAGCACGCACTAACTTAGTACATGCTACCGGAATACCACCCATTCTGTTCTTGATTTTTTACTTTACATTTGTCTTCTTTTTTTCCCGTTTTCTATTACAGGTTGAGAGCAGAGATGATTACGAACTGACACCGAGGCCAGTTAGTGTCCTGGTGATAGGCAATTCAACGGCACTAGAAATCAATCCTCTCAACCAGGGCAAGTTCTATTTGATAGAGCTGAGGGCCGAGACCAACCTGGGCTACAGTGACCCCGCCCAGATCTTGATTGAGACGGCCGGGACGTTCACTTTCATGACAACCCCTCCAAGTATGTTTCAACCGTCTAACACCTACCGGGCCCTGTATCATAAAACTTGTTATCAATAACAAGTTACAATAACTGTTATAAGCTACTGAAATCATGGCATCTGATTGGCTGAGAGCATATTTGTCATAGAAATTGAGCATTTATTATTGATAACATGTTTTGTGAAACAGGGTCCAGATTATGAGCACTGTAGCCATTTGTTCACATAGGGATGTGACCTAGATACGAGCTGGGCACGTGGCAACTGAATTCCAAGCCGGATGCAGCGCAGATGTTCTGCTCCAGCAAGGCAGAGGTCACCACCCTTCACCTTGTGGTTTATTTCAGGTTTTCCTTCCCTACCCAGAGCCCCTGTTGGTTTCTCAGCCCGCAAAGCCTGAGGTACCACAAAGAGGTAGGGGTTGAGATACAAGATGAGAGGCGATTATGGAAAGGAAGACTGATGGGACGCTACCAGTCCATACAGCTAGGAGAGGAGAGGAGAAGAGAGGGAAAGAGCAAGCAGAAAGGGATATGGTAGGAAATTAAGTGACCCTAGTTCGAGTTGCGCATCTGCATGATATTTTAACATGTTTATCATTTGCATCACAACCTACCACACCAAGCAAACCAGAACGACTGATGCTCGCAGACCTCTGGGACGTCCTCCTACGAGATGGAAGGACCAAGTTTGGATTTTTGTTTTAGTGTTGCCATTTTCTTTTACAGGTCGAGAGCAGAGATGAATACGAACTGACACCAAGGCAGGTTAGTGTCTGCGTGATCGGCAATGCTACAGCATTAGAGATCAATCCACTCAACCAGGGCAAGTTCTACAGTGACCCCGCCCAAATCTTGATTGAGACGGCCGGTTCTATCTAATAGACTACCAAAATTAATTGCATTGCTATGCAAAAAAAACACTTATTAGGTGACCTAAAATGTATAATGTCAGTCGGCCGCCGAATGTTGCTTATTTATTTATTTATTTATTCCGTTTTATTTAAACAGGGTAGCCTCGTCAGTAATACTGTTTTCCTGGGGGACCTGTAAACAAATGCAACATAACAATATGAAAATACAAACTACCTGAGCAATATAAACAGTATAAACATCATCAAAAAATATCAATACATTGTAAAATAGTAAAATCATTGTCAAATGTCATTGTCATCCTTACTATAATATCAACAAAATAAAACAGCGGTTCAAAAGTATCAAGCCCGAAATGCTCTTACCGATTACGCCACATCGATTGGTTGTTCATGCATATTGCACATTTATTTTATATAGCTACGATGCTGATTAGTCTTGACGAAAGATATTCGTTATGAGATCAAGGAAAATGACCATGGGCACATGCGCAGGTATAAGAAATTGGGGCCCAGCCCCAGGTTTCTAGGGTTAAATTTGTAGACATTGGCATTAATATATTTGTTGGTAATTGGTGGCCTCTACACCCCCCCCCCCCCCCGACTGAAAAAGGTGTAGCGACGCCCCTGTATATCGCCCATATATTGTTATTGAACAGTATAGTGAATTGATGAGTTTTGCAAGTACATACCGGGGTAAGTGTGTACTATGTGTGTTGATTGCAACATCTCTCCATTTCATTCTATCTTCTGCCATTCTGGTGCCCTCTTGCAGTTTTAGTCCACTCCAGTTCTTGACATTCTCTTCCCAGTTGATTCTGGGTCTCCCTCTAGGTCTACTTCCTTCCACTCTTCCTTCCAATACATCCTTTAAGAGGCTTTAGTGCCTTTTAACTGACCAAAGTATTTGATTTTTCTCTCCTTAACTAATCCTACTAGTGCAATTTGTTTACGCCCTGCCATGTGCAATATCTCTTTGTTGGTTTTCATTCGTTTCCAGGATATTTTCATCATTCTGCTGTAGATCCACATTTCAAAAGATGTTATTCTATTTTCCACGACCTTGTTTATTGTCCATGTTTCTGCTCCATACAATAGGACAGACCATACATAACAGTTTACTAGTCTCAACCTAAGCGCAAATTTCACCTTTCTATTTGTGAACAATTCTTTCATTGCCAGAAATGTATTTCAAGCAATTTCTATTCTTCTTTTTATTTCTGCTTCGCATCTGGCATCATCTGCGATATTTTGTCCTAAGTAGATATAATAACACTTTACAAGGAATATAATTGGTAGAAGAATAGGATTATGTTTAGAATATGAATGAACGCCACATGAAATGGTAGTGTGTGTGGAAACCCATTTCACAGCTAGTGTGTGAACAAGCCTGTAGCCACTTGCATAGACTTACTGTAGCGTAGTGTAAACAAGGTACTTAAGTTCATTATTTATGAATGTGAACTGGGGCGGTATTCTGAACCCTGTGTTATCTCTAATATTGTTGTATCTTTGAAGATAAGATAAAGTTGGTATTCTGAACACTGTTGTAACTTTTGTGTTATCTTTTGTTGTATCTTTTCTCTCATCTCATTGGCCGCGCCTGCGTCATAGTTTGGTGCGCTTGTAATTGTGCGTATTATTAATAAAGTGGCGTTTAATCCTCATTTGCATATGCGCACGAGAGATAATATGTCGAGATAATTGGTATTCTGAAAGTTGTTGTATCTTTTATCTTATCTTGCATGGTATTTACAACAATATTTACAACAGGTAGGGGGTTGTTGTATCTTTCGTTGTGATATAATGGCGGCAATATTTCTTGCCCAGAACCAACTTCGTGCCAATAGACGAGTTAAAAGAAGATTGTGTGTTGACCGGAAATATCACAGATGAGAACTTTCTATGAAATTACATGCTAGGATATGACGATTTTAATGCTCTCATCTTAACCAATATGGTGAAAGCGTGATTTGTCTTCATGATCCACATTCAACAGCGCATAATGATGACGCGCGTAATAAGCGCTCAAATAACTAATTACGCTCAAGATTAGTATGCGCTAGGCGCAGGCGCATCTTTAGATATGGCCTAAATTATTCCTATTGTTTGACCTACTTATAATGCTTATATAAAACAGATTTTGATTCGTAGGGTTCATACAAATGGGCGTGTCAATAGTGGTCAAAGATACGATAGAGGCGGTCCTTCGAGAGATAACACAGGGATAAAATGATTTTCAGAATACCAACTTACAACAATATTAGCGCTGTGTTATCTCTGGAAGATACAACAAAAGATAACACAAAACTTACAATGTTCAGAATACCACCCCAGGACTTAATTCCGCTCTAAGAGAGGAACTGTGTGGCACCTCTGTCCTCCATTAGTGATAGTAGTCTAATTAGGCGCAGGCCCATTAATAAGATTTTATTGTTTATTGATATTATTTTATTTTGGAGAAAGTTGGGAGAAAGTTCCCTGAGTGGTCTACTTTGTAGAATAGTTGAGGTTTAGGCCGACCCAGCGGTTTGCAAAGTTTCAGCAAAATGTTTGCTGTCACAAATTTGGTAAAAACAGGTTTCTCTTTAGCTTATGCAGTGAAACAAGAGCACAGAGAGTATCAGGGAAAATGATACTTTTCTTTTGCAGGTTTTACTCCAGCTAGGGAGTTAATTTTGGAGTTTAAAGTGACTCGGTAACATTGTTGAAGGTTGATGAAAAAAATTGCTTAATTTTTGTATAAAATGTTACTTACTATATTCCTTCAACTATACTAACCCTCTGACATGCAAAAAATCCTGAACAAATTCTCAAACCACAAAGATATCTATGGTTTTCTCTGAAGGCGTCGATGTGAGGCACCCTCTAACAATGATTAACAGTAAATTCTCCCAACCATTTTTGAATTTTCCCAACCGTTTTTCCATGAGAAAAAAATACATAAAACAGGCTATAAAAATCTGTCAACACTTAACTGTCTGGAATGGAATGTAGAGCCATTTTATTGCTTTGTGACGATTTACATTCACCTAAAATGTAATTAAATTGTCCTTGTCTTGATGCTGAACAGGCTTTGACAAGTAGCAGAATAGAAGTAGAAAAATATAGTTGGGAGAATTAAGGAATCGATCATATCAGTTTTTCCCAATTTGTACCATAAATAATGATCCGTTTTCACTCAAATTTTCAGATTATCTTTAATTGTACATCTAGCATTGAAGTCACTACCTTAGCACCACTAACTAACACGAAAGATTAATGCTTTGACTTTGCTTCCTCTCATTTTATTGCACAGTTAGTTATATTCTTAAATCTTAAGTCTATTTAGGCCGACCCAGCGGTTTGCAAAGTTTCAGCAAAATGTTTGCTGTCACAAATTTGGTAGAAACAGGTTTCTCTTTAGCTTATGCAGTGAAACAAGAGCACAGAGAGTACTTTTTCATCAGGGAAAATGATACTTTTCTTTTGCAGGTTTTACTCCAGCTAGGGAGTTAATTTTAGAGTTTAGGGGAACCTAACGCGAAAGATTAATGCTTTGATTTTGCTTCCTCTCATTTTATTGCACATTTATTTATATTCTTTATATTCTTAAATCTTAAGTCTATTTTTAGACGATTTAAACAATCATTTCATGTATTTAATTGTCCTTGGTGGCTTTTAGACAGAACAAAAAACGATTATAGTTCAATATACATTTAGTTTTATCTTGATTTATTATGTTTTGCTCGATGCATAAGCAATTTGGAATTGCTTGGTTATTGAACCTAAGGATTATACATAGCAGGATATATTCTATGCTAAACCTTTATTTATTAGTTAGAGGTTAGATTGGGTTTTATTTTTAGAAAAGATCTAGCCTATGCAGAGTGATATGATACGCCAGTATGCCAGAGAATAACATTCAAAATCTTGCTGATTGTATATAAAGCACTTCTTGGTCAAACTCCCACTTATATCAAAGACCTGTAAAATTTCAAACTTAATCAACACAATTGCAACTTACACAGTTCCCGAAAAAATTTGTTGCTGCAGATCCCATCTATCAAAACAAAAGTAACGCTAGGTGATCCAGCATTTGCTTGTTCAGCCCTAAAACTCTGGAATAACTTACGATGTCCAGTTATCATACTTTTTTGCTTTCCCCCATCTCTCATCGTAGCACGGCCAAAGAACTACGGTTTCTGGGGTCTCTTCAACGAGAACACCACCGTCATCATCATCGTCCTTATCATCGTCCTCATCGTTGCTTTCGTCATCATCACCGACGTCTGCTGCTTTTGTATCAACGACTGTGGCTTGCTCATGTTCATCTGCGTGACATGCTGCGGAAAAACACCGCCCTCTACGAGACAAGAAATAGAGCTTGGGGAGCAGGACTATGGGTACAAACTTTTTCATTATTAACCCTTTATATGCCACACTGTCACAATTAATCTTCCTATGCCACAAAATATATACATTTATATATATATATATATATATAGAACCAATAATTCAATTTGGAAAATCCTCTATCACAATAATAAACAAATAATGATTAAAACAGTTGAAATATAATTTGTTGGGAGTTCACCTGATTTAATTATTATACCTTGAAAGTTTTTAATCGAGTTTTTAAACAATTAAAAATTCGAGAAAGAGTTCGAGAAAATACATGAAGTTCGAGAAAATACACGAAACACAAGAAGTAATGATCCTTGGTACAAAAAGGAATTGTTTAAAAATTGTTCCACCTTAGAGATTTGTCAAGTAATTATTTGATTTGACTTAGAAAATTGTTATGCGACAAAATATGTCAAAGTATATATATATATATATGTATAATATATATATGTTGAGCTTCGTTTTTAAAGAGGATAACAGACAGAAATGTAGACTTGTATTTATCTTATACTTTTTGTAAGTGTTTTTGGAAATGCCAGAAGGAAGAAATCTTAAGATGTTTTTTTAAAATAATGTTTGCACAACAAATTAATCTCCCTGTTTGTGTGCTTCATGTATTTTCTTTTTCAGACCGGATAGCATGAAAGATTGGGACAGTTTAGACGATGAAAAGCATCGTTTTGAAGTTCGCTGACAGTCCAGATGAAGACCTAACGATATGTGAACGGGCCAAGAAATACACATTCTTCACCACATAATCGGAATTCCATAATTTGATCGGATGTTATTTTCCCATTTCTAAAAACGGGCCATGTCGTAAGTAAACAAGAAAGCCTTATTGTGGATTTGTTTGTAAGTAAAAACAACAGAAAACCAATGCTTAGTATTTAGTTTTGCTGAGTTTTGCTTTTAGGTCTAGTGACAAAATATAGAGATATATAGTAATTAAAAAAGTCATACTTCTACATTTAATGGCAAGTTAACACCAGGGGTTTCTTATTCCCTTTTTAGTCCTTTGAAGCCATTTTTACTCTTTGTATGATCTCTATAACTGTAAGGTTTGGTGATGACATGTAGAGAAAAAAAAGAGAGAACCCTTAACGCTTGTTCGAACATGGTGTGTTAAACCGTCGCACAGAATACGCACTAGTTGGCCATGTTGGCATACGCAACAAAGAACTTGCATGTTTTCATTGATCTCTGTGTTATAAAACACAGAAATGTGAAACATATGCCATTTTACGGAATCATTTAAAAAGAAACTGACACGATTTTGCTGCGTTATAGTGAACAGCCCTTTGATGCCCAGAATTAGAGCAATCTTGCTCGTACATTTGATGGTCGGTGAATATCCGAGATTTTCTCGCCCCCTTTTCAGTACTATCATTCAAAATGTATTCTTTGTACGATTGTAATAGTTTGTACTCTTTATAGTTATATGCTTACGCAGAGTTTGCTTAATTGTATGTGTTTGTAATGGATGAGGAATATTGAAATAATCATCTAGAAATTTTTCTGTTCTGGTGATTTGGAAACGTTGGTGATGTGTGTTTGTAGTGGAGGTGAATTTGTACAAATTACATCTTGTAAGAGTGTAGGAAGGTTATTGTTTCAGTAGGAAGACTTTAATTGTTCCATGCCAAACAAAGTGAGAGAGAGAGAGAGAGAGAGGGAGAGAGGGAGGGAGAGAAAAAGAGAGAGATAGAAGAGAGATGAGAGAGAGAGAGAGAGATGAGAGAGAGAGAGGGAGGGAGAGAAAAAGAGAGAGATAGAAGAGAGATGAGAGAGAGAGAGAGAGAGTGAGAGATGAGAGAGAGAGAGAGGGAGGGGGATAAAAAGAGAGAGATAGAAGAGAGATGAGAGAGAGAGAGAGTGAGAGATGAGAGAGAGAGAGGGAGGGAGAGAAAAAGAGAGAGATAGAAGAGAGATGAGAGAGAGACAGTGAGAGATGAGAGAGAGACAGCGAGAGAGATATATACAAAATATTGTACTTCTTTTTATACTGTGAAAGAAAATCAAACAAAATTTTATAGCTGCTTTTTACAAATTTTGATATAGCACAGTTAAGGTACATGTACATATATATTTATACAAGTGATTGACTGTACATAATAATTGTTGTCTGCTAACATAATTCTGCCATGTGCATTTCAGTTTTGTTGATTCAGCTTTAATTGTATTCATTTTAATTCTGTATTCATTTTTTTGCCCTTTTCCTTGCAAATGTGATAATATTAATAATAATAATAATATGTTCATTTATATAGCGCCCTCACACAATTGGTTTATAGAGCTTTACATCGTATGAAGGTGGGAAAATCAGGTCAATAAATACGTCTTCAAGTGCTTCTTAAAATGTTAAGGATGAAGTGAAATATACAAAGATGCTTTCTATTATTAGACCCTTTTTCTCAATAAGTGCTACAATGTTTACCCTACGGTATACAGAATTTCATATACTTTTTTTGTATCTCTTTCAAAGCCCTTTTAGTTTGTAGCAAATTTTGTATCCCATGTGAGAACTGTAGATCTAAATGATTTTTGTCGCAAAGTGGTAATTTCTTCCATTCATTGTTGACTGTGTGTCACTAATTGGACGCAAAGGTATGAAATGTTTTGTGACGTGCTTTCTGCATTTACTTGTTAATACTGGATTACAGGGTGGTCAAAAAGTTTAAAGCTCGTAAAATGCAGTTTTGGAAGCAAAATTGAAAGTAAAGTGGAATGAACATGTTGAGTATCGTCTCATTCGTTCTCCTTTTATCAAAAGACATATGTGTGACGATAAAACGTCAAATGATCTTGCACGGGTTTCCTTTGATTCAAGGAGAACAACGAGGAACTACATTTAAAGCCCCACTGCACTACTTATAGCTACTTGCGCCCTCTATATAGCAAACAATGCCTAACCGGTGACCATTAACCCCCATGATACCCTTTTTCTTATGTTAATTGAGAGCTGATTTGATGAAATAACCACCTGTCAGTGACCATGCAGGGAGGTTTAATCCCTCCTGGCCAAACTAGTGCAGTGGTGCTTTAATACATTTAAGACCTTCATGCTAATTTTCATTTTGCTACCAGACCTATAAGGGAGCTTTAAGAATATATATAGGTAAAGAGAGTATGGCAGTGTTGCTATCTTATCTTTAGGCTGAACCTCATGCAAGCATACAGATAGATACACCTGTTCTCTGTAACATGAAGCCATGTAAATTTGATTTCTAGTTTCTCGTCCAGATTTGTCAAAAATGAGGAGAAGCCGGTTCCATAATATGTGGAATTCGATAGTTTCCTGTACATTGAATTCCCATCTGGTCAGTTTCAACATAAACGTTGTTAATTCAAATTTCTTTTGTACATTGATGCTGAAAACAAGGTAAATTTGCATTTTATCAATGAAATCTCTCACTGCCATTGTCGACATGTCCTCATACTGTTTAATGGTATTTATTCAAGCTCATAACAAAAAACTGAAAAAACAACAAATTGAGGCGGACCAAAAAAAAAAGGGAGGAGGGAGGAGCAAGGGCAGAGAAACCAGAAATTATTATTATTTGGCATAAAATCTACTTACATTCAAACATAAAAATCTGTAAGAATTATAATCTTGCTGCAATTAATTGTATCTTGTCGTTTTGCTAGATTCGAGAATCTTGGTAAAATCTTGGCATTGTTTCTGTCTGTTTTATGAAATCCATCGTAAGTTACTATTTATTTTAAAGTTTGAGTGAAAGAGATATGATAAATGTTAAGAGGTGCAATTAACTTGAAGGAGATATGATTAATTTTAGAGGGATACAATTGATTTGTGGGAGATACAAGTAATCGTAAATGTTTAATGCATTCATCCAATTTTCAAGTGTCTTTTTGTATTTCATTACATATGATGTAAAAGATTTGTTGAAAGTACATAAACATTTAGTTATTTAGATAAATCACTACTAAATCACAAGGAAAAATTAGTACCCTTTATCATTTTATTGATACTTTGTGCGCATGTATCTGCGCAATACACACTGGTGTTTACATCATCCATCTATATGAGTAGCAAGTTTATTTATTAATAATAATGATAATAATAATCAGATTTATATAGTGCCTTTTCCAGGGGATACAAGGCGCTGTTCCTTTATAGTCAAAGGTGAAATTAAAATCAGAATACAGTCAACCTTTGTCTTCGTGGCCGCCCCTCCGTTAAGGCCACCTGTCTATAGTGACCATGTATTCTATCATTATCAAGAAAGAAAGATTTGCTATAGAACCTGTCAATAGTGGATGCGTTTTCTACTTCCCATGGGAATCCTCGGTATAGACAGTGTTGACTGTACGTGTATAAGAAATAGGATACATTTCACATTTCAATCTCATTTTGTGCATGAGCAAATGGTCAAGGTTTCGGTGCATTATCGCTATAGAGTGAATATTAGCTTTGTATGTTTTACAATTGTTTTTTTTTCTTACTCTGTACAATGAGGAGCTGTAAATAATATTGCAAATGTCTTTTTCTATTGAATTTCCTTTGACCTGTTTATATCTGTTCTGTGTGATTGTGTCGTTCATTTGAAAGTGTACAAGATGGTGTAGAATGGCAGAGGAATTCAAAGAGAAAACTGAAAATGAAGGGGGAGAGAGAGAGAGAGAGAGAGGGGGGGGGGGGGGAGATACGGGGAGGGGGAGGAGAAAAGGAGAAATACATTTTGTTTGCGAGAGAGATGAATAAAATAGAGAAAGGGGATGAAAGTTTGTATTTGAGCAAGATAAATAGATAGGTAAAGGGAGAGAGAAAGAGAGAGAGAGAAGGGGAGTGGGGAGAGAGAGAGAGAGAGAGAGAGAGAGAGAGAGAGAGAGAGAGAGAGAGAGAGAGAGAAGGAGAGTGGAGACAGAGAGAAGTTGAGGCGGGGGGGGGGGGGGTTGCCCTCTCCCCTAAATCCATCACTGGTCTAACAATGATTTAAGAGAGTTTGTGACTTTTGCTCATGAAGTTGTGTTATTTTAACTACTCATTTCACCTCAATCACTTATCATTTTCTGTGTAGGCTATCTAAATATTCCCCCCTTTTTTCTCCCTCTTTTTTGTTCTCTCCCTCTTTCTCTTTGTACCTCTCTCTCTCTCTCTCTCTCTCTCTCTCTCTCTCTCTCTCTCTCCTTCTCTCTCGTAGCGTCCCAAAAGTGGTGCATGCATGTACTTCTCACAACAATACTCAGAACACACATTTAATCATTGCATAATTCTACATATATTTATTTATTTCAAGTTATCCAAATATTCTTAGATCCAGATAGAAACACTGATGACATGATGTGACGTCACACTTAATACTGCGCAGTAATTGGTCAAATCAGCTCCTAGTCTTCTCTCGTGTCGTATTTGAGCATCCCAATACAGTCGATGGTTGGGTTCGTTGGCTGTGAGATTCAGCGGGTTAATCTAGATTCCATTACCGTTTCCTTGACCTTTAGAAAAACAGACAATAATATGACATGTAAGATGCGATGAACAAGATATGACCAGTTAAACCCCTCAACAACAATAACCACGAAAAGATAGTAAGCAAGAGAAAAAAGGAGGAAGGAACGGAGGAACAAAGAAAGGAATATACAAACAAAGAGTGATGACCGCCGCAAATTAAAATTTACTTAAGATCATGTATAAAGCATGTGCAGATGAGAGATCATTGCTGCGCCCAGCTTAAATTCTGTGACCCCCTCTTATGAACTTGCGACTCAAGAATTTACGCTTCGTGTAATAACTATTGCTAATCTTAGCTGTATTCCCCTGGGATCAATCCACTAACATCAGGTTAATTCATCTATTAAATATGACAAAAATATATTAAAAGGCAGGTTCAAATCCCACTGGTTCCGAGACTCTTTCTGGCACGTCTATAATTACAAGATCGAGCACTCGATCTTTACTTACTGATTTATTCATGAATTGAAATTACTCCGAAGAAGTCTAACATTCAGAGCTAGCGGAGCATGTGTTGTTTAAAGGCCCACTGCACTACTTGTAGCTACTTGCGCCCTCTATATAACAAACAATGCCTAATCGGTGACCATTGGTCCCCCATGATCCTCTTTTTCTCATGTTAACTGAGAGCTGAGTTGATGAGATAACCACTTGTCCATTGACCTTGCAGGGCGGTATAATCCCTCCTGTAAACTATGGCAGATAAGCTTTAACCCTTATAAAATCGTTCCCTCCCGATGATATCAATGCCCTTACGCCACCGGGAGCAAATTGTTTGGTTTAGAGTTTTGACAATGGTTAAAATATATATGTACTTCGTAAATTCGAGCCATTAAATCTGAGAGTGACTTACCTGAGCAGAAAGCGACCTTTCCTCCTCGTCTATTGCACCAACATTGCGGTAGAGCAACACAAGCTGGACAAAATGATAGCAGAAATGAAAATTAATAACCATGAATTATAGATTGAGGATGAACGCAGGAATAAGGAATGGATAGAAAGTAAGCATTAAGAGCGTGGCTAGGGGCGATTAATATCCCATATTATCAGCAAAATTGTCAGTCTATTCGTTGTTTTGCAAGAGAGATCTTAAACACGTATAGGCTAACCGTTTCTGAAAATTGTGAGAAAGTTTCTTTTATTTTTTATATTTTCTAAATTAGTTTTTGTTTTTGTTTTGTCCCGGGGTGTTTGCCTCGTTGTTTGTTTGTTTGTTTGTACTTTCTTTCTTGCT